TATTAATTAGCGATAATAGCACTTTAAGCTTGCTATTGTTCGCATAGATTCTAAATATACTGAGTAAGCTGATATATCTAATTAATCAGTTCTTCCTAAGTAGAAGCGTGCAAGAATAAAGAGATTTCTGGAGAAGCTATTGTATTCCGTATTATTCAAGAGAATAATACTAAACTATTCTTGAACAAGAGTTATCAAAATGTAATGAGCACTGCAGCAATCCAAAGATTCCTAAGTACACGAAGAGGGTTTATGCTAACAAGAGCAGTATCAAAGTGTTAAGTTCTTGAATACGGAACTGTACAAGTCTTAAGAAGCAATGCAAGTATTCACTGTCTTTAGAGCTACTTAGTATAAAAGACTGAATACTTAGATTGATAACTAAAGAACTATCTGAAGGAAATCCATCTAACAGTAAGAAATATAAATCTTCATATACTTGGTTCTTCAGTTCTTGCTTGCTGGTGATCGCTTCAGATTACCACTAATCATTCTGGATCGCTACTGATCACTGAGCATCGGTGATTACGAGTGATCGCCTTGCTGTCTGATTGGTTAGGTTTCCGCAACCCTAACCCTGGGTTATGTAATCAATGCTTTGTTAGGACGTTGAGTCCTGGACACCTGGTCCCTGTTACTCGTGACCTGTTCTGTGACCTGCATGTTGGATGGGTCATAACACTTACATTTGGAATGTGATTAAAAAGAAATTTTTTTTTTCACAAGCTTCGGGAACGAAGCCAGAAGAGAAGGAGGGAGATGGTGGAGAGGCCTGAGGCACTGAGAGACCTTGAGAAGCTTTGAGAGGCCTGAGGCACTGAGAGACCTTGAGAGGCCTTGAGAAGCCTGAAGCACTGAGAGATCTTGAGAGGCCTTGAGGAACCTGAGGCACTGAGAGATCTTGAGAAGCCTTGAGAGGCCTGAGGCACTGAGAGACCTTGAGAGGCCTTGAGAAGCCTGAGGCACTGAGAGATCTTGAGAGGCTTTGAGAAACCTGAGGCACTGAGGGATCTTGAGAAGCTTTGAGAAGCCTGAAGCACTGAGAGATCTTAAGAGCTTGAAGCATTGAGAAGGCATAGGAGCAGCTAGGAAGCAGCGAAAGCCTGGAAGCAACGGAAGCTTGGGAGCAACGGAAGCTTGGGAGCAACGGAAGCCTGGAAGCAACGAAAGCTCGGAAGCCTCAAAGGCCTTGAGGACAAGGCCTGATAAGAGGGGACAATCTGTCAGAGCCGATTGTGCCAGCAAGGCTCAGAGCCAGCTAAGCCAGCTGGATTACGGATGACTAAGCAATATGCGGCTATAAAGCAGCTTTCTAGCTACATTAGCACTGCTGAGCAGAACTTAGCTTCTTAGGCCTCAATATTATTCTGGTTGTATATCCCTGAAAGAGAGAAAAGACCTCGCCATATTGCCTTTGCAACCTTTCCACCTGACAAATATGCTGAATAAGAAAGCAGATCTAGCTGATTAAATTCTTTTATATGAATTAATATAAGAATAAGAAAGAGATTTCTAAAGCTATTATATTCTATATTATTTAAAAGAATAATACTGAATTATTCTTAAATAAGAATTATTAAAATATAATAAATATATTGCAATATTTGAAAATCTGAAATATATAAAGAGTTTATGCTAATAAGAGCAATATTAAAATAGAATTTACTAAATATAGAATATAATTATAATTTGTATAAATACTGATTACTTGCTTTTAGAGCTATTTCAAATATAATATAAATAAATACTTAAATTGATAACTGAAGAGCTATATTCTAATAGTTTATCTAGTGGTAACAAATGTATTCTTATATATCCTGCTCTTCAGTAGGAATATGTTGAATAGCAATATATCCAAGTTATTCTGCTAGCTCTGAATAGCATATATTTAAAGCTATTTATTCCGATTAGTTATACTTATAACTCTAATCCTGAATTATGTAGCTAGTGCTTGATCAGAGCATTGAGTTTCTGATATCTGATTCTTGCTTGCTTGTGACCTGCATGTTGGATGGTGTCAGAGCTTGTATGCGCACAAAGGAAATAGGTGGCCCTTGCAACCCCTGGTGGCAGTCCAGAGCTGCTGCGAGAGCTTCGCTCCGAAGCAGCGCTCTCGTACGATGCTGCATAGCCATCAGGCTATTGTCATCCCATCTAGTCCAGGCCAATTGTGTACATAAGGGAAAGGGGAACAACAGGTCCAGCAGCGAAAAAGAGGAGAAGGGAGATAGGTTTAGTAGTCCCTTTGAATGGAAGCGTCAACAGAGCAGCTTGGGAGCAGCTCATACCCCTTCACCTCACTTGTGTGCTCTTTTTACTCTGACAGATGAGTTATAATACTAAGCTTCAAATTATCAGATGGAAAGGTTGCAAAAGCAATATAGCAAGGTCTTTTCTCTCTTTCAGAAGCATATAATCAGAATAACATTGAAGCTTAAAGAGCTAAGTTCTGCTCAGCAGTGCTGATGTAGCTAGAAAGCTGCTTTATAGCTGCATATTGCTTAGTCATCCGTAATCCAGCTGGCTTAGCTGGCTCTGAGCCTTGCTAGCACAATCGGCTCTGACAGAGATCTTGAGAAGCTTTGAGAAGCTTGAGGCACTGAGAGATCTTGAGAAGCCTTGAGTAGCCTAGAAGCTAAGGCACTGAGAGATCTTGAGAAGCCTTGAGAAACCTGAGGCACTGAGAGACTTCGAGAAGCCTGAAGCACTGAGAGATCTTGAGAGGCCTTGAAAGGCCTGAGGCACTGAGAGACCTTGAGAAGCCTTGAGAAGCTTGAAGCACTGAGAGACCTTGAGAAACCTTAAGTAGCCTAGAGGCTAAAGCACTGAGAGATCTTGAGAACCTTTGAGAAGCCTGAAGCACTGAGAGATCTTAAGAGCCTGAAGCATTAAGAAGGCATGAGAGCAGCTAGGAAGCAGCGAAAGCCTGAAAGCAACGAAAGCTTGAAAGCTTCAAAGGCCTTAAGAACAAGGCCTGATAAGGGAGAACAATCTGTTAGAGCTTATATGCGCACAAAGGAAATAGGTGGCCCTTGCAACCCCTGGTGGCAGTTCAGGGCTGCTGCAAGAGCTTCGCTCCGAAGCAGCGCTCTCGTACGATGCTGCATAGCTATCAGGCTATTATCATCCTATCTAGTCCAGGCCAATTGTGTACATAAGGGAAAGAGGAACAACAGATCCAGCAGCGAAAAAGAGGAGGAGGGAGATAGGTTCAGTAGTCCCTTTGAATGGAAGCATCAACAGAGCGGCTTGGGAGCAGCTCACACCCCTTTACCTCACTTGTGTGCCCTTTTTATCCTGACACAATCTGTCAGAGCTGATTGTGCCAGCAAGGCTCAGAGCTAGCTAAGCCAGCTGGATTATGGATGATTAAGCAATATGCGGCTATAAAGCAGCTTTCTAGCTACATCAGCACTGCTGAGCAGAACTTAGCTCCTTAAGCCTTAATGTTATTTCTGATTGTATGCTCTTGAAAGAGAGAAAAGACCTTGCTACATTGCTTTTGCAACCTTTACACCTGACAATTATTGAAGTTGAATACTTTAGCTTTTGCTTTCTATTCTGTAGCAATAATAATATATTAAATGCAACTAGCTAGAATATTAATGCAATTGCTATACTTATTAGTATTTCATATAGCAGACAGCATTAGTTTATACTTCTTAATAGCATTTTCGTATTTATTGAAGAAGTAGTTCAAGAAGTATATAGAAGCTTCAAAGCTCTAATAAGCTGCTTCAACAAGCTTGAGAAGTAATGTTATAACCCATTCAGCATGCAGGTTACAAAACCAGCCCTGCTAACAAGAGACTCAACAATCACAGCTCAGGGCACGGATAAGGCTAATTGGGATTAGATAATCAAGGGTTAGGGTTAGAAGCATGAATCAATCAGGAGAGGACTGCAAGGACTGCAAGCAGTCCTGTTGATATAACCTTAAACTGCAACTATCGCTATCAATCCTCACAATCCAGGCTAGGAACTGCAACAGTTGCTTATTAACTTCTACAGTTTATACTGAAGAGCTGGATATATAAAAATACATTCATTATCATTAGATAGACTATCAGAACATAGCTCTTCAGTTGTTAATCTAAGTATTCATTTGTTATACACTTGAATAGTCCCAAAGGCGAATAATAGCACTTGCATGGATTACTTGTTATATTTCCGTATTCAATTAGTTACTACTTTGATATCGCTCTTGCTAGCATAAACCTCTTGTATACTTCAGAATCTTCGGATATTGCAGTGCATTATTACAAGTAATATATCGATTTCAGAATACTTGCTCAGCCATTGTAGCAAAAAGTAAGAACTAACAAGCTCTTTCTAGCGAAGAGAATGTATATCATTAGCAGCAGAAAGAATACTTTTCTTCAGAGCAGGAAAGCTACTATAGTTAAGCTACATCACATATCTAATAAGAGCTTAATCCTTCCAGAGCTCAAGATACTAAGAGCATTCTCAAGGTCTTGCTGATATAGCAAGCAAGCTTGAACAGCGTAGTTCATCGATATGCTTTCGCAGTATAGTTCTGCTATATAGTATATGCGCAGCAAACAAGAGTAAGGGGGTTCTTGAGAGCTTGCAAGATTTCGAATCGTCTCGAGGATCTCGACTTTCGCTTTGGCGAAGAATGCCTCGTCGCGCTTTCCACGCGTTGAGGCTGGCCACGAAGGCTTCGTGGGCAGCATCTTCTTGGGCTCGAATGGCTAGAAACTCGCTCGCGGCTTCTGCGCTTGATTAAACAGTACTATCTTCAGCCTCAGAGGTAGAAAAAGAGGCCATATTGATAAATAGGGGTGAACAGCGATAGAGGGGGTGTGAGGGTGTGAGGAAGGAAAGGAAAAAAGTCTTCAAAATGGCACTATTTTCGGCCCGGCACCATTTTTGGCACCCACTACGGAGGAACGGAGTAGGGGGCCAGGAGGGCTAGCGCCCACGGGTAGAATACTCATCATATTGATAAGAGTAGCAAAAACTTTGTCACTAAAAAACGACACCAGCAAGATTCGAACTTGCGCTCCCGAAGGAATCAGATGACTTTGTTAGCCAGTTCAAGTCTGACGCGTTAACCCCTCCGCCATGGTGCCTGTGTTTGTAATGAAAAATCCCTATTTATATATCCAAAAGCGGCTTCTGCATGTGTGTTAAATGCATCAACATGATAGCAATGTTTGTAAGTGCTGGATGTTGCTATTCAGACCTTGACCAAGCCTTAGTGCGGCGTCAAGTGTCGAGTCACTCTCTATCCGTCTCTCGCGCAAGAAACACATGGATGCGACAGCGTTGTTCTCAGAAAGGCCGCACATCGTTTCGAGAAGCGCCCGCGAATCCGTAGATGGGTACACGGGCAGTATTTGGCATTGATTCAATATCTGTACTGCACGAATTAGTATAGCTTGTTAACTACCTGCTTATTCACTTTATCGACCAACGTCCACCGCCACAGATCTTGTCGAGGATGCATCGAGTGTCCTATCTTGGAAAACTCCATTAACAGGCACCTACTCTCTGCTAGATCCTTTGCCATACTAAGATCTTCGCTGTCTTGGTACACCCATAACATGGTGGATCATTGGGTCCTATCAGGATCCCAGGATCCCTGCATATTCTTCCGGGTGTCCGGATCGACGAGATTACCGAATCTCGAAATAGTGCACTGTCTGATGTGGGATTTGATGAGCATAGGAAATACCCAAAACGCAGGCACGCCGGGGGGAAGGGGGGCGTGGGTTTAAGCGAGCAGTTTTTGGTGTCGTAGGCTCGATTCATCCGGAGAACGAACAACATTGGTGCTTGTACACCTGATTCTGAACCTTTTTGTAGAGGCGCCTATGGCAGGGCATAGACGTGCATTCATGTGCTATCATTTTGCTGGACTTACGAGAAATTGAAAGATGGCTGACTTTGAACTTAGTTGTCGTCATCAAGGATGGCAGACCTTATCGTCAATGTGTTCAACATCAGGAGCGTCGTTGGTATGATCAGTATCATACTGGTCATTGTGAGCATCGTCCTCAATATCGGAGGTACTCATAGCTATTTTCACATCTGAAGCCAGCCCTGCGAGCGTAAATGCCCGTAGTATTATTCATGCGTATTACGTACCGGCTGTATCTTACCTCGCCCTACATTGCGAGTTCCTCGTCCAATTCAAAGCACCAGAATGTTCTGCCATGGCTATGCGGAGGCAGCAGCTGCAGAGGAACCTTCAAAACCCAGCCGACCAAACAATAGAAACAAGAACGCCGCCTACTCCCTATGCCATGCCGTGCAAGTCTGCTAAGATATCGTACGCGTGCCGCGAAATGCTACGTGGCATAGTATTCGCTGGTTGAGCACCGCACTGCTGCCACCTATGGTTCTAGGGGTTCCTAGAGAAACCTCATGATGCAGAGGTGTTGGAACTATTGGGTAAAGGCGCTGTGTCGTCTGCTACTGTCTCGATCTTCACCAATCTCGTCCTTCGAGGCGGCGGAGTCTTGGGCGGCAGCTTCTTCACAACACCGGTGCTATCCCCGTATCCGCTGCCATTACTTACATGCAACACGGGTAAGGGAACGGTTGTTGGTTTGCCATGTCTGTGCTTTGGGACCACGGGTAGGGACCTCTTATTTGCCCGCTCCGGGCTGTTATTCCCCTGCTGCGGACTGGTCTCTGACGTCGCTTCGGACTCGGGCGCTGGTGCTGGAGCGGCGAGTGCCTCCTTCAATTCCTCAGCCTTGGCGTCACCGGCCTTCCTGCGGCTCGGCGTCTTCACCCCCGGCTTCTCCATGACAGCCGCGACATCGACGACAGAGACGTTACTGGTCGTCTGTGAGTGGGTCATACTGATCCCGAGCAGCTTCTTGGCGATCTCGCTCTCGCCGCTCTCGTTGAGCCATCCCACTTTCGAGACGCGGTCGACTAGCCGCAGAGTCGTCACGTCTGCTGGGGCAAAGTGGATGTTGCCTTCGCCGCCGAGAATCTGGAGAACTTTGAGAATCTCTTGTCTCTTGTAATGTGGCGGGTTGCTGAGCTGGGTGTGTGCCAGCAGTGGATACAGTACTCGGAGGTAAGTATGGCGCAGGGCCATCGATTCGTCGGGGAGATCGAGAAGGTTGCGGATGATGACGTCCAGGAGGACGCGCAAGTCGTTGGTGTAGAAATACTCGTACGTAGCCCTCGTGGTAAAGAGGAGATAGAACAACTTCAGTATGAGTAGTTGCAATGCTGTCTCGGTCTCTCTATTCAGAAGCAATATGATATTCTCCCCAAATGTCCTGTACCTGGGCCCGTGCAAGGAGAGGATCTTGATCACGCGGTTCGTCAATGGTGCCGTCGTCTCGGTAGCATCAACAGCAGCAATCGTAGAGGCGACCATGTACTGCTCATTCAAAACCAAGAGTACCCGGATGATGGGATAGTGATAAGGGTCATTCACGTCGTCCGACAGGCCCTCGATCAGGTGGAACATGTAAATGATGAAGTTGTCGTCGACACACAGCAAGTCGTCCACCCGGAGTCGCTCGATGCGTGCCATCTCGTATATCAGCTCTAGGAGCAAGCGATGTAGCCTCCTGTCGTCCTCTCTCCGCCCATTGATGAGCTCGACGAGTTTCGGGAAACACCCCTCCGCGATCATCTGTTTGAAGGTGGTCTCGTCAGACCGGCCGTCAAGGAGTAGGAAGTTGGCAATGACGTTGAGCGAGGAAGGGTCGTCCTCTTGAAGGAGGCTGTATATGATTTGTATGCGGACATAATCTTTGTGCGCGCGGTATATTTGACTGTCGAGAAGGAGCTGAGAGCAATTTGCGACGTCATCTTCGCTGCCCAGAAAGTTGTCGCGACAGCTAGACACGAGGTGCAGCCAGGATCGCAAGGAGTCGTCGATGATCTCATGGGAGTCGCATTGCGCAGACAGTATGTTTCGCAGCTCTGTCGATGGAAGAATCAAGTCGTCAGCATGGGTCTGAAGAAACAAGTGGAAAAGGAATTGACTGACCATCCCAAAATTGCTCTTCGGTTTCTACAGACACTTCAATGCCTTCTGCCATGTTGAAGGGGTCCCCGATCTGTCGACTGCCGCACTATCATTACGAGCGATCGGTTCGGGAAGGCGGGGTGGGGAGGAGGGTGAGAGACGCTATCGAGGTTGGGGAGCACCGCTTCTGATGCAATAGACAGAGGCGCATAGAACGAAGATGCACGGGATCGCGCCTTGGGTTGTGGTATGAACTGAAGGAGAGCGTACTGTGTACGTATTGTGTCGGGGGTGAAGTTGATGGAGTAGCGCCTCGGCCAAGCAGGTCCCCTGCAGTGTGGGGTTTCGGGGTCACTGTACCTACTTGCTGCGCCGGCTGGCACTGCTGGTCACACAGCGGATTCTCTGACTGCCCTGACGTGTGCTTCAACAGCGTTTGGAATTTGGTCGCTTTTTCGGATGCTATAGGCCAAATCTATCAAACTCTTCTCAAACAAGCTTCTCTCCCTCCCTCCTATCTTTTTCCTTCTTTTTCTCTAGGCACACACTGGAAAGGAATAATTATTAGTTTCATCGCGCTAGTTCTGTTCTTGCAGGCCGGACTTTGGACAGATCCTCTTGCTTTGGTCAGCCTAGGACGACATCATTGATGGGATTGCACTGTCCCGAAGACCTTCGAGCTTGTGTTCAAGTGGTTTATTGAAATATAGACTGTAGGGAAAATCCTTCCACCATGCAAATGCTTCCCAATGTAATGTCTGCCTCTCTGCCTCCAGAATGCTGTTACACCGAGTACCAGAACGCCACCGCTGCATGCGGATAAAGCTGCGAGAAAACTTTCGATGAAGCCATGTACAAAATCTTCCCAAAAGCCCCGATGTCTCTCTGTCTTGCGTGACATGCCAAACTCACCCACCATCTCGAATCTCCATTCTCAAGTGACAATTACGCCAGAGCACAGCGCCCGTCGGGATCACCGACGCTCGGTCGGACATCGCCTCGAAGTAGCTCACAGTACCGGGGGCGCAGGTGCCACCAGCCCAGACAAGCTCAAGTGAGCAGGAGAGCCTGGATAGCGGTAGTCCGACAATGCTCCCCACACGCTCATGTGCCCATGTTCACTGGCAGAGTCGGCTGACGGGTCGGCGACGTCTCCTTCCTTGCGATAACGCTGTCGAATACGACTGTGCTGCCGCCGTGTCTCCTCCAGTCCATTGGCCCCAGGATCGAGAAGGCCACACCTCCTAGGCGTGCCTATCTGAGTCGTCCAGCGCAAAGTCGGTCGCCGAGTCCGGATCGACGCTCTTGAGCAGCAGCACGAGCCGATAGGCACTGTTGCCGTTGAGATAGTATCGATGCAGCTTCTTGGACCGTAGGAAGCCCAGGCGCTCGTACAGGCGCATGGCAGGCTTGTTAGTCTCCTCCGTCTCCAGGACCACCTCATCGGCATTGCGCTCGGCCATGGCATCGATGGCCTTCTTAACCAAGGCAGTGGCCACACCTTGGCCGCGGAAGGTAGATGAGACGGCCAACATGGCAATATAGCCTCGGCGGGTGGGTGGTGAGTGGGAGGAGTGGGTCTCCAATTTGCAGATTATCACCCCGACTAGGGACGAGTCTTTAGGGTTGAGGGCCTGAATGATCGTCAGTGGGGGCAATGCACCTTGGAGACACACCGACAAGAGAAAGGGGAAATGAATTTGAACGGGGACGATACCATGTAACATAGGTGGCCCCATTGATATAGGAAGTAACGGTAGACATAGATGCTGTATGGTTCGCTCAAGTCTTTGGATATCAGTGCTCGTATGGCCGGTAAGTACTGCGCCTCGAGGTTGTGAGAGTATTGAATGTACTTCAGGTCGCTGGGGAGGCTCATCGTGGATCTGAGGAGGTTCCTAATGTGGAGGAACACTGATATTACAACGGTGGGTAACAAGTAAAAGGTCAGAAGCAAGATCATGAAAGCGCGGGCGTCGTGAGTGTCGAGGCTTGGTGACTGGGTGCCTGTCGGTGAGATATGGTTCCAGGACAGGAGGACGACCGACCAAAGAGCAACACAGAGCCCGACTGCCAACGACGGTCTACTGCGGTTTTACTGGCTGTTGCTGGGCCGGGAGAACTTGTCGAACCTCCTATCCGAAGAATCTCCATGCGTTGAGCAGGTAAGGGAGACCGACCGAGTGGGAGGAATAAAAGACGGAGTGATCCACATTGAGGAGCAGACAACCTGCCCTGTGCAGTCAGCAGCGTCAGCGCACTTCTCCTCTCCGGTCTCGACAGTCACATGCCAGAAGACCTGGGGTGTGGGAAAGGGTCCGAAGGGGACGGGCAAAACCCGGTCAAGGTCTTCTCTGCCTGGTGGCTCCTGGCGCGCGCTCGCACAGGCAGAGACCCGGGATTAGAGCTTGTCAGCCCCTATGCACACTCCCTGCACCCACTGTCAGTAATGCCGAGCGCCACGGCGGGGCCCACTGGCACAGCGTGTACATGGTTCATTAGCATGCTTGGGCGCTACGTTGTAGCCCTACTTCGGTGCTACGACCACAGCTTCGTGCCCCCTGCTGCCCTGCTGCAAGTCCCATTACGTCAATCCATTTTCAGATCTAACACTCGCCAGGTACCAGGCGGCACTCACTTTCGAACAAGGAGGAAGCTTCTCCAGCGAGCTATCAAAGTCAAACCCCCCACCCACCGCCCCTCCATCTCCAGCCGGCCATGGTTCTTAGGCGTGTATAATCTCTATACACTTTCTGATATAATATATCCCGAGACAGAGCTGGCGCCATCAGCGCCAAAGAATATCGCGACCGCCTGTTCGGAGCCTCGAGGGGAAATCCCACCGTTCCCCATAACCAACTCGCCAACCTCAAGCGGACAGCAAAGACGGGCTCAGGACCTGCGTTAACCCCTGTCAAGGTACAGAGAGCGAGCCCCACGAGGCGATCATGGCCTCTGAGCTGCGCCGCCGGGTTGTCACAAGGGGAAGGGCAGATCATAGTGCCTCCGAGTTTCCAGAGCCCGTCACGTTGAGTCGTGATGAGAGCCCAATCAAGCCCGGAGACAAATTAAAAGTCGTCCACCCGAAGCGCAAGAGAAAACTCGGTGCCATCTTCCTGCTCGGCAGTGTGTTTGGTATCATAGCGGCTGGCTTCTTCGCAAAGACCAACGACCTGATAGACTTCCCAGAGATAGGCGACTTGACTGTGGACAGTCTGCTAGACGCCTTGCCGGCGGGTCTGGTCAAAGATGTCCGCGATCTGGTGGTACGTTAGCATTACCCTCCCCCTCTCTTTCCTTGTGGCTGTGGCGCCGTCGGACTCGTTCTGATCATTGCGATCCCCAATAGAAAGGAGAGCGCGACTTCATCGACTCTTATGATGCCTTCTCTGTCGGTCTCAAGGCCCGGTCTGAAGGCCTCGAGGCCCACCACCCAATCATCATGATACCTGGCGTCATCTCAACAGGTCTCGAGTCCTGGGGCACGATGAACATCTCCAGACCGTACTTTCGGAAACGACTTTGGGGGTCATGGAGTATGATGAGGGCCTTGGTCATGGAGAAAGAGGTGTGGAAGCAACATATCATGCTAGACAAGAGGACGGGTCTCGATCCGCCCGGTATCAAGCTGCGCGCGGCTCAGGGCTTTGATGCCACCGACTTCTTCATCACCGGCTATTGGATATGGAGCAAGATATACGAGAACCTCGCGCCTCTGGGGTACGACCCGACAAACTCGTTCACAGCCTCTTATGACTGGCGGCTCTCCTACCAGAACCTGGAGAAGAGGGATCAGTACTTCACCCGTCTGAAACTACATATCGAATCTGCGGTGTTGGGGTGGAACCAAAAGGTGGTCCTCATCTCGCACAGCATGGGCAGCCAGGTTCTCTTCTACTTCTTCCATTGGGTGGCATCTCAAGAAGGCGGCCGGGGCGGCGACTCCTGGGTAGAAGACCACGTCGACTCGTGGATCAACATCAGTGGATGCATGCTTGGCGCGGTAAAGGGCATACCTGCTGTGCTATCAGGGGAGATGAAGGACACCGCCCAGCTCAACGCCTTCGCCGTATACGGCTTGGAAAAATTCCTCTCCAAGGAGGAGAGGGCCGACATCTTCCGCGCCATGCCGGGAATCTCATCCATGCTTCCCATTGGCGGCGACGCAGTCTGGGGCAACCTCTCCTGGGCACCCGATGACCAGCCGGGTCAAATCAGCTCGTATGGCTCCTTTCTGAATTTCCGTCGGGGTGTTAACTGGACGGTCCCGGAAAAGAATATGACAGTGAGCAACGCAATGGACTTCCTTCTCAACACCACCGAGGACTGGTATCAGGCACAGATCCGCGGCTCATTCTCTCACGGGATAGCCCGCACCACGGCCGAGGTCGAGGCGAATGAGAAGGATTTCCGCAAGTGGATCAACCCCCTTGAAACCCGCCTGCCGCTGGCGCCCAGCCTCAAGGTTTACTGCTTCTATGGCGTCGGCAAGTCCACCGAGCGCGGATACTACTACCGCACCCCCGACATCTCCTCCACGCTAAACATCACCATTGACACGGGCTTGATTCACGGGGTTGTCGATCACGGTGTCATTATGGGTGAGGGCGACGGGACGGTGAACCTGCTGAGCTCAGGATACATGTGTAATCGTGGATGGCAGATGAAGCGATATAACCCGGCCGGCGTCAAGGTCACAGTCGTCGAGATGCCGCACGAGCCTGAAAGGTTCAATCCGCGTGGCGGACCGCATAGCGCGGACCACGTGGATATTCTGGGGAGGGCGACGCTGAACGAGCTGATCCTGAGGGTGGCGGCGGGCAGAGGTGAGACGATTAATAGTCACGTCGTGAGTAATATCTCTCAGTATGCAGATCGGGTGCAAGTGTTCGAAGAGGATTAAAGCAGTTGCTGAGAGTCGTCTCGGGGCAATATTACCGTGGCCTGAGGTTGAACTTGGGGCTTCGATGAGGATGTCCCTGCGGCCGGCCCGGGGACTTGCAAATAAAAATAAGCAAGAGCGCGGTCATTCTTTTTTTGGAGGCTACTTTACATTCGGTGGCACAGATAGATTTTTTGGTATACCCACTCCGATATGGAGACGCAGAGTTTATTCAGACCATGATAGGGCATAGGAGTTGGTTGCGATTAAATAATGAGGAACCGCATTTGTTCTATTCGGCTTGCTGTATGATCTGTTAGTCCTCCTAGGCGTCATCTGGGGCCCTCCTAGTCTCCAGCCTTGATCTTGGGTAGTCTTACATATAGTTAAATAGCATTGGAAGATTCGAAGATGCCTTATAACATAGTGAAGTTGACGATATGTGTCAGATGGTGTATGTAAAGGCCTAGAAAGATGACCAAGTATTACTGAGATCCACTGTCAACCCGATCGCCAGCTTAGCAGGATTTTCTTGTGAAGTCATCTCTCTTTAGCCCAGTGGCTGGGAGAGACTCGTTGACAACTGGTGACAACATTTGGAAGACATTGCCCTCTCGATGCTGTCCACGGTTGTCTATCTACAGTCGCATCCAAACTCCCATACATCTGTATATTCTCGTCATCAGGGTTTCTCAAGATTCACAAGAAATTCATCAACAATTCCCGCAATGGACTGTCACTGCACTGAGGCTTGTGACCACATGCTATGATTCTTTGATCACGCTTAAGTGCTCTTGTGGTGACTAACTGCCACAGTGCAAGGCTTGGAGAGGATCTGTCCTTCCTGAACACAAGGAACTTATACAGTGTAATTGTGCATCATTTTACTAATCTATATACAAATTTGATGATATGCTGATTATTGCAAGCAACCTGAAAGGAAACAAGAGGGCCATCTAGTCATCTTAATCATTGGTTTAATAGTTGAGATGGGTATTCTTGCGCATAGATCTCAGTTCCAACTTAATTACATGTCTCACAAGTTACTTAAGACATTGGTTATGTCTACTGTAGTTATGACAACGACAAGAATAGAAGCTGCAAGTGTAGTTGGCTGAGTTGCGATGTGCGAGCAGTTAGATAATACATTGCTGTTGTTGACTGTCGTTGGTTCTGAACCTGATTGTTGTGCTGATCGTTTCCATGAATGAGCACTGAGATGCGTGGAAGAAAAAGGAAAAGAGAAAGAAATGTAAAGAGAAAAGACAAAATTCCAGCAGTCCAAGAAGAGCCAGCATCCCCTGTTTCATGCTTACCAAGTCAAGGAATATTTTTGGACTGCTCTTCTGTGACAAGACATTATTATGAGCTATCGAAATGACCACTCCACTTACACCAATGTAAGTACAAAGGCCCAATCATTGTCAACACTGCCGCCAGTTGGTGGCTCAAAGGTCTTCCTCCCTGAGAGCTGGAAAGAGCTCGTAGTGTTCTGGGCTTTTCCAGTGCGAGGATCAAACCATTCTGACTTGGCCTCACCTTTGACCTCCCCAAACTGCTGGCCAAGCGCATCAAGATCCAGGTCAAAAGCATCGCCGAATCCAGTGTACAGCCAATACTGCCGGAGCCCAACGAGAGCTGCCACGTAGCGATTTGCCTGGTAGCTCAGAATATCGCCATCTGAACTGCCAGGGGTCTTGATAAAGGTTCTGTTCGGCTGCAGGCTGTTGAACATCTCCTTGTCTAACCCACTGAAAAGCTGCTGCAAGTACCCTGCCTGTGTAGAGCCTGGATACTTGAGCGCATCACGCCACGACTCGTTGGCCGCCAAAGTCAGCCTCGGCGGCATGTAGAGCCAAGAGTATGCCAGCTCAGACTCGGGTGCATACATTTGCCAAACAGCCTGTGCACCGTAGGTGAATCCAGCCGAGCCGGACAGGAAGGCGTTCCAAAGGCCGTGCCGCACTATTGATGTGTTCCACAGGGGCAATGAGGCGTTGAAAGCGATGTGAGCACCTTCGTAGTGATTCTCAAGGTCGATGACAGGCCCCGGAAAGGCAGCTCGCATCTCGGTAATGTTGTTGTAGTTTTTGGTGCTATCCCATTCCTGCAAGGCGTAGAATTCTTGTGCGAGCGACGTGTGATCCGCAAGCGTATGCCCAGATTGTACGGCATCCATGGACAGTCGACCAAAGCTGCCGTTCATATACTAGCGTTTCATAGCAGGTCAGCATAGAAATTGGAACCATGTTCGAAGTGGTAAAGGATCTCACGTTGTGACCATAAGGCTTGTCCGTTCCAATCTCCTGTACGTTGGTCGGATGCCATGCGATAAAAGAAGTGAACCCCTTCTTAGCTTCGGCCTCCCTCAGCCCATCCGCCAGACGGGCAAAGACGGATCTCCAGTCCCGAATCGGACCAACCAGGCTGGCCTGATCAAGTGATGGATCTGCCTCCCACTCACTTGATGCCTCGGATATGTTGCAGGACCAGAAGCCATTGGAGTCGGCACCAATGATTTTAGGAAGCCCAGGGTAGCGTGTCCCAATGTAATTTCCGTACCACTCGGCACTGGTATGGTTGAATATCACCCAAGATTGGTTATACCATCCACAATTCATATATGCACCCCAGGTCGGTACCAGCGCAATAAGAATGCCATACTCAGCCGCGCGATTGACGACCCAATCAATGTACTCAAAGTAAGCTTCGTTAGGCTTCATTGGGTCCTTGTCAATCAAGGGAAGATCTCCATCTAGAATACGCCTCACTGTTAGTAATTGGTCCGTAGGGGACGGGCAATCGTTCAACCCGGGGGGGGGGGGGTATCTGGCAGGCTTGGATTGTTCATTGCAAAATATATATATAATAAAAAAAGGCAGGAGGAAAAGAAGAAAAACAGGAAGTTATGAATGGTCTTATAGTTACGGACAGAAGTTGGGCCAGGTTGTGCCGTTCAGCTCTGCGATAGCCACAGCTTGCACCACATTGAAGCCCTTGCTTGCTCTATCTTGAAGGTAAAAGTCGGCATCGCTACGGTTGAGACGATGGAACAGTTCCCAGGCTGTGTCAGCCTGCCAGAAGAAAGGCTCGTCATTGCTCGTGCGGTATAGATACCGACCGTTCACAGGGGCGGATATTGTAAGGTTTGCCCAAGGCACAGAGGACGACGAGTTCAACGCAGCGCTAACGGTAGCGGCTGCGCCCAGGAGCAGAACATAAATTGACCTCATCGTGAAGTCTCAAGTGCAGTACTTGGCAGGCTTCACGTATAGCAGCAAGTTTCTAGCAACGAACGTCTTTATGTATTTAGAATTCCCGAGGTCCGGCCGTGGTGACCCCAAGCGGGGAGCCACCTGCATACTGCCCCTGAGCACTAGACGAGTCACAAGATGCTCAGATTTTGAACGTTCATCGAGGCCGATCTCTTGAAGTGGAACGTTATGATGTTGTGACAGACCCGCCTCCGCATCAATGTCTACCCACCCTGTGGGCCCCCATGTGGTGATTTGGAGTCCGGTACCTTGAAATCTGGGAAGATTTGTGGGGCATAATCAATGGTTTGATACCGTGGGGATGGCATTGAGTACGGCAACAATATCTAGCCCAGGTATTATTGCAGTATTGTCGGTTTCGAGTCAGACTACTCAAGAACCGACCGACGACTTGGGCGGGCAGCGCACGGCGCCTGCGCGAGGTGAAGAACATTAGGGACTTATGTAATCTACTTCGTTTCAGCGAACTCATCCTTGCGTTAAGGGCGTGAAGAGAGTCAGATGATCGAAAACATTTACAACATTGTGCAATACCTGGGCTTGTTTTTGCATCCTCTCGCGTGATTTTATGGAATGCTGGCTATTTGTTAATTCACTATATCCTCTAGACTCCCATCAAATGCCTACCTCGAGATGTTGCCAAGCACACAGTCGGCCCGGGTGGTAATATTGCCCACTTGACCGGGCCTGTCGACGTCGTTTCGACGTAAATCCGACCCATCCACTTGACTAGCCTGGAATGGGCGGTCTACATACGAAGGCAATGGGGTATCTGAATGGTGATCCATCAAGCATTAAGTACTTTTGGATGGCCGGAATAACAACGCCTAAAGAGGACACCTCCTTCTTTTTCAACTCTTTTGACCAAGCAATATTTCATAATGTACAACAACAATTTTGGAACATGAGAGGTTTTGCATAGATGCTGTGATTATTTGGGAGTGTATGATTATACTGTAGTATATTAGCAAACTTTCAACTATTTTGGATTTGTATAAGCAGCTGATATTACATCGTTTCAAACAGCAAGAGGCGCGATCCCAATTGCAAATATGATTACTCGTGACTCTCAAAAGTAATAAGTTAGTGACAGCTCTGTATCTATGATTATCAACAAGGTCTATTGCAAAGTTCAGATGTAGCTTGTCATGATTTTCCATATCTCCGTAAGCATTCTTCTAGTGAACATGTTCAATTATATGCTATGTGCATATAAACAAAGTGAATGGAATAGTCCGAACGACCATGTGCAAGGAGTCCAAGTGTCCGAAAGGGCTCCTCTAGTGTTGTAACCAAGTCATACCCTCAAGCCCTCCAGGTGCTGGTTCGGAGCTAGATCTTTGCAGATTTGCTATAATCAAAGCTACTGATATGCTCCACCCTTGGCCCCAGATTGACCTTTATATCTTCTCACTCCGATTTCACCTTATCCATCTTCTCAGCCAAATGCTTCGTCAAGGCTACTCAGGCTCGCTGCTAACAGTCACATCAAGATCAGCATGTTTCTCCTTGTTAATTGTTAAAATGTCATACAAAATTTATCGAGACTCTTGTGACACTATTCCAGCTCTGCTATATTAGAGAGATAATATCATGTCCTTAACTGGAGTGTCTTCACTTTCACTGGCTCCCAGCCTTGGAGCTTGGTGTTGAGTCAAAGCTCTGAACATATTAACTACCTTTCCGAGCTTCAAGCCGAGTAACTACCAACTGGATGGACATTGTCGCACTCTCGTGGAGGTAGATGTCTTTGGCTACGCTCTATGCTTTGCTGACAGCGAAAATGGATTATACAGGCGCTTCTTGCCTGCTCTACTGCTGGTGCAAGGAGGGCATGAATACTTGAAGAGGGCCCCGGCGATCTTGTCTAAAAGGGTGTCAATTTTTAGACTCAATTCAATACAAGCGTCTCAGTGTGGTAACCTAAATTTAGGTGAGGGGTTTGGGTCTGCAATTACCATGTCAGAAGGGGTTCCTGTGGAGGTATACTTAATTATATCATTCATGTGTGTTCTCTGAATGGTTTATGTCAAGCTGGTATTTTCGAAACTGGGCCCGAGCTTGCACTTCACAATTGCTAAATACAGCAAGTTGAGGGGGATTCCATATGTAGAGGAACAAGCTCTGCCCTGGAGAATTGTCTTGAGGCTCATTGACCTGCTTGCCCATGCCTGCAAAATGTTTGCCAGGATCTTGTATACGGAGGAGTAGTTAGGCTGTTCAATGTGTGCTATACCATTTGTCGTGTGATTATAACCTTGTCCATTATTGCTCAATGTCTTTTCATTAGTACCCAAGACATTTGGTAAGTTTGTAGTGAGTGAAATCACATCCGATAAAGATTGTTCCATGCCCACTTAAGTAAGTACTTAAGTACTCAAAATCTCATGCGATATGCGAATGACAATGGGTGAAACTTCAATAAGAATGTGAGAGAACAAAAAACCTTGGACGCTATGGGGTTGCTTCTTGCCTTTTTATGAAAAGTGCAAGTAAGGCAGGATCCCCGGCCAAAGAGCTTGTCGAGGCACTGAATTAGGTGGCGACAGTACTGAAGTAGTACTGTACACCCGCAGCGCTACTGCCCCACTCTGCTGGAGACACCCTTTAGACACCTGTGGGCCTTTTCCACTGTTGATCTATGGTTCAGCAGAATACCAAATATGCATATGAGCGTCTTGAGCGGGGTATTAGGTGTTGCACCATGCTTCAGCAACTGTTTATTATCTACTAGAGTAAATGCGCACTCGGTGAGTTGGATGGAAAAGCAGAGAGAACATAGAAATATACAACTATATTCAAGTGTTGGTGGAAAGCTTTGGCAGCTGTGACAGCTCTGGGGCCTGTTGAGACTTTAGAGCTGAACATTTCAAATTCATTTCTGGGTTTCTACAGCAGGTTCGCAGTACATAGTAAGTTGATAAGGGTTGATCAGCGCTTTGCCGAGCCAAGGTGCCAAGGTGCCATGGCATTAAGGCGCACTACAGAATTCAATGTAACAATGGCCACGAGTGGGCTACGTCATAGTTCCTGACGTGTGTGCCAGGGACAGACGAGAAAGGACAAAGCACCCGCAACGGTTAGACTTGCAGATTGTGATGGTTGCATCCAATCGGTGATCAAAAACTTGTTGGATTGTTGCAAGCGGCAGCTGCTGGACCGGTCATGCTTGCTCTCAGAGAGAGAGAGAGAGAGAGAGAGAGAGAGAAGGAAAGAAACAAAAAGGAAGTGGTGGGTGGTTTGGTGCTGATATGCACCTTTGGGTACTTTTGGTAACTTTTCGCAACTGCAGTGTGCATGTGTTCCACTGTGATACCCTGTAATCTACTATTTCCTGCTGGGGTTGTCAGTCCCAACCCCCCGACGAGCTCCTTGTTCATGGGCTTCTACGGTGCATATGTATGTACATACTATAGTACTACCTATTATAGAGATATCCGTTGAGAGAAATAAAGGGTTCAGTCAGTCTTACTTTTATTTTAACCTTGGTCAAGTCTAGACCCCTCTCCCTCTTCAACAACTCTTCAAATCTCCTGCTAGTTGGTCATATGAGGCCCAGAGGTGCACTACCATCTCGCAGCCATACTTCCTTGTCCCCCATTTCCCCTATCTCTAGATCAAGGCCAATTGCAAACATCCTCCTCGCGAAACCTTAGCCGGCCTTTGTTGGGACCTTGCCGAAGGAATTACTTACTGACCAAAGCTCATTTGTGCCGTTGCGAGACATTGCGAGGTCTAGACGGTCGCGGTCACTCCTACGTCACGCCCCGACACTGAGGACGTTCTCAGGCATCGGCGCACTTCAGCTCGTCTAGCGTTTTTCTCCAGATGGCTGCCAGGGCCCCGCAGTCCTCGAGCTATGGCAATGGCCACGACAGCGGGAATGGAAATGGCCATGGCTTACCGTCCTCTAGCCTCGGAACTACCGCTGTCAATAGCAATTCTTACTTTGAGGACCGTCCTTTAGCTCCAAGCCCAAGCCACAATGGTCAAAGCGGCCCTCTGAACCCGTCTGCGTCATCGTCCTCTCGACATCATCATCATCCTCTTCCTCAACATCATCAACAACCTCCTCCTCCTAGCCTCCACGACCCGACTTCCCTCAACACTTTGGCCAATTCAAGCCTCGGCGGCACCCCACAGACCGCCCACAGAGACAACGACAACCTCTACGCGCCCGCGCCGACACGACCGACCGGCAAGTTCACGGAGGAATGGGATGCTAGCCAGCGCGGAAGCTCCATCATCAACGTGCCCGGCCCGCATTACAATACGAACAACATGAGTAGTATACAGCGGTCTAACTCCTTCACGGGCTCGACCAGGTCCGGAGTAGGGACCATGGATGGCTCCAATAGCATCCAGGTGTCGAGGAGTAACACCCTCAAGAAGAAGAACTCGCTGCGCCGTGGAGGCAGCCTCAGGAGGTCCGGCAGCCGCAGGAGCATGAAGGCTGGCAGCGTCCGGAGTCTGGCTCTCCAGTCGAACATGGATGAGGACGAGATGCATAGCGCCTTCTACTGTCCTGTCCCTACGACCGGGAACCCCACCGAGGCCCTCGCCGAGCGCTTCCAAGGTGAGTGCGGGGTCTCTCCATTTATCTGCTCTGTAAATCATCTAGTCGGCCGTCGAATAGCTAGCTGACTCTTGGGCCTGCTTCTTATCAGCGTGGCGTAAGATTTTGAAGGATCTCATCACGTATTTCAAGGAGGTTCAGGTGGGTTTCTAACCTCTTTTATCCCTCCTCCCCCTCTCGCCACCGTTGTAGTGCTGATAAAACACCCTCCAAAAGACATTCTACGAGCAGCGATCGAAGGCTCTCTTGAAACTCGCCAACGTTCTCAATAATGTCCACATGCCGCCCGGGTTCTTACCCTCAGGGGGTCTTGATGATGCCGTGCAGATCTTGCGCAACTACAACTCTCAGGCCATTTTGGAGGCGAACAAGGCCCGCGAGATTGAAGAGGACGTCATCTTGGCCCTGACCGGGCTGAGGAGCGATCTTCAGCTGAAGATTAAAGAGATCAAGAATTTGTCGGGCGACTTCAAGAATTCCGTCGAGAAAGAGATGGAGGCGACTAAGAGGGCTGTCAGGGCTCTGCAGGACACTCTCGGCAAGAGCGAGCTCGACTCGGCCCTGACAACCGGCAAGGAAGATCCGTACCTCCTCCGCTTGGCGGTGGATAGGCAGCTCGAGAGGCAGCTGGACGAGGAGAATTATCTGCATCAGGTGAGCAAGGATCGAGACATAGGCCTCAGCGCCATGCTGACCTGGCGCAGGCATACTTAAACCTCGAGAATTCTGGCCGTGAGCTTGAGTCGATTGTCGTCGGAGAGATCCAAAAGTCATACAACGCACTGGCTGGGATAATGAAGAGGGACGCCGAAGCAGCCCTGTACGCCATTGAGGAACTTCGTGTTGGGCCTATCGCGATGCCCAAGGACCACGAATGGGCGAGCTTTGTCAAGAAGGACGACCAGTTTGTGGACCCGGCCATTCCGATCCGGTCATCTCAGTACATCCACTATCCGGGCAAGGACCATTTCGCTTGCCAGGAGATCAGAGCTGGCCTTCTCGAGCGGAAGACGAAGTATCTGAAGAGCTACACAGCCGGCTGGTATGTTTACAGCCTTCAGTGGTTCTCATATCAAGATTCGCTAACATTTCTCCAGGTATGTTCTTTCTCCAACGCATCTACACGAGTTCAAGTCGGCCGACAAGACGCAATCTCCTGTCATGTCGCTCTATCTGCCGGAACAGAAGTTGGGATCCCACTCGCAAGAGACCGGTAGCTCGCCCAAGTTCATCCTGAAGGGCCGTCAGACTGGCGGCGTCCACAGGGGGCACTCATGGGTCTTCCGTGCTGAAAGCCACGACACGATGATGGCTTGGTATGAAGATATCAAGACTCTTACCGAGAAGACTCCGCAAGAGCGCAACGATTTCGTCCGCAGCCACTCGAGAAGTTTCAGCCGGACGTCCTCCCGCCGGTCTGTCAGCTCGGACGGGGTAGTCGACGAGGATGACGACGAGCCGTACGCCGCCCACACATCCTCGGCAGCCCTCGTTCCAACCCAGCAAGACGTGCCCAGGCGTCCCTCACCAGGTGGGCGGTTCCCATCCGATATCGAGGTCAACGCACAACGCGGCTTACAGGCGTCCCTGTCGCCATCCAGTATGAATCACCAGGGCTTCGGTGACGGCCAGCCAGGCAGTTACACAGGCCACGACAGCGAGACCATTGCAGCAGCCGGAGCCCTACCCGGCAGCGCGCTCGACCAATATTACGCCTCGTCAGCGGCCATGGACGGAGACCCGCAGAACGATTACGTGCAGGCGCCTCAGACTGTCAATCCCAGGTACCAACCGATCCAGACGCAGCCGAGCGGTGCCCCCTACGCAAACCACCCCGCTACGATCATCGCTGCCAGGGCGGCGCAGAACAATCCTAGCGGATGGGAGGACGCAGAGCATAAGGCGGGGAGTAGTCATGAGGAGCCCCACTGGTTCTCTGGAAATTCCGGCCCGCCTGACTCGATTGCTGTTGCGGAAGGTAGCAGGACGTCTCACCCTGTGCAAGACCCGTACGCGAGGGGAAGTCGGAATGCTGGACCTAGCAATACGGCCGGTTACGACGCGGCGAACGGACAGCCAATGAGCGCTGGTGACCATATTCCCCGGACAACCATGATCTCAGTCCCCTATGCGAATGGCTCAACGACTCTGCCGAAGAGACCTGCTGTCAGTGAGAGGACGGAGAGCGACGCCCCGACGTTGAGCAGTGAGGTGCCTACGCTCAGCAGTGAAGTGCAGACAATCTCAAACCTGCACATACCGGGGGAGTATCCAAAGAGCTCCGCGAGGTAGAGTAGATTGCCGGACAGACTGGCGATTTATAAAGGTTGGACAACAAGCACGCGGCGGACATCTTCACAAGATCGACCTGGATCGAGATACCCGGGAATACACACGGTCGGCTTCTGGACATGATTATTTCCACTCGCTTGAGGGCTGCTGCTGTTCCGACATTGAATAACTCGAGCCCTCTCAATTTTTTTTATTTAATTTTTTTTGTTTTGCTTGTGTTCCGATTGTTCTGAATACAGAATATCACTACTGTCATTACTATCAAGACGTCGTATTTCTCCACAGTATTTAATGGTGACAAGTGTGCAAAGAGGCTATAATCGAGACGTCCTTCGCAAGCCCTGCTAATCCTCGTGGATGCTTTGCGTAAGCTATGGTCAATGGTGAGAAAGGGTTGGAAAAGACGAGCGACGCCCCGAGGACGATGTGAGCATTATAGATATATGCATATTTTATGTGCATTTATATTAAATACAGTCAAAAAGGGACAAGTTTGTATACAAGTGACTAGCTTAAGCCAAGCTTCAGTGTTGAGGCACTCGAACAGTGGTGCTGTACAAAACAACAAAAAACGAAGTGTCCCGAGAGGACAAAGTTCCTTTTTGGTAAGTTTTACTTGAGCTACTTCGCTGGTAGGTAGCATCATTTGGCATTTATTAAGGCATGTTAGGTCTCAGGCTTTTGGGGGGCGCTGGAGGAGAATGTGGCGCGGATGCCTGCTCCGGTGACTCAACTGGGTACAGTACAGAGATGAGGGATAAGCTCGACAATGGGCGAACACCGTTATACAGAATTGAAAGATACAGATGATGTTCTCAGCACGAGGATCTAAAACATGCACCCTTCGAGCACGGCGATAATTAGATTAAAGCTTCCCAACACACCACCTGTGTCTTGGACAGATGTGATTTTTTTTCTTTTTCTGGCAGGTTGAGATTGTAGTATGGTGTCGCCTAAAACGAAACGCGCATGGGGCAGACCTCATTATTTGCAATCACCACCTCCTTTCCAGCTACGGAGAAAGGGGTGGATATGAAGTCCAAGGCGTCGGTGCTCGGCCACAATGATGGCTGATTGAACTTCGTGCCGCCAGCGACGCTGTAGTCTCGAGGACCAATACATAAAAGGCCGGTGAGACCAGCAGGCATCCATCTTCTGGCAAGCGAGTTCGTCCCCAAAGCCATGTGCGCATCACACAGGTAGTTGGCATCTACCAATCCCAATACTCGGAGGAGACTTCAAATAGATTCCCACTGGCCCGTTGCCAAGCTCGTCCACGTATAGATCATCCAGCTCTCCTGCAACTCTTTGGAAACAGACCAGACAACACCCCTTTCCCTTTTCCTGAACGCCAATGGACTCACCCAACCGTGAGAAAATGTTTCTTTTGTGTTGAATATCCCACGTGGACCAATAAATAGAAAAGCACAATTTGATGCGACGGGGCTGACCAGGAGAAAAACGAAGACAAGATCACCATCCTCCCCTGCTGAAGCCCCCCCGACCCCTGCCACCAGCACCACCGCCCCGTGAGAAGCCACCGGAGCCCGAGTTGCCGCGACCGCCGCTGAAGCCACCACCTCCACGACCACCACCCCGGGCGCCGAAACCGCCTCTCGACGGGCCGCCACGGCCACCTCTTGACCCGCCACGGGCGCCGAATCCACCTCTGCCACCTCCACGTCCGCCAAAACCGCCGCCGCCGCCGCCGCGGCTGGGCTTCTTGACCTTAGGCGCGCCAGGTAGAGGTTTCGGCTTGGGAAGGAAGCGCTCGAGGGGCATGAGCTTCTGGCTGTCGATGAAGAACTTGTCGCCGTTCTTGAAGGAGGTGGCCTGGATGCCCTCGGAGGGTTTAATTGTGAAGAAGACCTGGTTGATGGGGCCGAGTACCTCGTCTATCTTGCCGACGGAGGTTTTGTTCTCGAGGTACATGATGGCGTTGAACTGGGGCACCTTGGTATTGATGCTCTCGCATACCATCTCGCCCTCGCACGAGTGTAGAAACTTGCCGATAGGCTGCACTTCGGCAGGAGGGCCGAAGTCGCGCTGTTGGAAACCGCCGCGGTCTATGAAGAGGAGAGAGAGGGGGCATGTGTTAGTACAGATGGTCATCGAGAGTTGAGCGTGCACGCAACCGTGGCATATATAGAGTCTTTTCTCTTCTATTCTTTTTCTTCCTCCCCATGGGTTAGTGAGCATGCGTACCTCCACCACGGCCAAAGCCGCCACCGCGACCGCGTGGCGCTCCTCTGAATGACATGACGACGTCTCTGGTGTTTGTGTTTTATGTGTGACCAAGTGGTTGTTGAGAGTGGGCTGTCGCAAAGTATTGCTGGCTCTAAGTGGTGTATTTTTTTCCTTTTGGGAGCTGTCGATTGGGACGTCGAGAGTCGAAAATTTCCAGTGGGTCTCTTTCCTGCTCGGCTGGCAATGGAGAGCCTTTCCGTTCTAGTCAGCCAAGCGGGTACATGGGAGCTCTGCTAGGATGCCCCACGCTGCAGCAGCCCGCAGTCCAGTTTTACCATGTACTGTAATACTAGCGTGCTATCTGTACCATCGTAATGCCATAGTACTGTAAATCCATACAGGCAGGGTGGCAGGTACCGGGCCGAAAAAAGTCACAGAGGGAAAAACCGACCAAAGAACCACAAGTCTATGCCAACAAGAACCCTCACAGACCTCTTCAAGATTTGAGCGGCAGGACGGGAAGAATACTTTGTTCGTGGAAAGCGAAGTTAAGCAAATTGGCCTCTTAGCTAATCTGTAGGTACTATGTACAATAGTGTGTTATGTGTACAGGCGGTGGGTTCTGAAATGTGTGAATTGATTGGCTCGTGGCTTCCTGGTCTGCGTTTTCGCGGGCTGTCCTACAGGGGATCTCACTGGTCCGATTTTCAGTAGGCGCGTCTCATGGGCCGAAAGTAAACAACCCGCCCTCGCTCGACCCAGGCAGATCGATCGGTACACGCCGTGCTCGCACCCTCCATCTTCAGACGCAGCGCTTACAATTGCGACCTGCTCTCGACCCGAGAAGCGCATTGCCTACCTGATTCCCTTTTTTTTTTTTTTTTTTTTTAATCTGCTGATCCTCTCCACAGAATTTGCACTCAGCAACATCAACGTCAGTCCTCCTGGGAGTTGCAAGCTATAGGAAACCGCCCCGATCGCGTCTTAGGAGTACCTATGGTCCGGTAAACAAACCACACAATCATATACCAACACAATAATAACAAATAACAACAACAAAAACGGCAAACCCCTATCCTCCTCCTCCTCCTCCTGCTGGCGTCACCCACATACAGATATCCAAAACACAGTTCGCCATGGTACAGCCCGGCATAGGGCTGGATACGCCCCGGACCAACCTCGGTGACGCGACATACCTAGATCGACAGCCAGACCTCGACATCACCCAAGAACCCTCCTTCCAATCTCCAAGCAAGGAACCCAACGTCTTCCAGTCCCTTCACAACGGCAACGGCCGGCCCACCCTACGAACGCCACGGGGAAAGAACAGCAGTCGAGCCCCCTTTGGTGACAGGATAAACATACCCAACGGCATCGGCGGCGCAGAATTCACACCTCTCCTCAAATCCGCCACGCGGAACAGCGCCCGCCGACGGGCCGGCAAGGAAAACGGCCTTGTCACCCCCGCGCTGGGCAAGATCGACGAGGACAGGACACCCATACAGGTCGGGGAGAGCAGCGTGTACAGGTCGTCGAGGGAGCCATCATACCTGGACCGCACGCCGCTCCCTGACCCCGACAGCGATAGTACCGCCTCGACTCCCATGATCATGCGCCGCGGCAAAACCGTTAACAGAGGACCCCTTCAGGACGGCCAGCAGCTGTCCCTGCGCGAGCAGGAGGGCGTCATCGACAGGATCGAAAAGGAGAATTTTGGCCTCAAGCTCAAGATCCACTTCCTGGAGGAGGCACTGCGTAAGGCCGGGCCAGGCTTCAGCGAGGCTGCGCTGAAGGAGAACACGGAGCTCAAGGTCGACAAGGTCACGATGCAGAGAGAGTTGCAGCGCTACAAGAAACACCTGACGTCGGCGGAGAAGGACCTCGAGACCTATCGCCAGCAGCTTGCGGATATGCAGGATCTGGCCAGGCAAAAGGGCAGCTCCGGCGACCATTCTGCGGAACTGGACAGATTACGGCGGGACATGGACGATAAGGATGCAGACATCGAGGAGCTGCAACAACAGCTTCGGACCGACCGACAAAACCTCGACCAGGTGGAGAAGCTCCAGGATGAGATAGGCGACCTCGAGGCGGACCTCCGGGAGAAGGAGCGGGCGATCAGCGAGCGTGACGATGAACTGGACGACCTGAGGGCAAAAGTGCGCCAGACAGACCACCGGGGCCATGAGGAAGTCGACAAGCTCCGCGACGAGATCGACGACCTCCAGGCCGACATCCGAGAGAAGGACCGGGTCATTAGCGAGCACGAGGACAATTTGGAAGACCTCCAGTCAAGGGTTCAGCAGGCTGAAGACAAGGCAAAGAACGCCCAGATACACATGATCGAGCTAGAAGAGAAGGCCCAGGCCAGCGGCAAACTCAAGGAGGCCAGGGAGACGATCAAGGATCTTGAGACAAGCGTGCGGGCGCTTGAACGACAGGTCGGCGACCTGAAGGACAAGCTCGAAGATGCGCAGGCCGACAGGGAGCGTGCAGAGACCGACCTCGAGGAGTTACAAGAGGAGATGGCTAACAAGTCTGTCGTCACAAAGGGTCTACCGCGCCAACTAGAGGAGAAAGTCGTACGGCTTCAGGACGAGGTCGAGACAGCCCGTCAAGACTACGATTCTCTAGAACAGCAGTTCAGCAGCAAGCAGAGAGAGGTCGACGACCTGAAGTTCAAGCTGAAGGAGTCGCGCCAGGAACGTGACGCCTCGGAGAGCCAGCGCAGATCTATCGCTACCAAACTCGAGGAGCTGCGGGCAGATGTTAATTCAAAAGGCGACGAGAAGAACCTGCTGCAGAGCCGTCACGATGCATTGACAGCTGAGTCCGCCTCGTTGCAGAGAGACATCACGCGCCTGCAGAAGACAGTGTCAGACATGCAGGGCGAAGTTGAACGAGAACGGCAACACTCTCTAGACAACGAGCGCGAGATCCGCACCCAGCACAGGATCGAGATCGAAAGGTTGAACAGTGAGATCTCTGACCTGCAGGCAGAGGTTCGCGAGAAGGAAAATCTGTACGACAATGATAGCGAAAAGTGGGAGACAGAGCGGCATAACCTGGAGTCAGAACGCAACCGCGCAGAGGAGCGCGTACTGGGCCTGCAGAAGACGATCGAGAAGCTGCGAGAGGCCGAAGGTAGCCTGAACAACAAGGAGTCCAGACTGCAAGGAGCACTTCAGAGTGAGACGGAGCGTCATCATAATGAGGAAGCAGTGCTCAGCCGGCAGATCGACGACTTACAAGAGGATCTCTCATCTCGACAGCATATGTTGGAGAATCTGCGAAACGAGTTGTCTGCTGTCCGTGATGAGCTCCGACAGTCACTGCTGGACAAGCAGGTCGAGTCGGAGAAGGTCGAGAGCTTGGAGGACGAGGTTGAAGTACTGCAGGCCACGCTCGACGACGAGGGCGAGAAGTCTGCCCAAGAGATCGAGACTCTCACCAAAGAATGTGATGACTTGCGACGGGAGCTTAGAGAGCTGCGCCGGACCTCCGAACCCCGCCACTCCACTACGGATGCCACCCGTCAGGCTGCTGAGCTCAACGCCAGGGCGATCGAGCGCCTGGAGAAACAGGTTGACGAGTATCGTTTGAGCCTCTCTAAAGTCACGGTCGAGAAAAACGCCAGTGATCGCGAGTGTGAAGATCTGCGCCAGCAGCTTAATGAGTTGCGCAAGCTCACCGACTCAGCCAAAGCCTCAACCGATGCTTCTCGTGAAGCTGCTGAACTCAATGCAAGGTCTATCGAGCGCTTGGAAAACCAGATCTCTGATTACAAGACGAAGCTTGCCCGTGCGCAGGCGGAGAAGAAGGAGTACCAAGACCAGCTATCTAAAGTCAAGCTCGAGCTGCGCTCGTTGGACTCTCGACTGGCAGAGACCGAAGCTGAACGGGATGAGATCGATGCTGAGCTGCAGCGGTCAAAACAGCAAGACAATGACACATTCCAAATCGATCAAGAGCGGGTCAACCTGCGTGGAACCAAAGCACGGCTTGAGAATGAGATCCGCCGGCTGAGGGAAGACAACAAGAGCCTAATTGAGCAGCGGGACTCTCTGGAGAAGACGCTCGAGGATGAGTTAGATAAGGCGGAGGCGGAGGAAGACCGTCTCAATCAAGAGATTATCTCGCTTCAAGCAAAGACCCGACAGCTGCACGAGACCCAGGATCTATCCAAGGCCCGGCGTACGATTCGGGACCTTGAGCGAAAGCTCGAGGACTATCAGCACCAGCTGGCTCAAGCGACGATGCCAGTTGATACGTTGGATGGCAACAGCGAGCTATCGCTGATCAAGCGTGATCTATCTGCAGCTCGGAAGAAGGAACTGGACTTCATGCAGAAGGAGAGTGATCAAAAGTCCGTAATTCGAGGCCTCAAGCGCCAGGTTGGCGACCTCGAACGCCGGGTCCACGAGGCCGACATCTCCCGGCTGGTGCAATCGCCCATCTCAGAGAATGCGTCTGCTCGAAAGGCCGAGGTATCTGAGCTCCGACACCAGCTTTCTGTTGCCCACCAATCTATCTTTGAGCTAAAGAGTAGCCTCCGGAAATCTGAGCGCAAGGCCGCATCCATGGAGCAGGAAGTACGCCAGCGACTTGACGAGGTTGAGGACGAGAAGATGGCCTTGGAACAAGCTCTCGAGGATGCCCAAGAGGCGGCCGATGAGGCAAATGCAGACCTGACGGAGGCGGTCGATAAGTACAAGCTCAAGGCTGATAAGTATAAGAAGGAGCGCGACTCGATGGCCGTTAAGCTGGCAGCTGCTAAGCGCAGCCATGTGCAAGACACGATCAGCACCTTGGCCAGCACCGTGGACAGCGAGATGACCCGAGAAGAGCGTCACGACTTGTACGAGATTCTTCGCAAAACACAGATCGACGCCGATGCCCTGGAGCGTGAGGTTCGCGAGCACAAGGAGGCCTTGACCGAGCTTGCTGAGCTCGAGAAGAGCCTTCGCATCAAGCTTGACCGCGCCAGGTCCGAGCGTGCCCAGTACCGCTCTGACGTCGAGAGGCTCCAGCGAGATATGAAGTCCATCCGGATGGAGGGGTCCGACGTCGATAAGCTCCAGCGCGACATCAAGGCCCTCAAGAGAGCAAAGAGAGATGCCGAGGCGATTGCCAAAGCAGCTATGGCCCAGGCCTCTGTCGCACGTGCTCGCTTCACCGTCTCAACCTTCCCTCCCCTTCCTGGTAAGAGTAGTAAGGTTCAGGAGCGAGGGGGGCCAGCTCAGCCGTCTCGATCGAATTACCAACCGCCTCGTGTAGTCGAGGTTGAAGACGACGCCGACGAAGAGGACGACGACGATGTAGTCCATGTCAACGGAGGCGGCGCCGGTCCCACAGACGACGAGAACGCGGCGCGTGTCATTCACTTTAAGGACGATAATGATACGCAGATGCACACAGACACGATCGTGAGGGCAGCGCAGGCAGCGGAGCACCGGCATATCAAGCAGATGCGCGGCATGTGTATGCAGATGGAATGGATGCAGGCGCGGTGGGAGCGAGAGCTGCGGATGAGAGATGACGCCGCGTTTGCGAAGCAGTTCTTGATTTCGGAGATGAATGTCAAGGACTCGATGTAAGTTCGCTTCCGAATCTCCTAGGAGACATGAACATGCGTAGGGGGGTGGCTACTGATCAAAGTTTCCCTCGAACAGCAATGAAGCGGACCTCCTGAAGCTCGAGGCCCTCACCAAGCAACTCCGCCTCAAACGCTCAACGTCCCACCCCCAGCTTCCTTCGTTCGCCAAAAACCAGACAGTTGCTACGAATGGCACTGACAGACCCGGCCGTCTAACCCTCAAGCGCTTTACCACGGTCGTCCGCTTTGTTGTCAGGCTGCAGATGATGGCACGAGAGTGGAAGCGCCAGGAGGAGGTTCGAAAGATGCTCGCCAACAAGTGGGACGAAGCGGCCAAGCGCCCCGATCGCACGGCTGGTGTTAAGGCGCATGAGCTGCGACTCGGGAGTGAGAAGGCTGCGATTGCCCTCGGTGTGAACACTGGCGTGGAGGCTAAGAGGTACATGCAGAGGGAGGTGGATGGGTACACAGACGAGTGTGAGAGTAGTGCTGCACCTCTGGGGTTTGATGCGGAGGGGTTTGAGAGCTCGGATAAGGTAGCGGGGCCGAATGGTCATCATTTGGAAGGAGAGGACTTGGGTACCGAGGCATTCAGCGTGGACAGTATGTGAGCGATTTGAAGGGAAGAAGGAGATGATTGCAATGCGGTTGGCAAGGAGGAAGAGTTTTGCATTTCGTGCTGCATAGCTGGGAGTTCCTGCTAGACGGCACCGGCATCGGTTTGGAGTATGTACAGGGTAGGATGGGTCATTTGGCCAGAGATGAGTTTGGATCCATGCAACGATTGTGTATTAGTTTTCTTTCAGGAGTTGGGCCTGGTCTGTTAGCCAGGGCATCTGTTACTGGGGCAGGCGAACAGGTTTGAGGATGAGTTTATGGACCGCGTCTCGCATGATTATGCGCAGCGAATTCCAACAGAGCGTCAGTTCAGGCTTTGGACAGGAGCGCATTACCAAGTCTCTTCGATTCATTGTGTGTGTGCGCGCACACACACAGCACGTAAGACGGCAGGCGGATTGAACGTCAGCGGATAAACGAGATGATCGTTCCTAAAGGTGGCGCATATACATGCATCTTTGCGGCTCGCTCGCATCTCAAGCAACCCAGACCGAGTAGGACGGCACAGTCGTAGAGGATCAAGATAACCGCAGTTTAGTTGTAAGAGATGGTGAGAAGCATGGTTATAACGTCCTAACAGATGCTAGCGGCACGCTAATTGTGAATATACCTTGAATGATGTGATGCCCTTTCCTTTCCGTCCAGAACTAAGGCAAAAAGATAATCACAACCAGATTCGCGTCATCCCCCTGCGTGATGAGTGTAATTCCAGAGCCCATCAAAAGCATGAGAAATTTGGAATCCTCACACAAACTTTTTCTTTATACGACCCGTCGCGTCTCGTTCCCCTTCTTCTTCCATGCCGCGCTGCTACCTGAACCAGCAAATTGGGCGAGCCACAGAAGGAGTCGTGAGCCGCGTTCGTCCTCCCGCCAGTGCTAGAATTTTGAACCCGCCGTCTTGGTCGGGCTGTGTGCAGAGATGATTGATGAATCTGTTTTATATGTACCCGTTTCGTCATGACCATCGTAAAAGAAAAGAAGTGAAGAAAAGGAGGAAAAGGAAAAGGAAAAGGAAAAAGAATGTTGGTTAAGCTGTATTATTTACATAACGAAGAGGAGATCCGTATCTGAACCACAAAAAAGGAGATCAGTCTGTGGCCACAGCTGAGCTGATGAGTACCATACCTGTTCAGGACTTACTGAGGGGATGACTGCAGGACAGCTGGGGCCGCTGACTGTATTTGCTAGCGAGGGCGTCGCGAATGCTGTTGAGGAGCTGGACATAGCTCTGCTGCGGGTGCCTCTTGAGCGCCGTCATGAACGCCCAGGACATGGCGCCCGTTGCTTGCGCCGCGATGGTCGCATCAGCCCTGAAAAGCAGGAACAAGCCGTGGTCAGCATACTGTTTCTCAAAACAGCCCAAAAGAAAAGAAAGTACAATATATAGGTATATATATATAAAAGAATGTATACGTACGAAGTCTGGTCATCCTTGCTTCCAGAAAACATGATGACGTCTGCCGGCGACGTCTTGGTCGCCAGAGCACGCTCGTGAGCAGCGTCGCCCTTGGTCGCCCTGTTGAACAGGTTCATGCCCTTCTTGAACACGCTGCCGATATCGCCCTGGCTGTAGGACGACAACATGCCAAGTATGTTGGCACCGGCCTCCTTGGCAAGGTTGGGCTCCTTGAGGACGCCCTGGGTCGAGTAGATATAAGGAAGGTCGAGCGCCGTGCCGGAGTGGCACGAATCAAAGATGGCTGTAAGGCGGACGCCAGGCTGTAGCGGCTTGACCATGATCCTGTGCATTTCATCGTCCGTTATGTGCCCAGTCTGCCGGAAGTCCACGGGATAGATCACCTCGTCGTAGCCGTCGTCCTCGTCGCCGTCTAGATCTTTTGTCTGGCCTCCATGCCCTGTTGAAGAAAAAATTCAGCCAAAAAATAAAAATAAAGAGTCATTCAGGGCGAGAGACATGCACACGGAGAGGAAAAAGGGGGAGTTTGGGGGGGGGGGGGGAGGAACTGACCAGAGTAGTGCAGGAACAGCGAGTCGTTGGGGCGGGCGTCCTTGACGAGCCAATGCATGGCCCTTAGGATGTTCTGCTTGGTGGGCTGGCTCATGGGGTTCTGTTGGTCGTCGGTGAGGATGACCATGTCTTCGCGTTTGTAGCCAAAGTGCTCGACCAGGTACGCGGACATGTTGCGCACGTCGTTGATACAGCCTCTCAGCTGGCCGCGCTGGCCAAAGTAATTGATGCCGATGAGCAAACCTTTCCTCCTGCCGTTGCACTGCGAGTACTGGAAATTGTAGTGCTGCGGGTGGCCGTAACCGAAGCTCTGGGGGGTCGAGGGCGGTGGAGGCGGCGCATTCTGGTTCCCTTGCATGTACGCGTTCGAGCTTGCCGAGGGCACGGCTGCACACGAGGAGGATCTCAGATTAGATACCTGTGTATACGTGTATGCACGTGCATATATCTGTGTATAATAGGTATATGTCGCCTCATCTGCCGCCCTTCGAGTGGGCAGATGCTCAGGGAGGAGATGGAGGAAACGGGAAAGGAGTGGGGGGGGGGGGGGTTGGGACTCACCCGGTCTGCCACCATAGTTGCTCGGTTGCGGAGGGCTGTTGTACCCATAATTTTGTGAAGGAGGCTATCGAAAACAGTAAGCAAGGCTGTTAGAGAGGCCGACACAAGAAATAAGGAAAGGGGGGGAGGGAACAGAGAGGCGTACTTGTTGATGGTAACCGTTAGTCTGAGGAGAAGGATAGCCGTAGTTGGGTTGTGGAGGGGACTGGTAGCCGTATCCGGTCGGTGGGCTGCGATTGGGAATGGCTCAGTCAGACGGGAAAGCAGGCAAACACAGAGGGGGAGGGGGTGCAACAGAAGGTGGCCTCATACGAAGAGTAGTAAGGCTGTTGAGGGTAGGCTCCTGGTGGGGGAGCTCCTCCGTAAGAACCACTACCGTGGTAACTCGAATAGCCAGACATGACGTATTGCCTCTGGGCTACTCGGAAACTCTGGAGTCTCTGGCACACTCGGCACTTTCGGGGACGGCTTCTTATACTCTCGCAAGAGGCTGATGGTGCCGTCGGAGGCGGTTGAAGAAAAGGAGGAGGACGAGGGCGAGATCGAGGACGAGGAGGAGCAGGACGAGGCCCTGAGGACGAGGTCTCGGCCGAGGCGGAAAAGCAGGAGGAGGGGCTTCGAGCTTCAATTCACGGGAGGTTCGAGGATGGCGCCAGCCACGCAACGGGAGGAGGAAACTGCGATAAAGGAGACAAGAGAGAGCCAAGCCGTAGTAGTGAAGCTCTCTCTGTTCTGCTTTGATTGGGGGCCGAGCCAGAATGCCAAGACAGAAAAACAGATGGAGGGACCCGAGACGGAGAGTCGCGTAGGGGTCCTATATAATAGTACTAAGCAGCAACGTGGTGATGGGAAGATCCGAGATAAATTGGGTCGCGACGAATTGCGCAGTGGAAAGAGTTATGGCAGAGCAAGGGCAAGGCAGGACAAAGCGGCAGGACAAGCGGCAGGACAGGGTGGGAGGGGTCATCCCAGGGGTGTGATAGGACCAAAGACGACAAGCCACGAAGATGACTTTTTTTCTTCCTTTTTTTTCTTCTTCTTTTTTTTTCCCCTTCCCCCCCCTCTCTTTTGGATTAGGTGTGTCGCTACGTCGGGGCCCAATTTCGTCCCGCCAGCCTGAGCCGAATTCCCGTCAAGGAGGAAGATGGAGAAGAGGAAGGGAAGACAGGATTGGATTGGGTTGCAATTGTTTTGTCACATCGAGGCTGAGATGAACTGGCAACGTAGCAGTTTGACAAGGGGGAAAGAAATGAAGACATAAAGAAAGAAAGAAAAAAGAGAGAAAAAACCACAGGACGCAAACAAGTAAAGGAGAAGGCCGGGGGGGGATGGGTTGGAAAAGTGGGAAACATCAGTGAGGAACTTGTTGGTGTGGAGAATCCGTCCGTCAGAGTTTCGAATGCGACAGTGCTTTGGCACTACTGGATTGTACATAGTACATACACTATGGTGTATTGTATGGGGAGGAAGAGCGGAAGGTGGAGGAGTCGTAGCGGGGAGAGCGGAGAGAGTGGCTCACCGTGGGCCAGGCGGAGTGCATACCACAACATTATGTCACATGCATGCATACAAAACAACTCACCGTACAGAGTAGTGGCACCTGAGTACACACTAAAGGTCACATACCACGGTAATACTCCAAAGAATCGTACGTCGTTGCATTAGCTGGGATGGCTGTGTGCAAACGGTCATGGCTTAGAAAGCTATGGTGTGTCATGTGCATATGATGTGTATCGCAAAACTTAATCTCGAACTGACACGACAATCATAAATTTAGAAATGCCAAGCGCATGTCGTATAAGGTGTGTGAGTGTGAGAGAGTGTGTGTGCTGTGGGTGTGCATGTGTGGAGGTGTGCGTGAGTGTGTGCGCAAGTAAGTGAGTAGGTGTGTTGAGTGCTAATATGATGATGTTGCAAGCCACAAACTAGGACATGCCCTATGCGTCGTCGCCTCAACGTTTTTTGTTTTTTTTTGCCTTTTCTCTCTATTGTTGTTTTTCTTCTTCTTTCTTGTCCCCCCCCCCCTCTTTCTTCTTTCGTTTGTCTCCGTTGGATCGTCACTGCGTCACTGCGCCGAGGCTGAATTAAAAGTATCTCGTGGCACTTGTTGTATGTAGATCCCAGTACCCACATACAAGCCCTGTGGATGGTAGTAGTAGGAATTCATAGCATAGCACCTTGAAGATTTTGTGTTGTTTCTCTCCTTGTCTATTATTATGCAAAAAGAAAAGAAAGAGAAAAGGCTTGACTTCTTACTCACAGGGCTTCACAGTCAGTAAATATCACTCAATCGTACCGCTGTTATTAGACGGTTCAGGAAAACCACAACAACAATGGCATCTTCTCGTCGACCTCAAACTCAGAATCGTATGTCTGGGCCTCGTCCTTGACCAATCGGCCTTTGCCGCAGGCTGGTTGAGGCGAAGCACTGCGGCCGGGCTAGGCTCAACACAGGCCCAAAGGTTGCGTCGCAGCACCGGCCCCGGTTTCCTCTTGTCTCTCCTTCCTGCAACGACCGTCTGACTCGGCTAAGCAATGCAACCCTCTCTTTCTTTTCCCTCTACTCCTCCTCGACCGCAGCTTCAGCTCCTCTTCTGTGCCCTCAGCGCCCTGCAGGCCCCAGAAAGAATGCACCACCATTGCATGCTTTACTCACCATGGATGGGCTTGGCTAATAGGCCCCAGGATGGGTTCGAATCTAGCCGCCCGACAAGAAAATCTGGTTTGCTCGGAACTCTGATTTCCCGCCGCCACTATAACCTCGCTCTCGCCTCTTCAGGACACAGGGCACAGGGCACAGGGCCAGGCCAGGCCATTCCGCCCCCCCCCCCCATTCCTACCCTCGGGACATGCGTCCTCGTGCAGAGTCTGCATTTGCTGCCATCATCATGGACGAGGTGTGCCGACCACCACACACGAAAATGTCAGACACGTGGCAGCCAGGTCTGGGCGGATGGCTGCGTGTCGGAAAGGAGGGAGGGGTAGGATTGCATCTCGATCAACTAATATACGATGGATATGCACACTGTACGTATGCACACCAAATACGGGAAGAGGGACCTGCTTCAGTTTGGGAAATCCTCTTCAGGCGTGAGCTGCTATATTGAATCCACCATATGCAGGCCGAGTTGGGAAACGACTTCGTGACCTGCACCACACACACAGATACAGAAACATGCACACGGCTTATCTGCGCGGAGGGGAGACCCCACGGGACGACCGATGTGCTGAGATTCGGAACGCCACGCGGCAGGACAGGCCCAATGGCAACGCATTTTTGGGCTCAACACCATCCATGCCTGTCGGCCCTTGTGTTTGTGATGGAAGTACACCCTCACGCATATTTGTAGGCTAGCCACAGACATGTCTCACCATCTGACAGCCCCTCCCTTTCGTTATGGAGGAAATTCAGGTAGGCCACCCCACCCAACAAAGCTAATGCTTATTCCGTCTGTGGTGGGGGTCTCATGTGCCGGCTTTATCGACCATTTCAATAGCATGTCTCTTTACTGATGCCTAAAACCTGCACCGACACTAGTTCCAGCATACATGTCGAGACTGGGCCATCGCTTGGAAATCGGTGGATGAGAAGACCTCTTCTCGGCCTCACGCATGATGGCTCGTAGTGCGCCTAGAAAACACCTACAGTAACGGATCGGTTCAATAGCTAACAGCTAAAGGACCATCATGTCAAAACTCGACGAGGCCGAGTGCTGCTTGCTTGCGCATGACAGCCAGATCCCAAGATTTCGTGCACCACCAAGGCCAGAACCATCAATCGCAACTTACATCGTAGGCCTGCCTTTTTTTTTTCTCCTTTTGAATCTATTTTTTCTTTCTTTTCTTGCTTTACCTTGCTTTCTTCCTTCTTCTTTTTCTTTGTCCGGCCCGGGCCTGACGGTACATGTGGGCCTCAATGTGGTATTCGACTATTCAAATTGTCCGCGAGGACGAGTGTCGAGCTCAACACTGACACTCACACGGGACCTTGACTCTGGATGAAGCCCTGAATTCTCAATATCGATAATAAAGAGGACCTCATTTCTCGCCTAGTTCCCCGAACGCTCGTCATCACGGCCCGTTCCAAGGCAGCCGTCTGACGGAGTTCGTCCTTCGCGAGATGCTTAATTTTGTCGCATCCTGCCGACTAGTTACGCCCTGGGGCTACGAAGAGGGCCCAATGTTGACGACAAGTCGATGAAGCGGGACCATGGATTAACTTTAGCATTCTGGAGATCTAGTCGAAACAAATTAGTACGCGCTACGGGACAGGATACTTGGTAATTTGATCACCGTCTGTGACTGCACTATCTCGTGTCTCCGAACCAATGTCTTCCTGTTAAACCCTTGCTGCATGGCACTGAGTCTGGACTTGTTCCTTACGCACGTATCGGCTACAAGCCCCCACCACCTTCCCAGCATACTGGCGATTACATTCCGCAACTCCCGCACCTTACATATGCATGCTGGCCAAGTGATGACCCAAGGGCAAGTCAGTCTGACATCCCTGCTACGTCTTGCCCTTCTTCCTTCAGGCCTATTCTCTCACCTCGATCTGCAGCAGATCATGCAACCTGCCCATACACAGCGTCAGGTGGAGATTGCTTTGCTGACATGTGGCGCGCACCTCGCGCGTGAGGTGCCCGTGGGGCTGAGCGCTCGGCTCCCCCAGATACTAGCTGAATACGAAAAGCAATGCCTGCTCGCGTTATCGTTGGCCTTGGTGATGTCCTGATTTCTCCGTAGTGCGTCAGTAATAAATTTATGTATGCAGAGCGGCCGAACCTTACTCTCACCCTCCCCCAAATCAGCCTAGCCACGAGCCGTACCTACAGGAGTGATGAGGCCAAACAGCAGCTTGCATCCGGGGGTGAGGGCGAAGAGGTAAGTAAACATACGACCCGGCACAAGACGATCAATTCGGGGCATCGATCATACAGTTTCTCTTGCCTCTTGTGGAGTAATAGCAATCTAACGGAACTTCTGCATACTTGGGTAAGGACATCCTCTCAACTTCTCTTCCAGGTTCGTCCTGATGCCGACGCTTCTTTGTTCTTGTGCCTTTCGAAGTCTCGAAGCACAACTCCCAAGGTTTTGGGCTTCTGTGTGGGAAAAGAAGGGGGGAAAGGAAGAAAGACTGTCGTTTGGATCCCTCTTCTCCCAGGGAAAGGGTGGATTGCGCGATCTTTGGGCTTATATGTAAGTAATTACCGGTCCCTACATGTATCAAGCCTAACCACTGCAGCAGAGACACCGTTCACCACCGAGGTCCACGTAGAAACCGGTTAGGTAGCATCCCCGAGACAGTTTCGTAATCTCATGAACATTACAATCTGCCTTCTAGTGATTTGAAGACAGCCTGCGTGGAAAAGACAACCGCGCCGGTCCTCCTTTCCTAGATTCTGACAGGCCCATCAACCTCTTGCACCTTAGGTGCACAGCAGGCACGGCAATTGGCTCAAGCCTACACCAAGTGATGGTTAACAATGATACCACGACTATCATAACTCGGGGACACACTCGAAGGAGAGTAATTCAAGAAGCTGATAGACTAGGTGACCGTGAATAATTCCTGACTCGTTCTGCATATCGCCCAGGTGCCACGTCTGCCACTAGCTGCTATCGTTCTTCAAATTCCATATCTGGTGCATGAGATATAATAGAGCTGGAAAAAAATTGAAGCTAATTAAAAAAATGTTCCTGGGGTCAAATTTACTACAAATGGCTCAGCGAATACAGTTGTTACTAAAATTAACAGCGGCAGAGGTTCAAGGACTTGAGCGCCAGGAGATTTTGAAGGGTTGACCAGAGAGTAAACTATTTATTGCCTGGCTCTGACCAGGCATCGTTATTTGAAAGGTATATCGCATTGAATCAGGGCAAATCCTAAAGTTTAGCTACAGTATCGATCAAACGCGTTGGGTATATACAAGACCATACCCAGTCTATCAAGGGGAAAACCACATGCACGACTGGGTGACCTGGGCAAGTTTTCGAGATACATAACATCATGTCCTTGAATAAGCGTATCAATTGTTGTGCCTCGATAGTGAATTACCCAATCATTCCTTTCCTAGGCCATATCGTTTCATTAGCCATGCCAGTCGAATATGAATTTCAATGTTCTTCGTGGCTAGAATCTCTAGTATTTATCAGTCCAATCCAATTACTTGGACGAGTGTGACTGAAGGCACCGGAATATTTGAAGCTGACATTCAAAGAATACCGAGAATCTCTTCTGAAGAAATCGCAGATGTCTCTCTTCACCCCTACCTGGACTATGTACTGTGCGAGATCCTTAACCTACGACATTCCATATGATCAGCCCACACCATTTCCAGATTGTAGTGCGGATAGTCGTCCTATGAGGGCTCGCATATACACAGTTGCTCGCTGTTATGCCATTTTGTAGAGACATCAGTAAGCTAATATACTGTACCCTTGGCTTGTAGCATTGGATACAATTATTTGTTATTAAAAGGCGTTGTATGGAGTGGCAAGATCTGGACACAAATGTTTGGGCAATTACGGCGGCTGGTCTCATGGAATGCCTAGAGGTACATATGACTTGACTAATGCTATGTAATGACTTGAACGCGTAACTTCTTTGAAGATAAAAATGTTGCTTTTACTACAGCAAAGCTCTCAGCATTCACACGATTGCAGTACTGTATGCTCGGTTTGCAAACAGAGCTGAAGCCCACTGCTATCAACTTGGCGTGAGCAGTTCTACAACCTCCCATGATAGTGCCTTAACGGGTTTCGGGTAGACTCTGTCGATTATGAAGACACATTTGAATGAACAGCTGTCCTCGTCTTGTACGGTTTTACCAATACATACGATTCTTCCCAAAAATTAGATGAGGGTTCTCAATTCTGATCTCTCTTAGTCCTCCTCCCGTTCCATATCGCACAATGCAGGACTCAATCTGGAAGCTCGACACTAAGCGGAGAGCAAAGCGTACCAGTGGAGACTGTGATAAGAGAATATCAGATACTCGCGACTGTGATCTACGCATGAGAAGGCAAGCCAGTGTTTCGCGGGCAACCTTGGAAGCTGCAGATCTGTACGTTATTTAGTCTTTTCGGGAGATTGCTCAAACAAATGCGGTTGTGGCCTACAGCTCGGCCTTCACAAGTTCCACAATGTAAATAAATCGGTAAGTTCAATGACACTGGGATTAACACGGAAGCCATCGACCGACTGAGCTGCAAATTTCACCGGGTGAACGTCATGGCGACAAGATTAAAGATGGGCAACTTCAGAGAATAAATAGTATGGAGAGAGCCGTTTGCTATACTTACGATAGGTTTGACTAACAGGATATTGTAGGGGACATGATGAACAGAGACGAGCGGGGCTAAGAGAAGAGGAAGTCTAGTCGACGGTGAAGAGAGGCCGCGATTAGGGAGTGTAAACCTGCTGACCAATCGTTCTGTCGAGAAGCGTTATCCTTGAGTTAATAAGACACAACACATATAGCAACTAACTAAGTGAAATAATGTCTTACTTGAAAATGGGGGCTGGCGATCAATAATAGAATGAAAGTCTATCATGGTAATGACATACCGCTAGACTGTAAGTAATACCGAACAAGACAAATGCAGTTGGTGTTGCTGTTATTTTTAAGTACTTCGGTGTTCGGGCATGCTGCCCCGGTTCCGGCTCGGTCCCGTCCCCGAACGTAACATTAATGACAGCGTGAGGAAGGAAGCCCATCTGACACCTTGATAATGCTATGGAAGATTGACATTTACTTATACAAAAGATGGCCAAAAAAAAAAAGTGCCAGGAACGCTGTATACAACTTTTTCTGCGTTCCACGTACATCTCTATGTCTGATGTTGATAGGGAGGGACAAGCTATCTAGATCTCTTGTATCAGTCCTCTTGGGGAGTTTGAACATTGGCATACCAGGTGACGTTGGTGATCGATTACTGTATTGGATCACCACGCTTGTTGATAGTGGATCCTTATAAGCCACGAGCATCAAGAGCTGTCTTAGCCATAGGCCTCTGGTACCGGACTAGCTTTTGAAATGAGAAATGGGTGTCACCCGGGCAATGTCAGACACAGACGTAGTATTTGGCCGCAGGATGATATGCATTCAAGGGCGGCGTGGGGGGTTCATGGTTGAATCCTTCACACATGTATCAAAGGTCTGCTATATGCGGTCCTCCTCCTCTCCAGAAATTGCCCTTCGCAGAGCTGACTGCATTCTACGCTGTTCCTTTCACTTTGTCGTGCATTTTACGCATCTCTCGTCCTTGAACTCCACCAACACATATTATGCAAGATGGCCAGCCTGGCTTTGTATGATGGTGCCTATGCCATAGCGTATACTACCTTCGCTTTGGGTCTCTTGACCACAGTCCTGAGATACTATGCGCATCTTGTGATCACGAAGTCATGGGGTCCTGACGACTCTGCATCCGTCGTTGTCCTTGTACGCCACCAGCAGCCACCGATGTTAACAACGTTTCGGTCGCAGACCACCCACTGACAGCTTCACGTGTGAAACTATAGGCAGCGATGCTCGTGCAACAGGGTTTGCTTCAAGTGCTTCTTAGTGGAGGTTGTGGATTGTACGCTGCTCTTCAAGGCCCGTGAAACGTTCTACAGAGTGCTGATGGTGTGCCTCTCAGACCCGGAATGACATGTGGGATAGAAGGTTATACATTCTACAAGGTGAGTGGAGGCCACGCACATCATATCTCTCGGTTTACTCGCCAACCTTCGCTATCGTGATTGCTCCAGGACTGATGGTGTCACAGGTCATATTCTCCGAGGAAATTGTTGTATACACGTTACACTTTGTGATCAAGATCACTTTTCTCCTTTTCTTCCTTCGGATATGGACAAGCTCTGGGTCTCGCAAATTCGTCTTCGTGGGACTGGCTGTCAACGGCTCCATATTCCTATCCAACATGTAAGCCGCCCGTTTTTCACAATCTCTGGTAATGCATAAATTCGAGGACGGAAAAATGCTGAACATCGAGAAGACTCCTCACATGCCTTCAGTGCAATTCCTTCCAAGCAATATTTGACCCAGCATCGGCACCCAACGCGGTATGCCTGGACCAGCTTACGGTCCTGATTATCCCTCCTGTCCTTGTGAGTCCAAGTCCATGCATTGACCTTGCCAGAGCCAAGAATTTATCAAGGGAGGAGGTGGATGGTACTAACAGTAAAACTCCCCTACCTCATGCAGAACATTGCCATGGACCTCTACATCCTGGCCCTCCCAGTCGCCGTGGTCTGGAGCCTGCAGATCTCCACCCGGAAGAAGCTGCAGATCATCTTCGTCATGAGCTTCGGGCTCTGCTCGGTGGTCGTGGCCTGTGTCCGCCTGTCCGTCATCCCCTCGCTGGTGTCGGGTCCCAACGAGACACGCCAGCTCGAGGAGATCATCATCGCGGCCATCGAGATACAATCCGCAATAATCGCCATGAATTTACCGTCGATGAAGGCCATCTGGGCCCGGTACTACCATAAGCATGGTGACTCAGGCGCAACCAGCGGCTCCGAGTCGCGCCTAAAATCTTACGAGCTCGCGTCCACGATGAAAAGCTCACGAAGCGCCTATTATGTGGAGGCAAGCTCGAGGTCTCAGGAGAAGCCGGATACGGTTTCACGGCCTGTACAAGGCAGCACGCGCTCGGGGTCGGAGGAGAGACTCTTTCAAGGCCCAGATGATAGTCGGCTCTGGCCGTTCATCTCGAGGGACAGCGAGCAGCCGATACTAGAGGCCACACTGTCGAACCAGCCAGGAGTTTATGTCACAAGGCGGTTTGAGGTAAGTTCTGGGGTTGCTCATGCGCCAAGGGTATATCATCCTGAGGGAAACGAAGCATGAGATGATATGTATACAACAACGTTGGAGACGACAGACACGACCCCCTCCAGAGATGCCGATCCTAATATTGAATTCTTGTAAATTTCCTTTCCAACTTCTCAAGTCCTCGATTTTGCAATGAGTGGTCCAAGACGTTGACAATATGATGATGAATAAATTTCTCATTGTCTCTCCTGTTGTAAGATTCATATACATACTGGAGAGTACGGGATTGTTCAACATGGGACCCAAATCTAGGTTGTCATCTAAGTGAGAACCATGCTATCTAATGGGACCCATTACCCAGGGGAACCCACCGGGAGAAGTGTGTGGGATGCAACCGCAATATGTTGTGCTCACTTCAGGCCTTGTGCTTTTCTCTTCCAGTGCCACAAAAGAAATCCTCCACGCTACAGCAGTCCCCGTTACACTTGGTTTGTTGCGAGGACCTTGCTGGCCTTACCGAGGCGACGGTTCTCTCCCGGCTTTTGAAAGGTGGCCACGAGGTCATCCGACGCATCGATAGGTTCCGCCCAAAGAGATCCTATCCTTTCGAGCCTCCCTCCTTGGCCTGGCGACCCTGCAAGACCTTGATGCCTCCCTCGTCGCTCTCTGTTCCGTCATCCTGAGACTTCCGCATGGCGTACGCCATGACAACCCAAACAGCCCTCATTGCCTCCACCCTGTCCTGAGCTATGAAGAAATCGAACCAACGCGTCCGCCAGACCTCCACTCTGCCCCGACCGGCCACCCCTGAGTCGGGCTCAGCGCTGCCGAGGACCCCCAGCAGCCGATCTGGAACCCTGACTCTGAGGATAGACACGTGGTGAAACAGCGAGCTGATCACAAACACATCGTCGTAGTCGGTACCGCGCTGCCGGCCGATAGCAGTGTATCTAGTCTTGGGGTCCCACTGCATGGCGGGCGGGCGGACCATGCGGTATGCATCGTATATGGCCAGTCCCTTGCGAGGCCGCTTGGGATTGGGGGGTTGCAGTGCTGAGGAGGAGGAGGAGGAGGAGGAGGAGGAGGAAGACGAGAACAATTCCGAAGAGCGTGACGAGGACGACGCCGAACCCCGAAGCCATGAACTCCGGGACGATGATCGGCCAGCGGTCAGCGAAGGGCTACTGCTGTTCTTACCAGCCGCAGATGGGTTGTCGCCTTCCACAGGGTCCTTGGTAGGCATCTCATCCTTGTCCCCCACCAGGAGGGCAGTGGTGTCTCTGGCGTCTAGCTGCTCTGCTTCTTTGCCAATGGGACCACCAGGTCCACCGCCCCAGCGCGGCCTTGTCGCCCACCACGCGTCCTGACCAATACGCTCCTCCTGTTTGCCCTCCCGGGCGCGATGCTGCGCTGTAATCAGTGCTGCAATGATCTCCCGCGACAGGTCAATAACCGAATCGCGCTCCCGGCCCTTGGGAGGGAAGACAGTTGTGTGACGCGGGCTGACGGCCGCGATGGGGCCCTCGACAATACCACGCTTGGCAGAGTCGCGGTCGGGCGGTGTCCGGTAGATGAAGCTGCAGCCGGAGGAGAAGGAGGAGTGCCTGTAATCCGGGCTAAGAGACTTGATGTACAGCCGAGGGTCCTGACGGGTCGTCAGGTTGCACGAGAAGTCATAGGTGACGAGCTTGAGGAAAGAGGCCAGGAGCTGCGTGCGGTGCTGCGCCGGCATGGAAGAGCCCGCACTCGTGCGGTAGAACGCGACACCTTCACTGTCGGGTGCGTCGTCGGCTTTGCCACTGCCTTCAGTTGGGCCGTTTCCATCTGTCTGTGTAGAAGAAGGCTTTGCGGTCGACGTATCATCCCAGTACCCCGTGAAAATCTCCAAAGAACGGAAGAAGTCATGACAGTAGCCCAGTCTCACGTATTGCTCGCCGGGCTTTGGCGCTACCCTCCTCACAGACCGAAAGGCTCGATCGTTCGCAGTAAGGAGGCACTGCTGCAGATCGAGGTACTTGGAAGCACCTGGTGACAACCTGCCATTACACAGCACCAATCGAGACTCACCATCGACAGCATGAACCTCTTCCTGGGTTAGAGATTCCCACCTCGCAAAATCCGGCACATACGACGGGTCCGGTATAAGCCGGTCTAGTGGGATGTCGGGAGTCACGTGTACACCCAGGGCCTCGAGATGAGCGATCTCGACCTGGTCTGCCGGTCGAGCAAGTGTCTGAAGGAGAGCCGGCAGACTCTGAACCTCCGGGCCAGACTCGGCCGAATAAGACCTGGCAGGCCCTGGCAGACACTGCGGTAAATGCACCGGTGTAGGCGGTGGAACATCCTTTGGGGGACCATGCGACTTTAGTGGTGGAGGAGGAACTGGAAGATGGGTTGTCAGCATCCAAGGAGAGACCGAGGATTTTTTTGGGGGGGGGAGGGGGGTGTGGTTGGGGCACGAGGGTCAGAAGGAAGAAGGGACGCTTAACACGGAGGGAATGAGGCTCTTTTGAGACGTCTGGGGCAAGACATGGTACGAAGTCGATCAGACACGGCCCAGCATCCGAACCAAGATGGCAGATGTGACAAGACAACGTGAGCTGCAATGTGAGTTTGCCCTTTTCGGCGCACTGTCGAGGTAGACAGCCGTCTTCAGGTGACAGAGGGGGATTTGGGCCATGCTTCATGGTGTGAGGGCAGACGAGCAGGAGAAGGCCAGGGAGGAGGACATACCGAGGTGGGCGAGGTTGCCAAACATGATGGAGAGCACGAGACTTGGTGCCTATCTTGTACAAGTTTGAAGAAGCCAGCCGCGGTTGGGTGGTCTGGGCCTGCTGGAGAGAATCGACTTGTGCGTGTGCTGCCGAAAGGGGACTCTAGCAGGGGATCTCTACCGTATCGATTGCTGGGGTGGTGACGAGTTGATAGAACAGACTAGACACGCCTCGCGTGCTAGCTGCTGCAGACGACCTGGGTGGGACACGAACGCCGCTCGTGTCCTTTGGGTCCCCCGACTGAGATAATAGTAAGCAGCCAGAGAGAGTGAGAGAAACCCAATGGGGGCAGCCAGGCCCAGCCAGTCAATCTCCCAGACGAGCAGTCTCATTCGTCTGTCAACTTGGTGAGATTGAGCTGTGTATGCGTGTATTGTCTGCACACGTAATGGATCACGCCTCTCAACTTCACAGTCTCACTCGATTGAGAGGGACACGACGTGGTGCAATCGAGGTTGTCGTTGTAGTTCAGTTGGTGTGGCACAGGAGCGAGAGCGCAGTGGGGATAAAATAACCCCGCCATTTCGGTCCAGAACTGAACGAAGGCTGAAGTGCAAAAAGCCCCAGTGCCTGGGCGGCAGGCCTTGCAAGCAAAGACCTAGAGTCGTAAGCTCTCATGAGAGCAATGGATCAGAGTTGAGAAAAATTTGAAGGGATGAATATAGCTTGGACCGGTAGACTTCCCAGGTACTTCCTTAGGCTTCCGACCCTCTGTGGTGGTCTGATGCAATGTATTTCGGCTCTAACCCCAACCCTCTGAAGCTGTGACTAGTCGATGTTTTTCCATATATTGCGTATCTCTTATCTATTTACATATGGATCTCTTCTTCCCCTGCTTTTGGACTGTCAATGAGTATATCCTCGTTGAGTACATGTTTAGATCCAAAAAGAAAACGACAACAGGGATAGGTGTAATTGGTAAGTGTCATGGGAAAAATTCGGAAGGCATAATACTTGTGTCGGTATCGTCTTCTTGGTGCATTCGCGGTGGCCGTTCATCTAAGTGACGCTGGATCTGAATTCCATATGACAGCTTCCAGATGTCTCTGGAGCCCATCAGTAGCTGCAGTCGGGTTGCACGGGTGCCCAGTATGATCGTCACACGATCGCACAAGACAGAGCTTGCTGTGCTCTGATCATGACGCCTGGGATTCCGTGCAGCGAGCGTGGTTCAAAATCTGTTAGGTGCCCTTCTTCTTTCACCATGATGGGCTTCCTGATGTTCAGCCTCGCCCGCTGTGTGATGTGCCGCAGATCCTGTTGACGACCAGACGCAGTAAACACCCGTTCTACCGGAAGGCCAACACGGACTCGGGTGTTATGCAATTGCATATATCACTGTATAGCCGCGACAACGCAGTGGATGCATTGTGTGTGGTTTGGGGTGGGGGGGGGGGAAGGTGCTGATCACGTATGAATTCCAGATTCTCTTCAGCACACGCATTGTGTTGACCCTGTATTTTCTCTGGCCATTCCGGGAGCCGCTCAAGCTGATGAGACGATGGTGATCGGGGTGATCTGCACTATAGAAGCTCATATCCATTCATCCGCCCGCAGAGGAACAGATGACTCTCGGCCCGGAAAGGTTGAGATGTACACTGCACACTGCACACACGCTGTTGACGACCATTGTTGGAAGCTTTTGTATCGACAGGACAGGGCCATGATATCTTGCCCGTTATGCCGAACGCATAGAAACAGACGTATACTTGTGTCTGTCTGCCCCTGAGTCGTGTGCATTGCAGCAGCTAGGAAGAGAGGGTAGACAGCAGTGAGAGCGACTGCGGTGCCTCCATACTACAGTAGTGCGTAACGTGTTGCGTGTCAGTGCTAGCATGTGCCGAAGAGAGATGGGATGAAGCTTTTGTATGCATCTTGAGCCGCCCTGTGGTTATGCAGTATGATTACTATGTAGGTACGCAGTACCCTGAGAAATTTCCTTCGAGAGGAGAGAAAAGCTGCAGCTCTGGCAGACAATGAACTTGGCCGTGGGCAGGAACTTGTTAGGGTAGGAGACAGAGTATGCTTCCTCCCTCGTACTCTCCTCTCCAAACTCAGATCTATGATTACAGTATCGATCGGTTGCTCCTTCCATTGCGGGTCATTAACCACTCATTCCTACGGAAAAGTGACAGGTTTTTCAGAACATGACCGCATGAAGAAGTATATTACTACGCCTTGGGTATGGGTGACATGAACTCTGGGCACAATGGCGGAATTTGAATGCACCGAGGGATCAACTCGGCGCCAGCGGGAAACACGTGGGGAATGGGCCAACCAGGTCGGGAAGCTGGCAAAGCCTAAAACATTTCCGACCAGGAAAGGACGTTTCAATGAGGGATTGATGAGTGGGGCGAGGCGTTACGTCGCAGGCGCCTCTTGCCTTCCTGCTACCATACTATGTACTTGGGGTATTCATTTCTCAGTACTGTGACTTCAAAAGGCTGGGAGGAGGAGGAAGGAGTCATACCCCGTTGTTGCCCATCCTCCCCCTCCTCTGTGGGCCCATCTAAGTACAGTAGATCCTCCGTCATGTACGATCGACAAGTCACCGTGCACTATGGTATGCATATTTACTGACTTGCTGGTCTAGCCCCAGGGCCTGGCCAACTTGCTCGAGGCCTACTGCTTCAGTCATGATGGTCGAGGGAAGAGGAGATGGACCTTTCTTCGCTCACACTTCAAATCGTGACGATAAAGAGTACTTACTTTTGGCAGATTGGGAGACCACTTACTTACTCAGCTGGCACTGCATACATACTTACTCTGTACCAGACTTGGGTTTGGCTCGCGCCTTGCAGGCATCACGGGGTTGAAGATGGCCCCCCCTGGGACTTGAGTGCTTCAAACTTGTCGCAGGACATGGGGCCCACCACAACCAAAGTGGGAAGGACAAGGGCGCCAAGTCTGCAGGATCGCCCCCGTCTTGTGCCTGGAGCTTCAACTCTTCGGGACTAGATTCCAACTCGACGGGCCAATCCTAGCCTCGTCCAGCCCATCGTCAAACACGGGCAACGTCCAAAGTCGCAAACGCACCCGAGCCATGTTGCGGTCCAGCTTCTGAGATGGCTGTACCGAGACAGTCCTCGTTACATGGCACACCACAGCCATGCATCCCCCATAAACTTCTCTTTCTCTCTTTGTTTCTTCCACCACCACCATCAATACAACTCACTCATCCAGGGGCCTGGTCTGCTCTGTGTGGTCTCCCCCTCTCTCTCTGCTTTCGTCATCTATGCTGCCCTGGTACGCATCGAAAAGGCAACATCCCTAGTCACTTTCGTCTTTGGGGTGTATGTGTGTGTGTGTGTGTGTGTGTGTGTGTGTGTGTGTGGCTGTCTTGCCTGGAGACGACGACTCCTCTTACTCCTCGGCTTCGAACACTCTTTCTTCCGAATACCCATCCACGCCTGAGAGGGAAACCCCCCCGGTCCTGTCGCAGACCACACCTCGCGCAGTTTGATCTGATCTGATCTCTTTCCTCTCCTGCAACCCCGGATCCTGCCCAGGACTGGTCTGGCACACAACTGCCACGTCTTTGCATTTCTCTTTTCCAACAAAACCAATATCGTGGCCTTCCTCCTCGACATCGACACCCAGCCCTTTGCTCAGCCCTACTCCGATCCGGGTCGAGTCTTTTCTCTCTCCTCCTCTCCACCAAACACCAACTATCACCAACGGCTCTGGCCCTCTCCCGGATGAATCCGGCTCGACTTTGACGGCCCGGGAGGCCTTTGGTCTTCTTCTTTTTCTTCTTCTACTTCGTGGAACCCCTTTGACAGGTGGTTCCGCTCCTGTTGTACAGTGGGCTGTAATTTTGGGGACCGGATCTTGCGACTGGAATCGCCAACCTCCCCGGTGTGTCTGTGTGTTTGCGTGTTTGTGGCCACGAGAGAAGAACGTCGTCGTTCATCCTTTGATCATCATCAGAGATGGCTACGAGCGCGAACCTTCCCCTCGGGGAGTTCATCACAACCATCGACGGGAAGAGATGTACAGCGGTGCCGAGGACAGACATCAGCACGCAGACAACAAGTACGACAAGTACTCTCTCAAGTTTTTCCACCATTTCTTCATCGTCCGCAGCGTCGCAAGTGCTAGCGCCACCTGCGGTACAGCAAACAACGACGACGCCTCCGCCCGCAGCTGTCACGATCACGTCCTCTTCTTCTTCTGCTGCTGTTGTCGTCGCTGCTTCTGTTACTACCCCAGAGGCCGCATCGCCTGCGGCTGTCCAACCGCAAGTGCAGACTAGTGTAGCTGACACGAGCGTCGCAGCCTCGTCTACGACGAACCCTCTGACCGCCTCGTCCCAGGCGACGACGGACACGGCCACGGCCACGGCCCCTCAGAGCGAGCCCCTGCAGACCGACACGCAGTCGGCCGGAGCGGTGCCTACATCAACAATAGGAACAGCAGCTGGGCAGTCATCGACCTCAGCAGATGCCCAGAATGCTGCTGGCTCGACCGCAACCAGCGCTGCTGCGGCTGCAGCCGAGGCATCAGCATCATCAACATCGTCCTCATCAGGCATCGGAAGTGGGAGTAATAACAACCGCTCCGCTGCTGCTGTGGCAGGTGGTGTCATTGGCGGCCTGGCGCTGGTCAGCATAGTGGCATTACTCATCTGGTACTGGAGAAGGAGAGTGCTGAAGAAACGACGGAGCACACTCCTCACGCCTTTGTCGGCAGAGCCTGGGCCTGGATATCTGAGGGGGAAACGCGGCTTCCCGTCGCTAGGCCGTGATAGCATGATTCAGCCTGCCCCACGGTCTAACAAGGTCAAGGATGCTCTGAGGGCTCAATATGGCCGTGTTCGCGGTCATATCGGCACGCTGAGCCGCAGTGGAAGCATTCACAGTATTGCTGCATCCCACAGCAGCGGCCGCTCCGTGGACATGAATAGGGGCAACTCTCAGTTCATGGATACCTCACCCGTCATAATTGGTCAGGAGAGAAAGGGCTCGACGTCTTTCTCTGCGGCTGGCGACGGCGATATGACGATCAAGGAACGGATTGTGGAGTTGTGGGCCCGGTTCACGGGAGGGTTGTCGCGCAACCGCCAACAACAACAAAACTATAACGAGAAGAACGACATTTTTGCTGCGCGTGGACTTGGCGGGGACGACAACGGGACATCACCCACAAGGTCGAGACGGCTCACCAATAAGCCAGACTTCTTAACCCTGCTCAGCATGGACGACAATGAGATCGATCGTGAGGCGCAACGACGGCGCATGTCAAGAACTCGTGGCGGCAGCGAAGGATCAGGCTTTGCTGGACTCGATCTCGGCTTCGGCCAGGACCCCTTCGGCGACGTCAATGCCATTTCCTACAACAACATCACCAACAACAACCCCTTCTCCGACACAAACGCTATCGCAGGGTCCTCTGGGCCACTCCAGCCATCGACATACGTCCAGGACATCCGCCGCTCCAGGGGACAGTCAGTGGACACGAGCACGATCGACCTGAACAAGGCCTACGACCTCCGCGGCCTACGCATCGCCAACGGCTCATCACGCCCACCCAGTGGCTCGACCACGGCAGCAGGGCGGCGCCGATCGACCATGTACTCCCGCGACAGCCAGGTGAGCGCCGTCAGCTTTGAGAGTTTCGCCACCAAGCGCAATAAGTTCCGCTCCGACCCGTTCGACCTGGAGCCCGTGTCAGGCAGCCTCCCCAGCTCCATGGATATACCGGACCTTCCGTTCAACAACTTTGCGGCCGCTGGGGTGAGCCCCAGTGGAGCACTGTCACGGCCCGAGGCGGCGCACACGCGGCAAATCAGTGACGGGAGCTCCAAGTACACCAGCGGCCTCACCAACGACACCCTCGACGAGTGGAGCGATCCCGGCCCAGATGTCGGCTCGGCTGCTCAGGGGGGCAGCGTACTTTATGGTTCTGCATTATGATCATTTCCACCTCTTCTTCTTCCTGACATTTGTTGTTGTGTTCGTTTCTCCATTCTCTTCCTTTAGCACGATGACAAACCATGAGTATTCTCACGACACTACGCCATGATCGAAAAAAAGAACTGTACATGTATATAAATGACGGAGATGTCTCCCATCCATGGAGGGGGGGGTATTTCCAAGGGGGGGAGGAGGAGGAATGGAGGAAAGTTTTGAGGAAGGACCCAAGAGTGGTCGACAAAAGGACGAGAGGCGTTCAGGTTGCATTCTCCGAGAGAAGTATGCAAAATAGGGTGTGTCCTGTCTCCTACCTCTTGGGTTCAAGAGTGGAGTCAAGGGCTTAATTCCTCGAGACGAAGTCACTCAACCCATCTACTGCTGATGTCGTTGATAAGGGCGAATGGAGAGGCCTACTTATTCATCATATTGCTGCATGTATATACAGAGAAGCACGCACGTACGCACGCAAAAAACAGTATTAAGCACGATCGATGTATGGGACGTATTTATTAGTAAGACACCTACTTTCTACACGGGTCCTTTTCCCTGTCCCGGTGGGAGACGGAGAAGTAGGCCTATAAGACGCTCGCTTATGCCTTGCGCGTAAAGCTCTGCACTGGTTCAGTCAGTCCCGCCTTCGTTTTCTCGTAATCTTTGTGTTGAGCTGCTGAGGCTCTCAGCAGCCCTAGGTCCCTACTCAATGATGGATTGGGCTTGGATAGTACTACGTTTAAGAATGAAGGTACACGCAACTGTTCCCTGGAGCATGCATACTTATGTCCAGCCAAAACTGCGCCAAGTCAGTACATACTGCCTATGTAGTGTAAATCTGACTGTCTGACTGTCTGCCTATGTATGCTGTACATGCACGCTTTGCATTGGCTGACATAGGAGCCTCCTCCAGAGGTTGCAGACCGGGCAGGGGTGGGCTGGATCATGAATTGAACCAGTGAGAGCCGCTCGATGCTGTGCTAAAGGGAAGGAGAAGCGTCCGTCGGTTGGTGTCGTCAGCACTCTTCATGCATAAGATTGCTAACAGCACACCGAGGGATCTGATTTCTTCTCTCTCATTAGGTTGATTCGATACGTTCGGTCAGGCACGGTGACAGACTGGTTATCTCGTCTCAATTACCCGTCTCAATTACCCATGACATTACCGTCCGCTATCTATCAGCACCAACATTCTCTCTCTCTCTCTCTCTCTCTCTCTCTCTCTCTCTCTCTCTCTCTCTCTCTCTGTATGTCTGTCTATTGAAAGCTAAAAGCAAACGATCGTCAAGTACCCTCCCATTTGCAAGGGTATCATATCGCCCCACCAATCTTCGATCTGGGAAAAGAAGAAGAAAGAAGAAAAAAGCCAAGTGCCAAAAAGTTGGTATAGTGGGTATCAAAGTTGACGGAGACTAGAAAGGAAAGGGGGAGAAATTAATAAAGCAAGAAATGGAAAAATGGTAAAGGAGAGTCGTGAGAGGAATCATATCAGGTAGATCAGGAAAATGTGAGTATGTGCGACCATCGTCCTCTGGGGTCACTCAAGCGGAATAGAATCGTACGCCGACAGGCTTTCCGGCTTCTTTGCGGGCGGCCCATCCCTTGACCGCAATGACGATAATCTCCCAAGCCATCAAGAGACCCACGAGGCCCATGGTGACGGTGTACATGAACATGACATCAAGGTTATAATGGATCATGCCCTCGACCGTATCGCCGCTCGAGGCCATGAAGAGGATCCCGCCCGTCATCAGTCCAAACGCCGCGAGGAGCTCTGTGGGCGGCCTCGACGGTAGGATGCTGGTCGGCGGCTTGAGGTAGGTGATGACATATGTCAGACCACGGGCAAAAGACGCGCCGGTGAGCATGGTGCCCCATTGTTTGTGCACCATCGACGAGATCATGGACTCTTGCGTGTGGCTGGACATCATGATGCCCAGCAAAAGTATAACGAGCGCGGGGATCGGGTTCATTGAGAACCGGTATGTAGTAGGCTCTTCTAGAGCCAGCTCGCGCTCGTGTGCATCGCTGTAGCGCTCGTCAATGGTTGAGGCGACAGTCGTGTTGAGGAGCTCTCGGATACGGTCGGATTCGATGAGCATGCCACACTATAATTCGGTATTTGTTAGCAGAAATAAGTTGAGAAGGATGATGCGCCCGCCGAGGATGCAGAAGCGAGTGGGCAGATCAGTTTTATGATTGACGTACCAGACCACCTCCCAGGAAGAGGACCGTAATAGAAATGTGCTCCAGGTCCTCAAAGCTATACTCGCCGCCCCAATTGCCGAGATGTTCGAGGAAGATATTCGTGGAGCCGTAAAAGAAGATAAGGAAACTCTCGGTAAATTCAGCCGATGGTATCCATCGCTTGCTTGCCGACTTGGGACGGATGTTCCAGGCCTGTTATCACGAAACACGACTTGTCAGTGCTGTTGTGGACGGACATTGTCGCCATTTGAGGACTTTCTGCCTCGAGGTAGTACTCACCCATCCAAGCTCACCAAAACAACCAGCCCAACGACCGAGAGTAAGGACCCCAAGCCAGAAGAAAATACCGCCCTTGATCCAATGCGCCAGGCCGGTGAAGACTTGTCGACCTTCCTGCACAAATTGTCAGTATTGAGTCACCAGCCGCTCGTTCGTCGCTACAAAATCTGCGTGCCATAACTTACAAAGAAGCGGCCCATGGTAATGATGCCGGTACATAGGGTAATAAAACCTAGGATCATGCTCGTGCGATCGACAAAGTTGTACCCGAACATTAACACCTTCCATGCGCGGACGGAAATTTTGGCCCCGATCTTGGTCGCCAAGTTGCGCAACACACCGGCGCGCGGCGTAGAGGGCAGATCGGCCTCAAGGTCGTCCTCATCTTCCGCATATTCCTTATGCCGCGGCTCGGCCGTAGGACTCGACAACGGCTCCGGCGTTGACGAAAACGAAGCACTTCTCAACGACTCGGTGTTTGGCTCGGTCCCCTGGCCGCTATCGTTCGAGTGCCTACACAAGGGGCTGTAGTGTCCGCTATGGAGCCGGTGGTGCTCATCCATGGCGGCATGCGACACCGGGATGAACGAGCGGCGCTCCATCGCATCGGCTCCGGCGTGATCCCCATCTTTCTTCTTGTTGAATGCGCCAGCAACACGACCCAGAAGGCTGACAAGCACCTGCACCGAAAGCACCCACGTGACGAGCCAGCCGAGCTTGTGGTGCGCATTGTTCGGGTATAGATCAGGCGTGTTTGCATTGTAGATGGTGCTGAACAGCACGCCGAGCGCGTTGATAGCGATGAAGATGAACTGTGTTGGGAGTGTGTACCGAGATCTCGTGAGGGAGAACATGGTCGCTGTTGTGATCTTGTTAGTGCAGCTGCTCGCAAGATGCGCAATGTGAAAAGCTCTCGAGGATCGTCCAAGCTTACCTAGAGGCAAAACAACCACCCAAGCAAGGACCATAAACCCTATGTGCGCAACCAGAACACCGCGGTGCTCTGGATGGGTGAAATATGACGGCGGGTACTCTGCCCCTGGAGAGGGCTCGTCGCCGTCTATGGCCATACTGTCCATGCTGTCGCCCATATCCATGTTCTCATCGCCTCCGTGAGCCAGGACAGCTGGTAGCAAAAATCCCAAGAAGAGCACCGCCGAGGCAGCCCTGAAAGTCGGCGTCGCTATCAACCGCATGACGAAATTCCCGACTTTTGCCCTAGGCAAGATTGGTTTCGAAGGGTTTCCGAACTGCTATTTTCTAGGGTGAGCAGACTGGAGGTTCGCCTGCGACAAGAGAAGACAGAGCCTGGGCGAAGGGAAAAGGTGCCCAAGTCTCACAAGACACCAAGAGAGTTTGACCGTCGGTGTGTATGCGCGCGGGCGGATTCGATCTCGTCGCTAACTCGCAGGAGAGTTTCTTTGGACACTCGGTGCGTGGTGAGTGTGACAGCTGCTGTGGGAGAGGAGCAAGACCGAGGGCGAGATGTACCGAAAAGGAAATGCAGGCAACACGACGGCGCTATTGAGGTGAAGAAGGAGGAAAGTCGGGGGAAGGGGGGGGGGAGGTAAGATAGTAGAGTTCTTATATATCAACCACTGAAACAGGACCCATACACAAAGTCATCGAGGTCATGGCACCTTTGAGTTACTGTTGCTGTAGGGAGTATCTGTCGGAAACGATTGGTAATAACGTCCTGTGAATGACAAGAAAACGGAAAACATTGGGGAAAAAAGGTTTGTTACAGCGACATCATCCGATTCGTTCTGGTCTCCATAACTGCATGGAGTATAGCACCCCAGGACAAAGCGAAGGAGGGGAATGAGGTAGAGAGGGAATGGGGGGAGGGGATCCCAAAAAAAGAGAGAGAGGTACAGGTACCTGGAGCACCTCGACGATAGCATCACATCACATCAGTCAAGATACTTTGGCGCAAGGTACTGCGACCTATCCACGAGCGGCCCAAAATCCTTGAGCGCCTGACCTGGAAACTTGCTGAGCATGGTCCCACCATAGACCCCAGTGGCTGATGGAGCCATAGACGAAAACTGCTGCAATCAGAGGCCAAGATCCGAAGGTTCCGAATTCGTCGTTCTGAGGGATTCTTCAAAAGAAGAAAAGAAAAGAAGGCCAGCAGCTCCAAGAGCAGCTAAAAGTTCTTGGCAAAAGCCCAAGAATGCGCCGCACTGTACTGTTACTGTGAGGGGTACCCCTCAGACAAAGATCCCTGCCTGCATTGCCGCCCCCTCCCCCAAAAACATTAGCGTAGTTCTGTCGACCGCCCTTACAAATCCAGCCTCCTCCTTGTGCTTCGACGCATTAGTACATAGTACTATGATTATGACCATAGTATGGACCAACGAGATCCCATCGCCATTGGCCACTCAGCGGTTGTCTTCTCCGTCCCATTGCTGACCCTAAATGCTACTGCATATGTATTATGGTAGCAATCACAGCAATCTAAGCCTGCCTGATGTATCCTCCAGTCACCCTGTCGTCCCTTTATTGACTTGCAGTACACCGCAACATCATTTGTCCCCCATCCCCCAGCATGGTTCGAGGCTCGCGGACCGGACGTGCGCAACGTCAGACGGAGGTGGTTAGAGGAGGCCAATCACTGTAGATGCCAAAAGGCCAACCACCACAGATGACTATCGTTAGCATTGATAGAGTGAACCTAACCTCATGACTCAAAAGGTTAGGAGGTGGACTTAGCGCTGCCTCGTCGGCTCCCACCGTGGCATTCCGAAGAAATCGTCCATCCGAGGGACGTGATCGCGCCAGCTTTTGGGGGCCAGGCTAAGGGTATGGGTAGCGACCAGAATTGTTGCTTCTTAACAGGCTTCCCCGCGCCGAGAACGTACGACCTGAGACGAGAGACTCACCAGGTCACGCCATATCAGGAGGATTTTTACTGCAGCATGTAGCAGGCGGCGCGCGATCAAACGGTTTCTGCGATCGAGTGACTTGTCGACAGTACCAAAGCAGCACCTATGCAAGCTACGCTACGTCAGACTGGTGAGTCCTGGGGCACAGTGTCAAGATCTGCCGGCATTTACGGAGCCTCATCTAGTAGCGTCAGAGGGCAAAGGCCGAAGCTGAGCTTAAGCGAAAATCGGGGCCGATGGACAACCTCACGTGGACCCCAACCCCATCAACGAGACAATTATAAGCGACCGACGGGGTTTCGCTGCTGATTGCGCCCGGCGGACGTATATCTCCTTGGGGCAGAGGGTATCAAAAGCCAGAGCTACGATCTGTGGAAATGATTACTTACGCCGAGTCTCAACCTCAGATTTAAGAAATAAGCCAAGTCCGCCTTGCCCTGCCCTGCCCTGGTATGCGCGCATCGCCGAGAATGAGGAGGTTGTACATAGTAGAGGATGCCCAGACAAAACCATGAGGAGCCGGATTTCGGGTTCAAACGGTGGCCAACCCCCTCGTCGTGACAAGCAGCGGAGAATGTATTCTCTGTACTGTTTGATGTTCTGGTACGACATTCAAAATTCCGAATAGGCAACAACTCATCACCAAAGGTACTGTCTGATATCACGATCCAGGTCAGCGGGGTCTACTATAGTAGAGCTGCAGGCAACTTGCAGAATTCGCAAGGCGTCATGCCTCCATGCCTCCCCCTGCTTTGTGCTACTGTCCAGAAGCCTAGCCCACAGCAGTTCATTGAATCAGTAGCCATGATGCAAGCATGACCAAGGTCAGGATCTAGTCCGAGCTTTCCGGTGAAAGAAAGGGAAAAAAAAAAAAAAAAAACCTTTTCTGGGGCCCTTGTTCTTGTTCGCCAGCATTTCTCACTACTGCGCGCTGACCTCGCAGAGTCATCACTTGATGTCGATCCACTGCCTGTCAGATTCCCAACCTTGTCACGCCGTCAACTTCGGGCTTTGCGGAAAAACGCGAAGCTCCCGAGCTCGCCTCTGCCCCCAAGGCTGCAAAACACCGGGAATAGGCGGGAATGAGCACTCTTCTCCCATCTGTTTCTCTTAGTCCTCTTCCTTCTTGTTTCTTCTTTCTTTTTCTCGTTCGAGGAGTGAGTGGTTGCACGACATAACTTGATGACGGGTCGGGTCATCCGAGATGGCTCTTCACCATATATAATATAGTCTTTTTGTTATTCGTAAAATACAAGGGGGAGAAGAACAGCAGGAGGTCTGTCCGGGACCCGCCACGAACCCGGGTCCGAGCTCCGGTTGGTGTTGACTTTTGTTCACTTTCTCCCGCCGGTGAGGACACTATTTTTGAGCCAATAGTACTTGGTAAGCCATGCTCCGCTGGCTGGGCGACTAGTAAGTTAGCATGAACACTGATAGGCTGCACCGGGATCATTTGCAGATGGTGGCTTACACCTTGTTTGATTCTCCTTTTTCTGCCGTTTTCTCTGTGTTCACGCCAAGGCAGGAACGTTACAAGTAGACTTTTCTTTCTTCTTTCTTTCCCATAGCCAGCTGGATTTTTCAACAAAGCCAACGAGAAACCTCCGCGCTGGGCTGTCCCGAGGCTTCCGACGCCTAGGTGAGGTCATGGATCAGGGAGATGCCGTCTAATGTCATTTTTTGTTGTGATTACCATGTATGAATTCGTACGTGGCTCGTTAATCACTATAGGACCCATAACGTTCTAAACAGCTAGTTCCATTGCATCCTTTATACCAGAATTGTATCAAGAGGAAGACAACAATTTTCATGATGAATTTGTCCGCTCCGAAACTTTGCGCATTGACCAGGCTGAGGATGTAGATGACGTCACTCTCAGCCTTGCGAGTTAGTTGGGCTGAATCCACGCCGATGTCGTACACATGATGATTATAGATCCCGTTCGTAGTGTTATAGGGCTGGTCGATCTCTCAACACCCATCTGCCGTCTGCCCCCTCTTGCGCCCTCCCTTCCCGCGCCAGCTTCTGCAATACATGCATCACGCCCCCCTGCGCCGGGATGTGCAGGTTCTCCGGGACATCTGCGTAAATGACCCTGACCAGCTCCATCGGTTCCCACGCAGCCGTCCCAGCGGCCTCATTGACCGATCGCAGGGTCTGTGTGATTTGTTCCTCACGCTGCTGGCGGTGCTGGATGTACTCCCGTATCTTGCCCGGGCCGTCGTCGATCACCGGCCCGTGGCCAGGGTATGCTCTCCCCTTGAATAGAGGTCCCATCATCTCTAGACTCGAAAGGTACGTCGCCAGGTCCTCAAAGACACCCGTGCCCTGCCCCAGCACGTTGTCGCCAGTGAACATGGCGTCCTCCTCCTCGAGGACAAAAATCATGTGGTCGACCGTGTGCCCAGGCGTGTGGTGCGCCGTGACCGTCGCGCCCTCGACCTCGAAGCGCTGGCCGTCTTGGATCTCTATCTGGCCCTCATCGGGCTGGTGCTTGTAGACCTTCGCCGCCGTGCCCTCCAGACCCAGCACGTCTTTGATACCCCCGACATGGTCTCCGTGCCAGTGTGTTATCAGCGCCGCGCTCACGCTTGCTCCCTCCTCGGCCAGCGTTCGCTGCAGAGCCGCTATCCAGCTGGGCTTTCCCTCGCCCGTGTCTATGAGCAGCCGCTTGGGACCTCTGCCGATGAGGTAGGTATTGGTGCCCTGCAGGGTGAATTTGGAAGGGTTCCCGCCGAGGAGCCGGATGCAGACCGGGGACAGGCGCTCTACCTCGGGGAGGGGGACGAGTTGAAGGGCCATCTTGAGGACGCGACAGACGGGGGAGGTGAGACGCATCCACGGGTGAAGTTCTGAGAAGACAGGTGCTTAGCGGGTAGTATCAACGTTGTAATGGCAGATATGAGTGTTGGTGCTCCCTGGGGCAGACAAGTAAGCCCAAGCCGAGGTATAAAATGTCGACGCCATTCAGGTGCTAGATGAGATACGGCCTATTCCTGCCCCCCAAGCATGTGTAAGTTGCAACCCATCCCCAAGGGTTAGGGCTTTACTATGGATATGTCCCCACACACGAAATATGTAAGCACTTTTTGTAACAAACTCCAGAGACAATAGAATCCTCAAAGGACCAATGATCAACTTCTGAAGGAAGGAAAAAAACAACCAATCTGTGGGAGCCTGTTTCTTTCTACTTGTATAGCGAAGCGACTCTTTACATATTTTTACCATATCATGTTGTGATGTGCTGCTGCTGTGGCTCAATCCAACAGCTAGCACGCGAGTGTAGTACTATAGGGTCGTCACCATCCGCGAAAGAATAGCCTGCCGCGGGGGTGACAGGCCCCTGTGCGCCTGCTGGGGCAAGTCGCTAAAACTTAGGTTCAGAGAACGCTATAGTGGGACACGGAGGGTTACGAACATTATCATAGCGTATGCCTGATTAACCAACCCCGGTCCAGACTGCAGGGCCGCGATAAGAAAGCTTATCGCAATTTACCTAGCCTGCCCGCGGGCTGCTCTGGAGTTTGGCATGGGGAGTGATTATGGTCTAGGGATCATCATCTCGAAGCGAAGACGGCCGAGGATAAAGTATTTATCGAAACACTCGAGCGTTCCTTATCCGAGACGTCGTCCTCGGGCATCTCTGGCCTGGTGAGTTTTCCTCCAAGTACAATCGAGTAAATGTGGTTAGGGCAGTCCAGAAGAGGTCATGCTGACTTATGTGTGCGTTTGCCGCTGGCTTGTCAGTTCGCAGCCTTTCCCAGGCCTTTCCTTCATCGCCCGCGCGACAAGAACGAGACACCACCTGTACCCTCCACCTCCCCTCAGCGAGACGAATCCTCTGCGTCCGGATCACAGATACACCGCTGATCAGTCTGGGTCGTCGCGAGGCGGGTAAATCAGACAAGTCGTCGTACAAGTCCTCTGGCGTTTTGCCGAAAGCCAGGCCAGGCAGGCCCTTTTGTCAGCCCTGAGGTTCAAGCGGGCCGGGCACAATCCAAAGATTAATTCATTGGGCGAACAACCCGTTGTCCCCGGCCGGACCTTCGTATTTGTGAGCCGTCCTGTCTGTGGACCACACAAAACGGAGAAAGAGAGAGGGGAAAAACGCTGCAGCAGCTTGTCACAGACAAACAGCCCCGATACGGATTTTGTTTGATCAATTTGGAAACAGGAAATCACCGGGCAGGCAATTCAACATGGCGACCCGTCCACACACACCGGCGTCGCCCAAGAACGTCAAGGTCAACTCGCCCGTTCAAGGGACACCAATGTTCGGCTGTCGTACGGTCTTTGCCCTGCCCGATCCCTATCACATGTGCCCAGGCTAACACAGCATACAGAGCATGTGCAACAGTTGTTGAGCCAGAGCCAGGAGACCACAAACACCTGCATTCAACACTACAAGGCTATCTTGCGCCAGATATATGACAATGTCCCCGTCATTCCTCAGGTCCGCAAGGCCATCAAGGACAACACCATCTCCGCGTCCTTGACATCCAATTTCCTCTGTCTGCAGTGTCCTATCGTCATGAGCCATGATGATGTCAGCAGGCATGGAGACAAGAAATCACATCGCTTCTGTGAGTTGTAGTAGCAGTAGTGGTTGTTGTTCGTGGCGGTGGTGCTGCGTAGCACCGTGGCTGGACTCATGGCTGACATCTGTCCAATAACTAGTTGTCGATTCCAAGACGGGCTCACTCTTCTGCCACATGTGTGATGACTTCGTCTGGGACCCCACACTTGAGGACCTCAGAAACCGCAAGATCGGAACGGGCACTTTTTCAAGTATGAGCCCCCTCCTCCCCTTAGGCTTTTCCGCCCCATATCTACAGACCTGTGCCATTCCCTCTTCTTGTTCTGTCGGTGCTTCACGGCTGTTGCACAATCAGAAGACTGACATGCCATCCATGTAGGCCGCAAGAGAAAGTACGATGAGCTGCTCGCAGAGGCTATCAAAGAGGATCCAAAGATCCTCAGCGCGAACACCATAATGCCTTCATGCCGGGCAGATGGTCTCCGTGGCATCTACAACGCAGGCGCTACTTGCTACCAGAACGTTATCCTCCAGAGCTTCCTGCACAATCCCATTCTACGGAACTTCTACCTCAGCGATGGTCACTCCAGCAATTCCTGTGAGGTGCAGAACTGCTTGAGCTGTGCGATGGACGACATGTTCCAGGACTTCTGGGGTACTGAGGTGACGAATGGCTACACCGCGGCCAATATCCTGTCGAGCTTCTGGATCTCCGAGAACAAAGCGTTCGAGAATCTGGTTACCACCAAGGAGCAAGACGCACACGAGTTCTTCCAGTTCATTGCGGAAGAGTTACATGAGCGCAACGGTGACGGCAAGAAGCCGGAGATCGGCAGCGAGCACAGCTGCAACTGCATCATGCACCAGACGTACTACGGCAAGCTCCAAACGACCACAACCTGCCAGAACTGTGGCGGTGTGACCAACCAGGTGCAGTCGTTCCTGGACCTTAGTGTGGGTCTGGACAATTTGACACACAAGAAAGGGAAGAAGGCAGCCCAGAAGACCCAGATTACACTACAGGACTGCTTGGAGGAGGAATATGTGAAGTCCGACAAGTGCGAGTACCGATGCAATAACTGCAACGGCCCCCAACAGGCACGTCGACATACCAGCATCAAGCGGTTACCCAATGTCCTGTCCATTCAGTTAAAGGTAAGCATGAGTTCTGTTATCTCTTTGTATATTGATGGTCCAGTAGCTGACTATGATACGTCACAGCGGTTTGAATTCAGGAACGGCTCGCGAGACAAGTCTGCCGCCAAGATCGAGACGCAAGTACAATTCCCGCTGTCATTGAGTATGTTGCCATACACAAATCGAGCAAGGACAGCAGATGCGAAAGAGCAGTACGAACTCTCGAGGTCATGCACATATGATCTCATGAGTGTTGTTGTGCACGTGGGCGAGATTGATACCGGCCACTACATCTCGTATTGTCGGGTTGGCGACCAGGTAAGAAGCTGCTCATCTACCATCTATAGTAACTGATACAACAATTATATGACTGCTAACACAAAAGCATAGTGGTTCACTTTCAACGACCACCGAGTCGAGATGGCATCCAAGTCCGACGTGCTAGGAGCAAAAGCCTATCTTCTCTTCTATATCGTGCGGACACTAGCCTGAGAGGCACCTGGGTTGAAGAAAGAGAATGGTTGAGATTTAAGCGTTCATATCTTTGGGGGGGGGGGGGCGTTCTTTTGTGTATTTTTGGACAGTTTGCGAAGATGGCAGTGATGATCAAGGGGCCCCTCCTATGCATGCAGTGGCAACTCAATGGCCAGTAATGGGGACCAAAAAAGGCGTACGGCATCTTTCTGCTTTCTCGGGAAAGGAGAAACCAATCCGGGCCGGTGGCCACCCGGATTAGCATTGTTGGTAGGCGTTCAGAGGAAGCGGCGTCGTCAATCGAGATCTTTTTGTCTTCAATCTGCGCGCACTGCCTTGACTGCGTCGTTATGCGTGCTACTTGATAAACCCCCTACCCCCCCCTCTTCTCTTTTCTTCTTCTTTTTTCTTTTGTTCATATTGGCCCCTAGGCCCCGAGCTTAACATCTGCATGAGTGACTGATTCACTGAGTGACACATACTATCGGCCCTCCTCTTTCACGCCACCAGCCTCGCCACCCCTGAATTTCCACTCCGCGCACTCAAAATTACCGTAACAGTAAAACTCATTACTCAGACCCCTGGCATGAACGGGCTCATACGTCGTCGTCCGCAGTCCAAAGGCCTTGTAGAGTCTCGTCGCGAGCCCCTCCATGCGCTCGCCGGTGCACAGGATGAGCCTGGTCTCTGGGGACGCAGCCTTGGCCATCCACCGTACCGTCAGAGCCGCCTTGGTCTGGCAGTCCTCGGAGAGGAAGGGCGGGTCGACTATAAGACGGTCTATAGTGCCTTTAAGTTCGGCTGGCAAGGAGGAGGGACGTGGGTTGTGTCCAGGTCAGCCGATGCATATGCTGGATGGATCTAGGCGGGGTAAAGGGAAGGAGGGAGCGTACCGGGCAACTTGACGGGCTGCATGAAATCATAAAAGACAAATTCAGGGAACACGCCGAAGCGGTGGTCGTGCTCTAGCAGTGTGAGGGATGGCTTCGGCATCTCGGGGGGCTGTGATGCCTGTTTTGCATTCGTTTCCCCCACAGCACCACTAGTCAGCCAGCCAGCTTTCCCCTTGGACCATTGTGTTCGTCTGTACACAAGTACTTTGAGAACTCAGGAAGGAGGGGCCTACCAAAATGTTTTTGAGCGCGACGAATACGCTCGGGGCGCTCACGATGGCGATCTTGGTGTCCGCCGTGGCGCCGTCAAGGAGTTTGTGTCCGAGGAGTGTTGCCGTCTCATCGGAGTACTGCCCACCCATTATCATTAGGAGACATAGTTGCGCTCGAAACAAGACTCTTTGTCCAAAAGAGAGAAAGGAAAAGCGGAAAAGAAAGAAGAGAGTAAAAAAGACAGAGGGAGAAACCACCCAGACATCATGCATGGCCGTCTCCTTGGCATCACCTCCTCCAGGGCGTATGACAGAGGGTCACTCACCCAAAACTGGCTCTCGTTCCAATCCTCGCCAAACGTGTCCATGGATAGAGGATACTTCAGCGAGGCCGCCGCGGTTGTCGTCGTAGAGCTGCCTGCTCCATGGCCGCCAGCAGCAGCAGCCGCTTTATCCTCAGCCTCGGCCTTGAGCTGCTCGAACTGCTTGGCGCGCTCGTCGCGCTCAGTGTAGAACTCCTTGAGCGCGTCGAGGGCGTGCGAGGAAAGGGTTCTACCAAGGAGAAGAACCCATGGGCGGTGAAGGGTCAGTGACTGTTTGAATGCAGCACATTTGCGGGATGAGGGGGGTTCTAACATGGGCTCGTCATCCGAGTCAGCCATCTTCTTTCAATTCCGAGACCTGTTGGGATGAATTCGAGATTTCTTCCTTCTGGGCAGGCCTCGAAGAATAATGTTTCTTTCTTCTTCTCGTATCCTCTGCCAAGGTCGCTAAGTACGGGGCCGGTTCTATTGCGGTGCCTTGGTTCATACACGTTGTTTGCTGTGTTCATTGTGAGAAAATTTGTGTCAACGGCGCCTAATCGAGAGGCTCCGCGGGCCACAACTCGTTCGCTTTAGGCTTTGTCACACATTTTAACGGCATCACAACATACTTCCACGGTGTATCTCTCATGATATATGGGAATTTCTTTTTCAAATTGAAGGCGCAAGAAAAGAAACAATCTAGTCACATATTTACAATTGCTCGTCTTTCCATGCTCGCCCACCGGACCCAAACTGCCTCACCCTTTTCTTTGTTTTCTTCTATTTCTTCTTCTATTGGTCGTCCAGCACGTGTAGATACTTCCTCTCCTCTCTCTTCTCCTTCTCGCTCGCCGGCGGCAGATCGTAGAACGCGCCGCTGCGGAATCCTTGCACGTAATGGTATGTGAACTTGCTGATATCACCAGGCTCGATTCCGAGGTCCTTGAACGTCTTGGCCGTGTGATCAATCACCTGGTCAACGTGCTCCATCTGAACCTGCTCTGCAGACAGCATCGGCCACCAGAGCACCTGGTTCAACAATTTGGCGACGGGTTCAAGGATCTGCCGGGGCACGTTGATGTGCCGCCGTTTGGCAAAGATTTCCTTGTCGACCATTTCTGCAATCTCAGCAGTAGAGTACTTCTTAGGTCCGTAGAGCTCGTAGGTCTGCGCGGCGGTAGTGTCATCGTAGAGCATCAGCTCGAGGGCGTGGCCAACGTCAATCGCCTAAACGAGATGGTCAGTAAAAGCTTCGCCCACAGTCCTTGATGGGATTTGTGACGTACGTGCACGGGCCAGTATGTCTCCTGCATGTTGTTTGAGGTGAAGAGGTTCGTGAGACCAGCCAGCTTCAGCAACAGATTGTCCTCGAAACCAAACAGGGGCGCGGGTCGCACGATGGTCGTCTCGGGATAGATGTCCCGAGCAACCTGCTCACCACGACCCTTTGTTGCGAAAAAAGATGCCGGAGAGTTAGGGTCGGCGTTGTACGAGGAGACGTGAATAAAACGATCCACATCGTACTTGGCCACTGCCTCGGCAATGCGAGCTGTGCCGTCGACATGAACGTCCTCCAAAGAAAAGTTCCTGGATCACATTTAGCCGCTGAATGCCCATATCCCTTTGCCGCGACTCATTAGACAGACATACTTTGTTGGGTACATCCGGCCCACCAGATTATAGACGATGTCCGAATGTCTTACAGCCTCCTCAATCGACTCAGTGTTTCGCAGGTCATATTCCTGGGAGGTAGTGAGCATCTGGGACCTGACTCCATGCGTTTGTAGTGCATACCACAAAGGCCACCCTGCCCAAATCGCCGGTCACCTTCAGGTGCCGCTTGCCCATCTCCTCCCTGTATGGTATAACAACCTGGCATCCTACCCGAGCTATACGCGTGACCCGTCAGCACCTGGATTCACCTTGGAGAAGAAGGGCCAGCATACCAAGCCTGTTCACAATGTATCGTCCAAGCTGTCCCGTCGCGCCGAATACCGTCGCGGTGTGTCCTGTAACTCGGGTCAGAGATGCGTTCGCTCGTCATTGCGCACTGACGTCAGAGTATTTCGTACCGCCAAGTGACGATCTGTTTCGTAGGAAGTCAGCCACCAGGAACGTCTCTCGATAAGCAAGCCCAGCAAGACTGACCTTCCACCCTGGACCCGAAGAATGGGCTTCCCCGTGCGGGTAATCGCGACATCTGATACCGACCTCTGCTGGAGGACTTTCTGGGCGGTTCTGGAGGACGACCGTACGGCCTTTGGTAGTGAGGCCATTCTTGCTGAGCGCGGGTCACAAAGAGGGTACTGGGCGTGGTCAATGGGTTACTTTTCCCGTCGTCAGTAGGTGGACGAAGCGGCGCCTCGAACTTCCAAACTGGAGAGCTCCAACCAGACGCAGCCAATTCCCAAGCAGGGACAAGCAGTGCCGGCCGAAGAACGCACGGGCCAACTAACCCTGGATTGGTGACGGAGGGGAGCGCTGACATAAGCTCTACAGGGATCGGCCCACAGGGGTGGTGGGCTGCAGCCAACTGCTGCGAAAGCCCAGCAAGTGAGGGCATGCATGGGAGCTCTCGACCAGGCTGCACCCTAGCCGCGTCGGCCTTCGAACATCAACAGCTTCCAAAGTATTACAGAAATTCGATCTCTCCCCTCCTTTACTCCCAGCTTACCTCGCGAAGAAAATATTTCCAGAACGAATGAGACATTGACTTCATCCCCAATCAGTCCGCCAAGTCTCAAGAAAGCTACGGTTTTTCGTGTCCCTCCCGACAACAGAGCCAGTCTGCCTTCGCCAACCTACGCATATCATCGACAAACAGCAACATGCAGCCGGACGAAGCCACGCAGACCTTCCTGTCGGAGGTCTTCTCCCAGGTTTCCGAACCCCTGCAGGCCGACACTTTACGTCTACAAGATCTCTGGGAGCAGAAGTTATGGCACGAGCTGACTGAGACCCTCGTCACCATTTTCAACCATCCCGACAGCGGCCCCTTCCGCATGGCCATCTACAACAAATTCATCCTTCAGTTTGCCGACAAGATCAACCAGCTGAAGCTAGTCGACCTCGCCTTAAAGGCAGCAACACAATGCCAAGGTGTGTACCTACACCACCAACGCTCGTTACCATGGGTTTTTTTTGGTAAACACACTGACATCGTACAGACCTCCAAGAACGCCTCGCTTTTGTGGAGCTTGTAGCAGGCAAGGTTGACCCCGAGCTGGAGAAGAAGAAGAATAAGAAGGATGCAGACGAAGAGGAGGATCCAAACTCAAGAAATGCTTATGTCTACGCGACCGTGGCTGTGGCAAATGTGAAGCTGGAACTCGGCAAGCTCGATGATGCGCGGAAGGATCTCGACAAGGCCGAGAAGAAGCTGGACGTATTTGACTCGGTCGAGACGGTCGTCCATGCCACGTTCTACAAGGTCAACGCCGACTACTACTACCTCAAGCAAGACTTTGCGTCCTACTACCGCAACGCCCTCCTCTACCTTGCGTGTATTGACATCAAGAGCTTGGATGATGCCGAACGGCGCAAGCGGGCATACGACCTGGCGACCTCGGCGCTGGTGTCGACAAGCATCTACAACTTTGGCGAGCTGCTTCTACACCCCATCCTGGACGCACTGAACGACAAGAAGGACCAGTGGCTGCGGGACCTGCTCTTCATTTTCAACGCGGGCGACCTCACGAGATACGACATGCTCTCCGGCAGCGTTGATTCCGACCCCCTGCTCTCCCAACACAAGGACAAGCTACGGGAGAAGATCTATCTGGCAGCGTTGACCGAGGCCGTCTTCCGACGACCACCCCACGAGCGCGCCATGTCATTTGCGACGATAGAGCAGGAGACGAAGGTCAAGCCCCACGAGATCGAGCATCTCGTCATGAAGGCGCTGAGTCTAGGCCTCTTGAGGGGAACAGTCGACCAGGTGGATGAGGTGGCCAATATCAACTGGGTACAGCCCAAGGTATTGGATTTCAAACAGATCGATAGCATGCGTCTGCGGTTGGCGGAGTGGGACAACAGCGTCAATCAGCTAGGCAATTGGATCGAGAAGACAGGCCAAGATGTGTGGGCTGCGTAAGGTGCTGGAGTTGTATGGGGACAGCATGGTTCGGCGACAGCCATGGAGACGTGGAAATCATAGGTGGTAGTGACGCTATAACTGTAAATTATGCATTACACGAGGCCCGATCTTGGAAGGCAAAAGCAGAAGAAAAGATTATTATGAGCATATGAAAAATAACCAAGATTGCAGAGGTGCGACAATCATCTCTAGCCCCCTTGTTGCCCTCCTCACTATCTTTGCTTGCTTTGGTCTTCATCTCGGAGAAGGCCCAGAGCGTACTCGACACTAGGCCTCCGCTCCGCCCATGTTGCTCCATATTCCCCTGATGGGGTTTTCTTATGCTGTTAGGAGCGCCAACCGACACAGGGCGATGGGCAGATTTCTGTACTTTGGATTTCAGGCGAAGATGTGCATGCGCACCAGTCCTGCTGCTGTTGCCACCCTTCTTTCCAAGTCGCTACTTCCCGCTCCGTAGATGCAACATACATAACTGCTATGAAATTCGGTCAAATTCGATACTTCTTTCAAGCCCCACGCATGGCTCTTGTCTCTTTGATTCCTTCTTCCCTGTCAACATATGACCTTCTCGACTCGTGCTTATGACCTCAACAGAAGCGCCCACCGCTTTGCTTCTGGTAACTCAGACAACTCGCAACGCGTTCCAGCCTTTTTGTTGTGGATGCTGGGGGCTTGAGTCCCGTCCCTCTTTGACCACCTACGAGCGTCCTTGCTGTTCAGGTCGTTACATCTCCTTTTGCTAGTTAGAAGGCCACAGATATCGATCCCGATAGGATCACATCATCAGCCAGTACTATCATCCAAGTCGTGACTTCAGACCATTGCCGAAGCTACGCTCTAACGCACTACCACAACAGACACGGCTATTCACCATGGACCAGCCATGGAGCTCGACGGAGTTTTCAGGAAACCTGGTCGAGGCTCAACAATCTATGATGTTGACCAACTCTAATCCATGGCGTGCTACCGGCGTGTTCGACTTCAGAACGCGGCAGCCACAACAAAAGGGATACCGAGCCTGTTCAGGACCGATCAAAGCAGAAGCCTCCTGCGAAGAAAGATGTCCAAGAAAGAAGTCTGCTTTTTCAGCTGCCGACATGCCAGCAAGTTTCGTGATTGGAGGCCAAATACTTGCATAGTGACAATAGCGAGCTTATTGGCTGCCAGGGGGCTTTGTTGGCCAGCTACATAAATAACAGTGCCTCGTCACATGTCAATTGCACATCCGATATGGTGTAGTGGCCAACATTCCGCGTTTTCAAGTTCACTTGATGCTCCGCGGCGCCCGGGGTTCGATTCCCCGTATCGGAGTTTTTTGCTTGCTTTGTCTTCGTTTTGTAGCCTTATCTCCCTGGGAAACTCTGTAGTCTGTTTTAATCCGATTTTTCATTTTCTATTTATTTTAGGCTGCGTCGTGGCCCTTCTTGCCTCGCGGTCGAAAAAGTGATCATGCCCCACTGAAAGGTGACTGACCGACCCCTGCTCCTTCAATTCAACGGCGCGGCGCGTCGCGCCTTCCTTCTGCGCGCGTCGATTTGGAGAAAGTTTGGTGACATCACTAAAGTGATCAATCACTAGGCAGCACCATCATCTTCTAGCCTCTGCAACTCGTTCACAAACGCAAAGAGTTCGCGACCGACAGAACAAGGATCAAGAAGTCTCTCAGACACAACGTCTAATAGCGAAAATGGGTATAAAACAGCTCTTCTCCATCATCAAGGAGGAGGCGCCCGACGCGATCAAAGAGGGCGAGATCAAAAACCATTTCGGCCGCAAGGTCGCTATTGTGAGTCCGCATTCTTGCCCAGCAGCTGTTGTCTATGCTGATAGCTTCCAGGATGCGTACGTCTGCTGTGCTTGTGTCTGAGCCTGCTGTTGTTGACCCTCTCTTAGATCCATGAGCATCTACTCCTTCCTCATTGCAGTGCGATCCGATGGCCAACAGCTCATGAACGAGTCCGGCGAGACCACGTCTCACCTGATGGGTATGTTCTACCGTACGCTGCGTATGATAGATAACGGCATCAAACCCCTCTATATCTTTGATGGCGCCCCTCCCAAACTCAAGTCCGGCGAGCTCGCCCGCCGATACCAGCGCAAACAGGAGGCCACCGAGGGCCTGGAGGAGGCCAAAGAGACGGGCACAGCTGAGGACGTGGAGAAATTCTCGCGACGGACGGTTCGCGTCACAAGGGAGCATAATGCCGAGTGTCAGCGCCTGCTGAAGCTCATGGGCGTACCATACCTGGTTGCCCCCACCGAGGCTGAAGCTCAATGTGCCATCCTGGCCCGGGCTGGCAAGGTCTACGCTGCGGCTAGTGAGGATATGGACACACTCTGCTTCAACACCCCCATTCTTCTGCGTCACCTTACCTTCAGTGAGCAACGCAAAGAGCCAATCCAAGAGATTCACGTCGATAAGGTTCTGGACGGCCTGAACATGGACCGCAAGCAGGTACGTTTTCGCTTCAACTCTGTATGTGCTGTTAGGATAAGGTAACAGACATGCTGACTCGGCCTTTCGCAGTTTGTCGATCTCTGCATCCTCCTTGGCTGCGACTATCTCGACCCCATTCCCAAAATCGGACCGCACACTGCCCTCAAGCTGATCCGCGAGCATGGCAGCCTCGAGAAGGTTGTCGAGTTTATCGAGAGCGATAAGAAGGGTAAGTATACCCTGCCCGACGACTGGCCATACCGCGACGCACGCGACCTATTCTTCGAGCCCGACGTCCGACCTGCCGACGACCCCATGTGCGACTTCAAGTGGGACAGGCCTGATGTTGACGGCCTGGTGCAATTCTTGGTCAACGAAAAGGGGTTCTCCGAGGATCGTGTCCGGTCAGGTGCGGTGCGATTGGAGAAGAATCTGAAGAACGCGCAGCAAAGCCGTCTGGAGGGCTTTTTCAAGCCAGTTCCTAGGACTGAAGAGGAGCAGAAGGCTCACAAGCGAAAGTTGGAAGAGAAGAACGAGGAGGCAAAGAAGAAGCGAAAGGACGAGAAGAAGGAGAAGGCGAAGGCAAAGGCGAAACCCCGAGGCACTGCCTGATCTACCTTGCGCTCTTGGTCGATCAATCTTTCCCTTTTCCCTTTTGTTCTTCTTTTTCTTCCAGCTAAGACTTTCAGTTAGACGTCTGCTGCTTTACAACTATCACACCGATACCGAGGGACAGTCCCAAGGGCAATGGCGTTTTTGCGGCGTTCACGGGGCAAAATGGGATCAAGGCAAGGGGGAAAGCAGAATCTTTGTGATGCAACGTCGTGACAACGCTGCTATGTACACAACCTGCGCACCATTACTGGAACGGAACAGATACACATAGCCAAGGAGAAGAGCGCGTTTCCTGGACCCACTATCCAATCTGACAATCTGAAAGACTTCCTTCTCTGCATGCCTCTGGAAACTGATGGGTTCTGTGATAAACTCCTAGGGACGATTATACTTGAATATCCGCTCAAAGACCAGACACACAAGTATACTATGGTTGACCAGCCCAAAGCAAACCACTGGGGTGGTGTGGTGTAGTCATCGTCACATACGTCTCCTGAACAGCCGCCTGGTAACGCCACATCACGTTGGCGCCTCTGAGACAACGGCCCCGGTGAATAGCCTACTATGTATGGAGCACGTCTTCCAAGCGAGTATTCCACACCTGACAATTCTGGAAGCCAGGACCGTCTGAGTATGTACCCTGTGACAAAGAAACCGGCCGGTCGCCGAGCGCAGTCTCATTTCCCTCCAAATGGAAGAAAGAGCCTCGGCATCTGCCTCAAGCGGCCCCTGGCCTGGAGTCATCACAATGGTGATTGGTCAACGACCTCGATGACATCAGCTCATACAAGGGGGGCCGGGTCCACCGCTTCGGCGGTATCATCACATGCCAAAAACCTTATTGCCATTTTCATTTCTCCCAGTGTTTCCTCCCAGGAAGGCCACCACATGACCTCTTAGGATCCTACAAAGTTACCATCGTGCAAGGCTAAGACTTCGGTGTGCATTAGAAGACGCTAGAGCGGCTCCAGAAGGAGGAGGCTGTGGGTGGTGCTCTTGTTTCCCCACGAATCCCCAGATTATAGGTACTCGGTCCCGTACGGGGGTGGGTCGTTAGTGTTGAAGAAAAGTACCAGGAGGGATTATTTGTCCTCGTGTCCTCGTTTCTGACCGTCTCGTCTCCCAATAAGCATGTGATAGTCCGTTACCTTTCCAGCCGAGCTGTTATACCCTTCTCCTCTCTTCATAGACAAAATAAAACCTACTACCTTTTTTCGACCCGCCTTCCTTACTATTGTGAGGATAAGACACCCTTCTTACCATTTTACTTTCTCCCCCCTTCCCCTTTCTTACTTTCTGATCGCCTTGGAAAACGAGCGAGACTCTAGACATTTTATTTCAGCATTAAAGAGTAGATTATTGTATCGTTATCCACCATGTCTAAGACGTTTAGTGCAAGCGACGTCTCGTCGCATAACAAGCCTGATTCTCTCTGGATTATCGTCGATGAGGATGTCTACGACGTGACAAAGTTCCAGGATGACCACCCAGGCAAGATTTACCAGACCGCACCCACCACCCGTCCCATCCTAGACATGAGAGGGCATCTGGCTCTGCCGTGATCTGTCTCTAACCAACATCTTTTCCGGGAGCAGGTGGCAAGAAGATCCTGCAGAGGGTTGCCGGCAAAGACGCCTCGAAGCAGTTCTGGAAATACCACAACGAGGGCATTCTGAAGAAGTACAAGGGCCAACTGCAGATTGGCAGTCTCGACTCCAAGCCCAAGGCCGAGGCCAAGCCCGCCGCAGAGCCTGTGCCCGTTGCCGCGCCTAAGACGTCACCCGCAAAGACGCCCGTCACGCCCAAGGGCAACGAGGAGGCGGAGGCGCTGGAGCCGTTTGGAGACCAGATCCCCTTTTCCGACCCGAACTGGTATCAGGGTGTAGGTCCTTTTCTTCCTCTTTGGCATTCAAGGGAGAACCAGCGACAGATTGCTGACGATTGCCATTATCTATTTGTAGTTCCACTCGCCCTACTGGAACGAGTCCCACGCTGCACTCCGGGCCGAGGTCCGCGAATGGGTCGAGAACGAGATCGAGCCCAATGTCACCGAGTGGGACGAGAAGAAAGAGGTCCCGGCCTCTGTGTATAAGGAAATGGGACGACGGGGCTACCTCGCCGGCCTCTTGGGTACTGCATACCAGAAGGACTACGTCACTAACCCGATCAAGTCCGTCCCGGCCGAGCAATGGGACTTGTTCCACGAGCTGTTGATCACAGACGAGATCTCCCGTGTCGGCTCGGGCGGCTTCGTCTGGAACGTCATCGGAGGTTTCGGCATTGGCTGCCCGCCCCTGGTCAAGTTTGGCAAGAAGAGCTTGAAGGACAGGATCCTGCCTGGTATACTGAATGGTGACAAGAGGATCTGCCTGGCCATCACAGAGCCGGATGCTGGCTCCGACGTCGCCAACCTGACATGTGAGGCCAAGCTGAGCGAAGATGGGAAGCACTACATCGTCAACGGCGAGAAGAAGTGGATCACCAATGGCATCTGGGCCGACTACTTCACCACCGCGGTGCGTACTGGCGGCCCAGGCATGAATGGCGTGAGCTTGTTGCTCATCGAGAGGGAGCACGGTGGTGTCTCGACCAGGAGAATGGACTGCCAGGGTGTGTGGTCTAGTGGTACCACGTACATCACCTTCGAGGACGTGAAGGTGCCTGTCGAGAACCTGCTGGGCAAGGAGAACCAGGGTTTCAGAGGTAAAGTTTCGAACCGCCGCAACACAACTCGAGCATTTGAAATTCCCACTGACAGATATCGACAGTCATTATGACCAACTTCAACCACGAGCGTGTGGGTATCATCATCCAGTGCTTGCGCTTCTCCCGTGTCTGCTTCGAGGAGTCGGTCAAGTACGCCAACAAGCGCCGCACTTTCGGCAAGAAGCTCATCGAGCATCCTGTGATCCGCCTGAAGCTCGCCCACATGGCGCGGCAGATCGAAGCGTCCTACAACTGGCTTGAGAACGTTCTCTACCAGTGCGAGAAGATGGGCGAGACCGAGGCCATGCTGCGGCTGGGTGGTCCGATCGCAGGCCTCAAGGCGCAGTCCACAGTCACGTTCGAGTTCTGCGCGAGGGAGGCCAGCCAGATCTTTGGCGGTCTGAGCTACTCGAGGGGTGGGCAGGGCGGCAAGATCGAGAGGCTGTATCGAGACGTCAGGGCGTATGCCATTCCCGGTGGCAGTGAGGAGATCATGCTGGATCTGAGTATGAGGCAGAGCATGAGGGTTGCGAAAATGCTAGGTGGGATGAAGTTGTAGTAACTGTATCGGGTATTGTTCGATAGTATCTCTGGATTGTACTTCTACTATTTGCCACATATTAAACGGCGGCAAGTGGGCTGCATACAACTGGTTCACTTTTACGTACTTTGAGTAGCCATCGAGGTTTCTTCCAATTTGGGAAAGAACAAGTCGCTGTCTCCAGTGTGATTTAAACCTCCTGGCAGAGGCGGCTTAGAACATTGAAGCACCGAGGTCTAATGGCTAAGTACTTGCTTGAGTATGTGAATTGTTCGCAATGCATACGTTCTTCTTGTTTACTTACACCCATCCTTCGCCAACCCTCTTCTGCACCTGGTTTGGTTCTTAATGCTCTCTTTGCTCCATATACGGTGGTATTTCTATGGCAGCAGACCTACCCAGGAAACCATATTCCTTCTAGGAATTTTATTATCTGATATAATTGCGTCTCTCCCGTAACGAATTCGGTCGAACCTCTGAGGCCGTAATTACGACTTTCTGGCTTCCAGTCCTGCCTGAGGATCAATCATACATCATTCAAGATGATACCCTTTACGCTGCGAAGTGATCACCAACAATACAGTCGGCACGTACATCTACCGTTGCAGATATCTGACGGCTTTACCCACAGGACTTCTGTATTCTGCGACGGTCCCCTACATATTGCTCGTCGCACAAAGTCGGAGTCCCACTCACCCCATAAAGACACTTGTGATGGCGCTCAGATGCGCAGCATTGAAGCCATACACTTACTGAGAGGCTGTGTCGGCGTCCCTTTGAAGCACACACTGTCAAAAAGCCACCATTCAGTTGATCTCTACCATCAAGAAACATACGGCCCGCCGGGCCTCACGCTGTACGTGGCCTCGACTTCAAGTGCGACCATACATCGAGAGGGATCTTCAACGGACTACTTCCCCGGATACTTCTCATCTTCGCATGAGTCTCGGACACCTTTGAAGGGGTACACCAACGGTTACACAACCTGCGTATCTAATGCGATGCTCGAAAAGTCTTGCTCTGGACCGATCAATCTATCGTCGTCTCGTGAACATCGCGAGTCGGGGGAGTTAGACCGAAGGCTCAGGTCGATCGACGAAGCCCTGCGTCTGGGCAAGTCACGCGGTGGAAGACGTGGCCGGCGCTTGTACAACTCAGAAGTCTCATTTCTGGTAGACTCAAAGGCCAAAGTTGTGATGACCGAAACTGTGCCGGCTCTCGGGACGTTGGATTCCAGGAAAGATTCTGAGCACACACATCTCTCTCGAACCTCGAGTGTGGTGTGCTATCCTGTCAAGTCAGGTGAATTGTCCTCACGCGCCAGAGCGCGATATGAAGTACGTTTATTACAACTAACAGATATCACTTGAACCCTCAACCCCATGTGTTCTCGTCAAACATTATACCAGCACGAAAAATGTGGCTAACATGTCATGTAGATCCAGTGCCTCTGTGGGAGATCCAAAGTCGAAGACCGTTCTGGCCGTCACCTTGAAAGCTGTCCCTCACAATGCGGTACATCATACAATACGCCAAGTTCGCGAGAAGGACGCCAGAATGCTCGTTCTTCGTCTGTTTCTAGGTTTTCTGCTGAATCAAACACCCTTTCCAACATGCCTTTCTTGTGTGAGGAAGAGAATTCTTCTCGCCCCGGGCAAGCCCATACGAGCCAGAGTGCTGTCAATCCCTTGGCTATGTCCGATCTCAGAACTATCATGTCTGACCTTGAAGCAGTAGTGATACGGATTGAAGCAGCATCCAAGATGAAAACAACACCTTGCTCGACAATAGATACATCCATAGGTAGGAAATTGTTGGACTTGACTTTGTCGAGCGTATCGCGGAAACAGAGCCTGCTGTCCAGCGAAGACACCATTGGGATACCCAAATCAAGCTTGAAGATAGCAAGGGAGATGCCCACGAGTCTTCAAGGCACCTTTGGGTACCCGTCGAGCTCTTTTGTTCCTGCGGTGGATATTCCTCCTGGCAATATCACTGGTGCACTCCACGCCCTCAGAAAATATCGCCGGAGAAAGACGAGCAGCCGCCTATCAGAGATTTACACACCTGCAAGGAGACCAGAGGTGTCTGGCGAGGCTGATTCTCCGTACGGCCTCAAGTCTGGATGTACAGCTACAGACCTTGCGCTGGTATCTGAGTATGGTGGGGTACCAGCGCTGTCAGCTAGCCTTGCCAACAAAGGTGCCGCATTTGCCCAAGAAACCGAAGATGCTGTGTCACGAATCCTCGTCGAACTGGTGCCCCGAACTTCAGAGCAAGCTCACTTTGCACAAGTCCACGAGCCAGCCTGATAATGCAAGAGCAACACTGGAACTTGGCGTCTTGGATGCCCGCGCGTCGATCCTGCGACTTCGCCGAGCATGCGCTGTTGACCCGAGATTCCCAATATTTCTGGAAAGCCGAGGCCAGTGTTTGCCTTTCAGTCGCGCTTGAAGGCTTCCTCAAGCGATCTAGGTCTATGTGGAAGCCCTCAGCACGCCTCGGATACTTAGTCTGGACGACGCAAACATACCAAGTGACGAATCCACTAATCAGTGCCCGCTAGGTACAGATCTTGGAGAAATAACAGGCTAGAAGATCCGACACAGCAAAGCAAGGCACCTGCCAGACATGCAAGAGGGCCTTCAGAGCTTATTAGTTGGCATCTTACTTTTGAAATAGTGGGTGAATGAATGGTGTTGGCTCGGTGCTGTGCTCGTTGGATGACTAGGCGGAAGCAACAAGCGAAGTCGAAATCTGAGGGAACGCGGTTTGGCGAAGTAGTTGGATGGGTTAACGGTCAAAGGCTTCTGAATTGTGATTTCGGATCGGGAAGAAAGCAGTCGCAGAACGAATACCTGACTTTATGCCATTGACACCGCTCATCGTTTCCTACCCTAGATTTGGAATAGAGCCACAATGGGACAGTGATACTTCTTCGGAATAGTGTTGAGGACGTTAAAAAGCTTGAATCTCTTGATTTACTGGTGAATTTGGGAAGAAAAGAGAGTTGGATTGATCTTTTCGAAATAAATAAAGCGCATGTATACACAGCTTTGATGGACATTCCCCCAAAGAATGATCATATGAGAATCACTGCAAGGTACTCAGACCAGTCACCTAGACTGTGGAGCAACGCAAGGTGAATTTTGTTGATTACGCTTTGATAATAAATTCACCCAGTTCTTTATCAAACGAAGTAACTTGGTACATTGCTTTGGCGAATTCGCACAAAAAGCTTTGCTAGAGAAGTGCTCCGCCTCCCGGGAGGAAGGAAAATGGGTCATGGTTGGCAACAGCAGCCTGACCGGAGCGATCTACGATCCTCCGCTTGATTCCATCCGAGCAACGTTTCATAGCAATCAGCCAGCCAACTTATTTCGCATTCATTGAGGGGGCTCAGTCGGGCCCAACTTGACCCAATTGCGGCGGTGCAGACTCCTTCACCCGAAGAGGGAAATCCAACACTCTCCAGCCGCGCGCCCCATGTCCTGGCGGGGTGGGTTTTGTCAAACAGACAGAAGAAACAGAGGATTCGATAGCGATGAGGGCCGGCCGATGGTTAGTTCTCGTAAAGATTACTTATTGTTCAAGTCTCCTGAAAATGTATGCGGATTTGACGGATCAAGTACAAGGTCTAAACGACTGAAATCATTGCTCTTTGATACTGGCGAATCGACAATTTCCAACGTCATAAATACTTTCCAAGCAGTCGATTCAAAACAACTCCCGCAGCTCAACATTATATTTTTTCTTATAAGACGAGCCATAGCGCGATGTGTATACAATATCTTGGACTCGGCAGCGGAGGCCCGACTAGCCCAGACCCCACAAAATCAATCGACATCCAACCCAGCGCATCACCCGTGATGGAATACCCATTAGACTCGCCGAAGGCACTCGACTACTCGGCCGGGATAGGCGGAGGTATCGACACGGCTTGGTGCGGTCCGGACTGCGACCTCACGTGCTGTACTGGGTGCGATCAGTGCGATTGCGGTGGCTGCTGCGTCTTCTGTGACGGCTGCGCGTGTGATAGTTGTGACTGCGATTTCAACTGTTGAATGAATCTATACGAAAGAAACAAATTCCAGCATGGTGTTCAAGTATCTTTTTCGATCACTGGATTGTTTGATATAGCGCCCCCAAGGCAAGGCTTGGACTGGTTGGTAAATGTATATTCCGTGAGTTGGATGAAGGCTTGAAGAAGATCTACTTCTACCATGATGAGAGTTGGTTATCAATATATTGGAAAGTCTCAAGATCACAAGCGCAGGTGCAAAAATACCGATTCTAGCAGTTGAAGTATTCTTGACAAGCTGGAGAGACTATGGGATCGGTTGTTGAGCCATGCCGCCTAGGCACTCGCTAATCAAATTTAACAATAATTCAGACCTCTTGGACAAATCTCATCTGGTCGTTATATTGTATCTATAAGAGTTGCTGGGTCCAAGTGTCCTTCTCCTCCGTCGTGTATGAACGGCTTATGCATCGCCAGACTGGTCAGCGGTGACTACTCGAGCGGGACGTCTCGAAGCCTGGCAGAGGAACTAGATTTACTGTCTTGTCTAAGGAAATTTAGTTTCTTTGTGTGGTGCTGGGGAGAACAAGGTTGGATGTATAGAGGAATTTATTATATTCAAGGAAGAAAAAAAAGATGTGTATTTTTAAATTGGCGAATGATTTCATATTCTTGGTGAGTGAGCTTGACGTGAGGGGGCATTCTCGACTGCAGTGGTCTGGGCGCTGAGCCAAATGTATCATGCTAGTATATAAATACAATCATGCCCCCTGTAAGGCACCATCGTGGCTGGTGGTTGCCGTAGCCGACCCCCCCGACATGGATCGAGCAGCGGCCCCTCGTCTCACTATAGCTCCTGTTTGCAACCACTGTATCTGCCTGGCAAGACCCTGGTCTCTCTCATTCTGCCTTACCAGTAGTTCGATCACTATTCAGGAAATTCCCATACCCACAGAGGATCGAGTCTGCTGGATCATGGCATGGGGACCAAGCCCAGCGAAGCGGCCGCGGATCGACGCTGGACCCTCCTCGTCTCGTCAACATCCACATGCGACAGACGCGACTCGCTCACGTCCTCATACCCCTTCACGACTGCGGCTTCAACAGCAGAGTCTACAGGAGCATGTTCACTTTGAATACCACCAGCAGTAGCAGCAGCAGCAACAACAACAAACATGATGATGCGCCACAGGCACCACCATCACCACCGCCGCCACTACCACGGCCTCGGGTGTCTTCATCTCCAGGTTGAGGTCCTATGGCCCACCCCGAGAACATGACCATACTTCTACACAAAGCTCTCGAGATCCTCAACCCGAAGGGCCAAGCATCTCACGACCCCTACTCTACCCTAGTCTCGGCCGCCCACGCAGGTAACGGGTAGATGCTCGATAGCTCTGCACGGTAAGAGCTTGAGCTTATGAAATCCTCCTTCAGGTCGCCCGCGAGGATGTCAACGCGGCATCCACGATGAGCGGGTGCGTGGGAGGAAGCCAAACCCTGTGCCTGATGCGGTCGTGCCGGAACCGGACAAGGATTTTACATACCTCGTTCGTAGGGAGGAGGCGGAAGTGAGTTGGAAGGGCAAGTATGATCCGCTCAAGGAATGGGACGGCGTGCCCAACTACTCTCGCGCCGCTCTGCGGAAGGAGGCATCCTTTTGGTACAAGAAGGTGGTGGACGTGCGGGATAAGCTGAAGTGGATGCAGAAGCATCTTCTCGAGGAGATGGAGGGACCCCGCGTCTCGTTCGGCACACGGAGGAACGCCCTTGTCGCCATGAGCCAGATCCGAGCGATGTCGTTAGGGATAGGAGTAAGCTCGGCAGGAACATAGAGAGCACTGGTCAGAGGCACTATTGAAGACTTTGTAAAAGGCTACTCTGATGCTCATCGCGCACGGTGAGCTAGACAAAAATCGTAAGGACCAAAATGGCACGTGGGCCAAGGGCATGAAGCGACTCATCTGGGAGGCTCAACAGCATGATCTCAACACAGCAACGCTGATGGATATCCTCCTGGCCGTTGGACCAGGTGCCGCTCGTAGCTTGGAGGCTGGTGATGACGAGTCGGAAGACGACGACGTATTAGCCTAGACAGAGCTTGGAGAACAAGAGCCAGAAGAAAAAGAGGAGGAGAAGGACGAGGAGAGGGAGGAGGAGGAGGTAACAGACGAAAGTGAAGACGAGCCACCAGAGGAAGAAGATGAGGATGCTTGATACGTTTCAATATCCACAACCTTCTCACTCTAGCTAAAAGGCTTTCGCTACTTGGGTTGGGCTTCAGATTATCCTTTCCTCTCCTTGTTTCTTCTTCCTTCTTCCTTTCCTTTTTTGTCTTCTTTTTCTTCTCTTCTTCGACCTAAAAACCTCATCAGAGGAGCTCAATTCGGCCGTGCTCATGCAAGGTTGGACGAGGGACCCCACGGTGAGATTCTTACTTGATACGCTGATGCGAAGGATCCCACGTACCGGCTCGCCCGAGTTTCCCGAGAGTGTGACCTCAGCATAGGGTTCCACGACATTGGGCTGTGAGACTTTGGCTGCTCTCCTCCAATTCCTCCCGTTCTCTTGGTTCTAAATCGGGGATTTTTTTTCTGGAGGAGGGAAGGAGTTTGCTGCTTATGCAAACACAATGCAAGTATGACGGACATTCCGCCCACCAACCTCTGCGATCACTTGATCCTGTTCTTGAGAGCCGCAAGTTGTCTCCACATCGTGCTCTTTCCGTCTCTTTTTCTTTCTTTCTCTCTCTTTTCATTTCATATCGATCCCTCAAGCCTACGTCTTCAGATCATTGCTCACGCAGCATCCATTTCCCGTTTGTGCTTGAAGTCCTCTCCTCAACGACCTGACGAGCCCGTTACATACAGACGCGCACAAACACAAACACACCAAAGCACACATACACAGAATGGACAAGTTGACAACGCTCACCCCACCCGCGCCGGGTTACATTCCCCAACGCCCGCTATCCGTCACACCCGAAGACGAGGCGCCGCAACCACACGACCCGTCCAGCGATCATACCAAGGCGGCAGCAGTTTCTTATCGCCCACAAGAGCCAATACGCATGCACCAGCCGTCCGGCGATGGGTCTCCCGACCTCAGAGGTGGGCGTAGGGACCACGGGTGCTGTGAATGCTGTCTTTACTGCTGCGGCATTGTGGTGTTGATAAAATGCCTTGACAGCTTCTGCGGCTGATGCGGTGCGACTTTTGGATGGAGGGGTTGGAAGACCAAAGAAGAGAGGAAAAAAAAGGGCAGTCATCATAGAAAAGCAATGGACAGAACAGAAAGACAAAAGCAGGGCAAGTTAGCAAAGCGGGACACATACCTGGCGCCATAGGGGGGATATCTGGAGATTCATCGGCTGCAGGCATGATTGGTTTCATCCAAAGGAAACCTTTTCGTGAACAACCTATTTCATGTACATTTTGCGGCGGATCGGGATTCGATTGATAGGCCATGGCCGGCGACGTGCATGCTAATGATGCCATGTGCCACCTCCCCTCTTTTCTTTCTCTTTCTCTCTGAAGATCAGTCTATCTTGTGACGAGATGGAACGGCAAATTGAGGCTTCGGAGCGTCACTGCGTCGGACGAAACTGGGTGTATTCCCGAATAGTTGGAGGAATTATCATAGCGATGCAAGGCAGAAGCTACAAGGACGTCAAGGAGATGAGTGGCTTCTGAGGATTTGTGAAGCTCGTATGATTGAACGAAGGCACACACTAGATTGCACATGATGTTTACTTTCATGAAAGCGTAGACTGTTATTGAGATGCTGGGTAGTTGTCCAGGCAAAGTACTTAATTAATATCACCCTTTCAGGTACCACTGGGACAGATATCATTAAATGCTATATGTCTTGTGGGACTACTTGAAGCATACGACTTCTGTTTGGACGTGTATAAATTTGGACATCTCGTTTTCCCCATCAAGAGTCCCTCAACGAGTTGAGGGAATTCCCATAGCCATATCTTCAGCCGAGTGGGCATCATTCGAAAAGAACTACTAAGATACTACAACCCCTCACTGAGGCGCCGAGCTGCATAATAATGGAGTCAACAAACGTACAGGGCGCTGTAAATTCTGGCGCGGCCAGGATCCAGATAGTAGGGGCGATGTTTGACCCGGATATCGTCTGTGTCTCTGTTTTGTTGTAGATAGCACTACTACTAGGGGACCGCCAGCAAGATTCCACACCAGCGAATCTTTGGTGCACAGATACTGTACCTGCATGATTTCGACCCACTAATGACACCTCAGTCACTGTAATGTGAGGGTCCTAGACGCCCGCGACCGGAGATATGGCTTGGCAGACTAAGGTGAAAGGTTTCTCCTTTTTCGAGAGGTCTATACGTACTGTCCTTGGGGACATATACGTAGTGGGTGGCTGAAATGTTGAGCCTCCAAAATATTTTTAAAAAAAAACTTGTTATCATGTCCTGGGTGTTTTGCCCTCCTGACATATATATACCGGCCCAAGGCGGCCCACTACCAGCACCTAAACTCGATAATCATGCTTGAACACGTTCTTAGTACTCGATTTAATTATGGGCCCAAAAATTGCCCTTATGACGAACAAATTATGGGCCGTGTCCTGTGACTGAATAAAGTCTTTTACAGTTGCGGAACGGGTATGAGCGTCACGCTTGGGAGGTTATTCATGCCAGTTGTGGTAAAATAATAACTCGCATTCCAGCAGCAGCAACAGAGGTTGGAGAAAGACCAGGGAAAGAGGGAGAGAGGAAAGAGAAAAAAGGACGCCGACAGTACCGACTCGAAACGACTAGTCAAACCGCCCCGTGCCGCGAGCAACAAACATGAGCTGCGAGTCAGCCTGCGGAGACTGTACTGATGACTGCAGTGACCGACCTCTTGTCGACATCGAGGACTACGAAGCGGAACTGGCCAAGGTTCGGGCCAGGGCGAGACAGCTGGAGGAGACCATGGCCAGGATTCGCAGCGAGCTCGCGCCGCCCAAGCCGAAGCGCAAGCTGCGCTCCTCGGACTGGTTCAATAGGAAGGATGACCTGGCCATGACAGCTCTCTATGTCGAGAGGTATCTCAATTCTGGGCTCACCCGAGAGGAACTCATGTCAGACAAGCCCATTATCGGGATCGCACAGTCTGGGTCTGACATTGCTCCTGTGAGAGGAATAATCTTTCTTTTAAAACTCCATAAATAGCATCTTTTTCTCTGTCTCCCACCTGCCTGTGATCAAGAAGAGAGAGACAGTTCTCTAACATACACTGTGCATTTCTCGTAGTGCAATCGACACCACATTGAGCTGGCGAAGCGAGTCCGTGAAGGCATCCGCTCAGCTGGTGGTATTGCTTTCGAGTTCCCTATGCACCCTATCCAGGAGAGCACGAGACGGCCGACGGCGACTCTGGACAGAAACCTGGCCTATCTCGGACTGGTCGAGCTCATGCACGCCTACCCCTTTGATGGCGTCGTGCTCCTCACTGGTTGTGACAAGACAACGCCAGCATGCCTAATGGCTGCCGCCACTGTCAACATCCCAGCCATCTGCCTCAATGTCGGACCTATGCTGAATGGCTGGGCTAACGGGCAGAGGGTTGGGTCTGGCACGGTGGTCTGGCACGCTCGAGAGGAACACGCCGCGGGCCGCATCAGCGACGATGAGGTCCTCGACATGGTTGCTAGGGGTACGCCTAGCCCTGGCCACTGCAACACCATGGGTACTGCGTCAACGATGAACGCTCTGGCCGAGGCCCTGGGGATGGCACTGCCTGGGTCCGCAGCAATACCCGCCCCGTATAGGGAAAGGTCGCAGGTTGCGTATCAGACCGGCGAGCGCATCGTGGGCATGGTGCACGAGGATCTGAGGCCCTGCGACATCATGACTCGCAGTGCCTTCGAGAACGCCATCGTGGCCAACACTGCGATCGGAGGTAGCACGAACGCACCGATTCATCTCTGTGCCATAGCAAGACACGCCGGTGTGCCGCTGGATCTGGACGACTGGGACCAGATCGGGTTCTCGATCCCTCTTCTGCTGAATATGCAGCCTGCTGGTGAGATGCTTAGCGAAGATTACTATCATGCTGGAGGCCTGCCTGCGATCATGGCAGAGCTGCTCGCGGCAGACAGGCTGCCGCATCCTGACGCCATCGCCTGCAACGGCATGACGGTGGCCGACAATGTGCGAGGGCGATTTACCTGGGACCGGCAGACTATCAGTTCGTTCAGCCACCCCATCAAAGAAAACGCAGGTTTTCTCCACCTGACGGGCACGCTCTTCGACTCGGCCATCATGAAGACGTCGGTCATCTCGCCTGTATTTCGTGAGAAGTTCTTGTCGAACCCTGACGACCCAAACGCTTTCGAGTGCAGGGTCGTAGTGTTTGATGGGCCCGAGGACTACAACGAACGTCTCGAGGACGCCGAGATTGATTGTAGGACGATCCTGGTGATGCGGGGCGTCGGGCCTTTGGGCTACCCAGGCGCGGCGGAGGTCGTCAACCGGCACGCGCCTGCAAGGCTGCTGAGAAAGGGGGTGCGGGATTTGCCGTGTATCGGAGACGGTCGACAATCTGGGACGTCTGGATCGCCGAGCATCCTCAACGCGACGCCCGAAGCCGCAGACGGAGGCAACATGGCGCTGCTGAGGGACGGAGATGTGGTTCGGGTAGATCTGAACAAGAGGCGTGTTGATATCATGTTGTCAGAGGAGGAGCTCAGGACGAGGCGCGAGGAGCTTGAGACCAAGGGCGGGTACCAGGTACCCCCGAGCCAGACGCCGTGGCAGGACATTTTCCGTCGCGAGGTTGGTGGGCTGAGCGAGGGCATGGTCTTCAAGAGGGCTGTACGTTTTCAGCGGATCGCACAGAGACAACCGGTTCCGAGGGACAATCATTGATGATCTGTGTGCTGATAATAAAAAAATAACAATAACAGCCGGCAGGAAAGACGAAGAGAATGCTGTGACTGTACTGTGTGAATGTGCAATGCTGAAAGGTAATATTCGTCGTGACGCCCCTGTTGCATGCTGAAGATGATCAATCGATTAATCCTGTATGATGAAGACCCCTTTCTTTACCTAGTCCAATCATCGAAACCTCGACGGGAGTCGCCTGCCCCGCCGTATGGCCAGCAAATAGAAAACCGCCCCAAACGCCCCGCCGCCCAGGTGCGCCGCATATCCAATATACGAGCCCGAGCCCGTCCAGCTCTCCTTCCTCTGACCCGCCGCTCTCTCCTGGTACAGGTTGTACAAATCCCATGCGATGAAGCCACCCACTACGTTCCGGTATGAGATTTCGATGGGAATGAACATAACCTGCATGGGCAGGCGCGGCGCGGCCAGCATGGTCGCCACCAGCATGCCCTGAACCATGCCTGAGGCGCCCAGCCCGGGGACATCGGGCTCACCGTTCTGCACACGCCTGGTACTGTCGTACAGCGACCCCGCTGACCCGCCCAGCGCAGACCCCAGGGCGAGAGCTGCCAGGCGTCCTGGGCCGACACCGACGTGGCTCGCGATCATGCTGGCCTCGCGCAGCATGAACATGTTGATGGCCAGGTGGGGGAGGTTCTGATGGCTGAAGGCGGAGGTGAGGACGGTGTACCAGCGGCCCTCATCGATGTTGCGCTTGCTCAGGGTGTAGTTGTCACGCATGTAGCGCTCTGTTCGTGCTTGGACCTCGCGGTAGGCTGGCGACGAGGATGACGTGGGCTCCTGCTGGTGCTGCTTGTTGTTGGCGGAGGCTGTCTCTTTTGGGTCTTGCTTGTACGGCACGATATGCCATCTGCCAAAGACGTAGAGATTGGCACCGATGGCGCCCCAGGTGAGAGCCTTGACGGCACTGGCTGAGGTTGCCATGGATGTGAGGAGGAGGAAGATTCCCAAGGTGTCTGAATTGTGAGTGAGTACGTGTTTGGTGGAAATTGTGGTGAGGCGTGAGATTAGTACGAACCTGTCTGTCTGCCGCAACAATTTGAGAGTGTAGGAATCAAAATTTGGGGTTCTTTATCTCTCTCAAACGTGAAAATTGAATCCGATCACTGCTGACCTCGCAAGAGTAAAGGGTAAACTGAGCACCTCATGCGAGGCCGATCTTTAGCTTCAAGATGTTCTTGCCCTGCAAGACGGTGTGTTCAGCTACCAAGCGGGTTAGGGGACTATAGTTCTAGGGTTATGGCTATAGGCCCTGGCCTGGCCCCCCTCCCTTACTGTAAGCACTTAACATATGTAGAGTCAAGACATTTCCCAATTACTTATACTTCAATCATATAGCCAATTTTCTCGTCTCATTAATTGATTTCTTTTTATTCTTATTCTTGTTTCGTTATAATGCTTTCCCTCTAATTATTTCTCGGTTTTGCACGATTAAATCATCCCATTCAACATCATTTACCTGTCCTATGTTGGCGGCGTCGGCACAGACATTGTGCTGGACATCACAGGTTCTGCTGAGTGCAGTGTCGACGTCGACAAAGATGTCTCCTCCACCCGCCACGGAGAAGGGCCTGCTGTTGGTAGTGGTGTTCTGGGCGACGGTTATGGGAGCACCGCAGAGGATCTTGGTGAATCTTTGGAGGTTTTTGTCGTTCCTTATGGCGGCTGTGCTGTTACCATTGCTGCCTAGGTGGAGGTTCATGTCAGCCTCGTGTCGTCGTCATTAATGACTTGAGTATGGGTAGGAGGAGGAACATACTGTATACCCTGTGGCTGCGCCAGTCGGAGCAGGTAAAGTGGCTGAGGTTGCTTGGGCGCTGGCTGCGGGCATGGCTGAAGCAGACACCAAACAGGAAATTATGACAATGCCGGCTGTGAAGCCCTGCATCTTGAAGATCAATGATCTTGTGTGTTGTAAATAATCACGGCAGCAATCCTACATATGGTGGATCTTGGTAACCTAGACACTGTGGATAATATTACAAGACAATTTAGGAAATGAAATTGTGTGAGATCTCACAGATTTTGTATGAAAGGAGGGACTAGCTGAGTGCTTAAGATTAAAGACGAATGTAAGAATGGTTGAAGGAATGACCATGGTAAATGTGAAGGAGAGGAAGCGGGCTGATCGGGATCAGTGCAGGGGAAGTATAAGTACAAGGAACCAGATACTTGGCCAGATGTTGAAAGGTAGAAAAATGCTGAGTTATCATGACGGCCATATCTTGGTTGGCTTCGGGGATTTATTTGATATATTGCAGATCATGAGTCTTGGCTCTTCTCTTACACGCCAACAATTCCTACTTGTGTGCTTGGCAACGAATAGCGAGGTCGACAAGGTGAGCAAGGACTCAAGGAGAATGCCTAGGAATGGCTCAACAGCTGAAACCCTACTTGAATTTGTGACCGAAAAACGGCATATCAAGCTGTAGCCTGTAGAGAGACACGACTGGTGGTATAGACCGGAGCAATCCGAAGCAGAATCTGGAGATGTTTCGCCTGAGAATATGATGGTGATGATGGTTAGGCGGAGAAAAGGTACTTAGTTAGGCCTCATGATAACCTCGAGAAATGCATCCGCCAAAATTGGGAGGATTTACGCGGTGGAAGTCTCAACTAGGAATAAGTTCTGCAATGACATAAGACCTTGTGATAAAGAAAAAGAGTTTCAACATTTGGCGAGGCAAAATGAGCTCTGCTGGAGGTGAGACGGGGTGAGCCTCACATCCTGGGTTTCAGCCTCATAGGCGCCCGTGGGAAGGGATCTGCAACGGCCACCAAAGTCAGCACCCGTAGACGCTAGCAGGGCTTTCTCACTGCACTGGAGAACCTATACTCAGATCAAGACCTTTCGCTAATGGGTAGAAAAGTCCGATCAAGATTCGGCTTGCCTTGTGCCTGTCAATATTGTCATCAAGCTTCACACGTGCAATAAGTCGTCCCCCATCATCTCCTCTCTGCAATGCGACCATTCAGCAAGGTCTTGTAGCATGGCCCTCCAACGTTCTGGATAACGTGTCTGAGTACATATCTTCTGTCTTTGGCCATGCACATCCCCTGCGTACCCCGAAGTCATTAGCGTGGATGGGGTGTACGTCCGACTTACATCCTTTAATATGGGCATCAGTAGTGAAGTTCACGAAACAAGTCTAGTGTGTGTTCGTAAACTAGAAAGCAAGGCTTGCGTAATCGTCTTTGATGGCAGTCTCCTTGTCGGAGGTCCGGGGGGCCTCGAGGCGGGATCAAGGGGGAAAAACCAACAAACACCACCAGTTGTCTTTGTCCTAGCAGCGACGTCCATTTTGATGAGCCCTTTGCATGGACGGCCCAGCTCTAGTGGACGATGCCTTCATTCGGATGTGCGCCCGAAACATTGCGTATTTTACGCGTTGATCTTCAGACAAAAGTTGTCTGGTTGCCTGTTCTTGGGTGCACTTTCAGCTCCGTGAACGCAGCTTAGAATTCTGGCCCTGAGCGTGATTGATTGTAATGTCCACGTCGATTCCTTATGCTGTCTGACTATCTGCAATGCATGCGTGTAATCCCCTTTCCCCGAGGTCATGATGTGTTGTGGTGTTGTCAGAGAACAGTGAAACCCACCTCGTCGCAACCGACCAATGTCCGCAACCCGAGATGTGTGGAATGCAACGCCATAGTAAAGCCAGTCCTTAAGAAAATCTTGGCGAGGGAAGTCTCGACGCCCCGGTATGGGTGTGTGTGTGTGTGTGTGTGTGTGTGCGCGTGTGTCCGTCCATCGGGTAAACTCGACATCTAAATCTCGCCAACCTCATCCCTTCGGCCCTGCCTCTCAACAACAGAAACCTGTGTCCATCCAACCACCCCATCCGAGCGCCCCTTCCGACCTGTCTAGGTTGGCTGAGAGCTCTAGATGGCGTACTTCTGCGTCCACTCACGCGCAGTCCGCTCGTACTCGTCTCGCTTGGTCTTGTACATGTGTGCGATCTCGGGCACGAGAGGGTCGTCGGGGTTGGGGTCGGTCAACATGGAGCAGATAGAGAGCAGAACTTTATTCGTTTTCGTCAGCGGGTTGCGTTCCACCACCGGGCCTCAAATGAATGTAGCAGCAGGCCGAGTCAGCTTACCTTTGGAGATGGTCAGGGCGGGAGACCATTGGTCACGCAGGATGTCCAAGCAGATGCTACCATTGCTGTTGATGTTGGGGTGGTAGATGCGGGTGGTGAAGTTAACCTTGGGAGGCTTGAAGGGGTAGTCTGTAGGGAAGTGAATGGCGAGGAAGAAGACGCCGCCGGCGTATGGTGAGTCTTGCTACAGGGAGAATGTTAGCAGATGATCTAGGCCTGCATGAAGTGTCGGCTTCGAGGCACGTCCGCGGGCGACCAGTACAATCAGGTGACTGTATCCTTGTGACGTTGAAGGCGGAGCTAAAGAGAATGACGGGTGGGTGTAGGAGATCAAGACAGAAGGAGAGTAACCTACAGGGCCCATGATGGTGGCCTGCCAGTGAAACTATTCGAGAAGAGTATGTCAGCACGTCATTTCGAAGACATTCGCTGCCAGCACGACAGCTCGCGTGCCAATATGCGGGTTCCTGGGAGGACGCTGGCGCTTATCGGTGGGAGTGGAGGGAGAGAGGGGCAATGCCTACCAGATCCTCGCCGACTGGACCAGCAGAGCATGATGAGGGAGGATCACTGTCAAAAAGGCGTCAGCAAGTGAAATAAATGGAATGAAACATCCTGCGATGGCTGCCATGATCGCTGGCCCTATCAAGGTTTGGTGATGTGTGGGTGGTGATGATATTCTGAAGGGCGGCAGCCAACAAGAACAGCCCCGCTCCAACAGAAGCCAACCGTTTCACCCCACCTCGCACGCATCGACACCAGTATGCACGCCGACCAAGGCCAGCGATGTGAAGAGAGGCGGCGTGAAAGAAAAAAAAAAAAAGGGGGGGGGGGGAAACAATAGTGACATACCGACCGAGGTCCGTCAGTTCCTTGTTGATGCGCTTCAGAGCCATTTCTGTGTTGAGGGGGGTGGAAGGTGTAAAGAAAAAAGACACAAGGAGGCGTCGGAGACGATGAGGCGGTTTCGATTGGGTTTGATCTGGGGAAGGTCGCAAGTCGAGTCGTAGAGGGTCGAGGAAGAAGTATTAATCTTCTGGTGAGACTGTCGCACGAAGAAAGTTTTAGCTTCTTGTCAGCCTGAGGCAGATGGAAACGCACAGAAGGCAGTGGAGTTGGACGAGAGTTGAGGGCGAGAGGTCAGAGTTGGTTTGATTCACTGGCACCAGAGGAACATTGGACCAGAGAGGCGAGGTAGATCGGGTCTAGGCAGGGTGGTGCATGCCTGCAGGTGATTGACAGGGCTGTGCATGAGTGTGGTCAAGTGCTGTTGCATGCAGAAAAACAAACTTACAGATGTGGTATCGTGTGTTTTGTGCCGGGTTGGGGTTGAGTTGGGTTGTTTGCCGCAGTACGGTGTGGTTGTGGTGGACGGATGATGATGAGATTTGGCAAGAAGGTGTTGGCAGGTGGAAGAAAAGAAGCTGTCAGTCGAGTGCTGAATGGAGGGGCCTGAAAACCTTGGAAGCGCAGGGAAGGCTGCTTTTACGATGGCCCGCCCGCCCAGTCAGCAGTGGCTACGGCTTGTCAGCCAGTGAGTGGCCAGTGCCAGTTGCCAGTGTCTCTCACTGATCAGTTGGCTCTGATGTGGGGACCCAGCGGCAGGTGCGAGTGCGAAACAAAGGGATGCCCACTTGTGACCTGCTGTGCCTGACATGCGCTATCAGGCAAACGGGCGAAGAATGAATGACCAGTGAACGGCGTGCTAGCCTGGTTCTCTCCAGGCGGTTGGCGCCTGGCCAGCGGCCCAACCTAGAGCCGACTGCCCCTCCCTAAACGGATATCTGGTATCTGACCATACAACAGGTGCTTACAAGGTACATTACCATGTTAGTGAGGCAGGACGCCGGACCAGCCCCTCTATTGTTTTGGGCTGCTGGCCCTCACGATTTGGCCTCGCATGTCCGTGACAACTCTCTGCCTGGAGGGCACGCCAAGGAGGAACCTGGTCAACACAATCACAAATCGTTCATCACTTCTACTTCTATCGTAAGGTGTCTGTGTTTTCCCCTTCAAGGCTCACTCATGAGCCTACCGCCAGACTTCGTTATTGGCATCATGACGTCGACCAAAATATCCACAAGGACAGCGCTAAAGTAGGGGGTTCAGGGATGGGCTGTGGACGAGGCTGTAGAGGTCGGAGCCGCCACAGAAAGGGGGCTGTCGGCTGCGTCTGATCATGGCGCCGTTGTGAGCGGAGGACGGCAGTGGCTGCTGAGCAGTGGGACTACCCCTCTCTCTTTGTCTAGAGGGACATCTCGGTAGACCGTCTGGACATGTTGCGGCACGACATGCCCCCTCGTGGCACAGATAGAGTAGCCAATCCCACGTGAACCAGCCCTTGTTTGGGCTTGCTCTCTGTTCTGGTACATGCGAAGATGGCTACAATGAGTTCCCTATATATACTAGCCCGGATGAGGTGATCGTGACACGGCTCACACCTTTAGTGACAGCCAGGTAGGCCTCAAGCAAATGCCTGGGTGCCGGTGATAGCCCTTCCAAGTATCAAACCTGCATAGAAAGGTCAACAGACGTAATATTAAGAAATCACAAGGAGCAAACCAATGTCTTTGCTTACTGTGGATGTCACTCTGTCCTTCATACGTCTGCGTCACGAACAGGTTGGCCACATGCCTCCCCACGCCGTACTCGTCGCTGACCGCGTTGCCGCCAAAGACCTCCTGCAGCGTCCTCGCCCCCTGCAGCGCGCGGTCACAGTTCTGCCGCTTCACCATGCTGATCATCTCGGGCGTCGCCTTGCCCTCGTCCTTGAGCCGGCCCACCTGGATCGCCGCCAGCATGCCGTATGCCGCATCCGTCGTGGCGTCTGCCAGCTTCTTCTGCACCAGCTGGTACTTGGCGATTGGGTTCCCCTTGAACTGCGTCCTCTCAAGCGCATATGTCCGCGCCCTAGCGATGCAGTCCTCCAGCGCCCCGATCGTGCCCGTGGCGATGCCGTAGCGTGCGCTGTTGAGGCACGAGAACGGGCCTCGGAGGCCCTCGACGTGTGGGAACATCATTTCCTTGGACACTGGAACGTCATCCATCTGGATCATACCCGTGATGCTCGCCCGCAAGCCGTTTTTGTTCTTGATGGGAGGCGTCTCGAGCGTGCCGGCTGGACACCTCGACCTCTCCACCAGAAACCCTCGTATCTTGCCCGTCTCCGCCAGCTTGGCCCAAACCATCAGCACGTCGGCGATCGGGCTATTCGTGATCCACGTCTTACCACCGCTCAGTAGGTAGTATCCCTCCTTGGTCGGGTGTGGGCGCGCTGTCGTCTCCATCGACCCGGGGTCCGAGCCGTGATTCGGCTCTGTCAGGCCGAAGGCGCCCAGCACCTCGCCCTTGGCCATGCCTGGTAGGAATTTGTCCTTCTGCTCCTCTGTGCCGAACTCATATATCCCTCCCATAACGAGCGAGGATTGCACCGACATGCCCGACCTGTAGCCGCTGTCGACGCGTTCGACAGCCTTTGTGATCAGCCCGCCAGCCACCGTAGAGGCGCCTGCGCAGCCGTACCCGTCGATAGTCGCGCCGAGAAGACCCAGGGCACCCATCTCGGAGAGGATTTCGCGGTGGTAGTTTTCGTCGCGGTAGGCCTCTACATAATGTGCAGGCTAAAGGTCAGCAGACTCATCCCATTACATGCGCCAGAGGCAGCGGGTTGGAGAGAGAGGGTGTGGGCATGTCTAGGGGGCGGCATACGGAGGACTCTTGGTAACAACTGCTCCTGGCAGTACTTCTCCGCCGTCTCGGCTATCGCCAGCTCCTCCTCTGTCAGGAGGTTCTTCACGTTGAGGGGATCCTGCCAGTCAAATGGCGGCGACGAGGCGGAGGCTGCATAGCTTCGGCGGGCGCCAACTTGTAGTGCCGGTGCTGTCTGCCGCGCACATCGTGAGAGAACCGTCTTGTACATGTTGTTGATGGGAGCCAATGTAACCTATAGGAAAGGCAGGAGAGGGTTTGCCATAGTTGCCAACCGTGGAGGAGAGCCACTTCTTGCTCTCCACACCCGAGGGTATCCGGTCTCGGGGGGGGGGGGGGGCAATGACGCCCATGAATCTCGGCGAGGAGATCTGGCGGTTTCAATGCCTCGGCTCAGCATCACGTGGATCCCTGACCATGACATTGCGAACAGAACAGCCCGAGAATAAAGAAGAAAAAGAAAAGAGTCCCTTGGTCCATCCCTCTCCATGATGGAGATTCTAAGGGGTAGAAGGTCATATACTTTCCAAATTTGCGTTGAAGACACATTCTTTGCAGCAATGGCTTCCATCACTAATTGCCCCGAGATGTCGCAACGAAAAACGCCACACCACACTGCCCTCCATCCGACAGCCATGACAGGATGTGTTATGCCGTTACGCCCCTATTAGCACTGCTGATATTGATCTCTTAGACGTATTCTTTTGCAAATAGACAGGCAGTGCTTTGATATCTTGCTGTCTCCACTGTACCCTGTGTTTATCTGTAGTGTTCCGCAGCGGTCCCAAGGCGTCTTTAACCTCCACATCTGCGGAGTCTTTACCCTAGTGATGATGGCGCCAATTAGTACTGTACTCATGCACCTATGTCTCATAGATCTCGGTCACACATATCCCAAACAAATCAACACATGGAACAGCACGCCGCTTATATCACGTTGTGACTGATGGAGTGCTCATTCGACAACATGGGATGATAGCCAGAGACCTACTGAACATTTAGTGTTGCTGTGGTGAAGATTATGTGAATTAGAATACGCTGAGGCGGTTAATCTTTTGCAGCATATCCACGTCCTTGGAATGCCAGTCCAGTAATCTCTAGGAGAGCCCACAGGGAATGTTGACCCCCTACAGGCAGTGGCAGCATATCCACGCTAAGGCTGTCCACAAGTTACCGGCCCTATAATAGACTGGCTAGCATAATATTGGGCAGACATAGTCGTTATGAGGTTCTCCTTTCGTATAAGTAAACCAAAAACCTAGTGGTCTTCTGTACCCACATTTTATACGATTATAGCCTCGATATATGGAAGTCATCAGTCTCCAGGCACTTCAAGCCCCTGGGGATTTGAGACACAGACATCGTGTAATTGTTGCACAAGCCAACCAGCGCACTTCACCTGAGCATGCCGATGTATCGTGTAGGCTCCTCTGCGGATTGAAGTCTCGAGAATGACCATGGGAGGCGGTTTCTGAGTAATTACTAAATGGTCTAGAGGGGGTGTGGTGCATGCCTCTTTATAGCACCATGATAGATGCTCATTGACCCCAGAAATGGTAATGATAATCTTCTGACATGAAAGACAGAGAGAGTCTATCAGCGAGCTCATATAATTGGCTTGTGTTTATGAATGCTACTCAAAACAGTGGTCACTCTCCTATCCCATAAGCTGTGGCGCACCGTACGCCGCAGGACTGCCACCCCCGCTTTTGCCAGCTGTTTCTGCATCGTTCCCAAGCAGTCCTTAATTCCGAAGGTCAGGCCAAGCTGCAGTACGTACATTGTACACTTTCAGCGGTTGGGCGTACCGGCTGTACAACAGGCTGCAAGGGGGGGGGGGGGAGGGCGGCCTCTGTTGCCCACCCGTGCATCCCTAAAGTACCCAACCCAAACAGGCGAGTTGAATCTGCCAGAAAAGCATCCCGTTTCAACCTTCGACGACGACTACTACTGCCATACAGGGAAAGCAACCGCTTTAGACGGACGCTGAGACGATGTCTCTAGACAGCGATGTCACCAACCTGAGAAATCTTGCAAATCTTTGAACATCTGAACAAGAAGAACAGACACAAGCACCAAGGTGACGGGCACTAAGGGAGACCCAGCGCCTTTCGGAAGACAGGCCAGTTGGGCTGGTAGGAGATGCAGCCTTGCAGCACCACCTTAGCCTCCAACCAGTGCGCCGCATCCTGACCTGGACATATAACGAGCTGTCAGCGGGCGGAGAGACATACATCGACGGACGAACCTGGTCCATTCTGCTCTGTTAGGGTTCTCTAACCGTCGGCCCTCGTCTGGCTCCGGGGTCCCGGAGAGCTATATCAGATGATGGCCAGCCAGTCCAGACCCGGCTGTTGGACATGCAAGAGTGAGTTGTTATGCCCGCCCCTCCTTATCTCATCATGCTCCCTATTCTCTGCTCCCCACTCCACTGGTCATGATGTGCCATGATCGTCTGGAAGGAATTGGAGGCTGGTCTCACCTGTTTCTGACGTGGGTTCTTACTAACGCCCTTGGTCATGCGCGCACAGGACGGAAAATCGGCTGTGATAAGGGTGTTCCGACGTGTAATAACTGTAGGAGAACAAATAGGCAGTGCGCAGGATATGACAGAAAGCTTGTGTGGCCTAATCAACCGGATGGGCGTAGGAAGACACCCAACCTCCCCACCCACACCGCCCCGGAATTGGACCACTCCTCGGGTTTTTATTACGGCCAGCAGTTCCTGAACATATCATTCGATGATTTCGAGCAGGGTCGCCGCGGACTCGGGCCTCTATCCCTCTTAAGCAAGACCAACACGCGGCCGCAGCAGAGTCTTAACCTTGTCCCCGAGCTCCAGGGGCACGACGCCGACCTGCTCCTATACTGTGAGCTGCGCTGCACCTCTTCTACTCCTTCAACGGCGGGAAACTGACCTCCATAAAGACAGAGAGAAAATTGCTGGCCTGATATCTACCGTCGATGCGAACAATGGATTCCGACAAGAACTGCTTCCCATGGCGATGGCTAGCGATGACTTTGCTGCACAGGCTCTCCGCAGTGCCATGATCGCACTATCTGCTTTTCACCTTCACGGTACTGGTGCCGCTCTGCCTTACAAGACAAAAGCCATAACATACTTAAACCGTGCACTGCAACCCGAGTCGATTGTCGACGGTCAGCTGGAGCCACAAATCGCTGCGTCCATGATGCTGTGCGTGTACAATGTAAACCATTCATTCCTCCCCCGAGATAGGCCTGTCAGGTGTGGTGCTGATAGAAAGAAAGGTATTCGACGAATCCGAAGGCGACTGGCATATTTATCTGGATGGTTCCAGAAAGATGCTGCAGATATATGCTGACAAAAAAGGAGGCGCCCTGGGTTATGATTTCCTGAACACCTGGTTTTTATATCATGCAAGTTACCAAGTTCTCCGTCATCTGAACTCTCACCTCATGCTTGCGGTCTAGAAGGCTTCCTTAAACAAACGAATGCACATGGGTCTTTCCATCGGACTCTAACACGCCACAGGAGATCCTCGGCGCTTTCAGTCAGCCTCACAAGCATCGTTACGAGGGCGCTGCGTCGCTCGAGCTAATCAGAGGAAGTGAACTCGACAAGAGCGTCGTAAGTCTTGACGAATCGTCTCCTCCTTTCGTCTGATGCTCATACCCTCGCTCAGATAATTGGCTCTCTTGGATGCTCCATCGAGATCATGGAGATCATCCACAACATCAACCAGCTGCGCTATATCGCAACTCGCAAATCCTCCGAGGAAGACATGCAGCCTGACTACCCGCCTGTGATGTGGACGTACAAGGGCTTGCATGACCGTCTCTCCCGGCATAAACAGCAGCTCCCTCCCGACTACCAACAGCGCCCGGTTAGAGAGCAGACCAAGGTCCAGCTCACCGCCGAGCTATATCGCATCGCCGCCTTGCTGTACCTGCGCGCCATCTGCCCCAGCACCAACACCGTGAGCCGAGGGCCCGACTGGATCGATTCGGCGTTCGAGGTGCTCGGCGGGCTGGAGATCTGCACAAGCCCCTGGCCACTGTTTGTGGTGGCGTGTGAGTCGCAGACGGACCAGCAGAGGATCACAATCCTGCGAACACTGGACAGGATGGACGAGGATCGGAAGATCGGCAACGTACACGTATTGCGGAGCCTTATCGAGAATTTCTGGAAGCAGCAGGACCTCCAAGCGGATGAGGACAGGGTCGAGCCGCTGAGGTGGTGGGAATTGAGGAACTCCAACAGTCCCGCTCCGTGGTTCATCTAGTTGCTGGAGAGGTATTAAGGGTACGGTAAGGAACTCATTGTCTGGTACACAATTACGAAGCCACGACTTGACGAACACAAAACAGAAGTAGACATGTCCACTGTGATATTCTGACCGAGCAAGACCTCGGTTGTCAAAGGACACCGCAAATGATCTTGTAGCATGGGTGACGCAACGAGCAGCCATGACGGCATGATAATATCAGGTCCACTGGGAGATCGGACGAACACGCTGTGGAGGGCGTCGGCTGTCTGGTGGGGTTCATTTTTTACTTTATCATGATTCTGATCTGCTCGGTAGATTTGCTGGCGAGTTGAGTTGACTTGGGGTATTGATTTGTCACGAGGGAAAAAATTCCTGTGAATTTGGTTTTTAATAAAATAATGACGGTGTGCGCATCTGATAGGCATGCGAGATTCTGGTGAAATTAGACCTCGCAGAACATCATAAGGACTCGACGTCGTAAGGTTTGAGCGATTCAGCTGTCACCTACCTATCTCGGACAGGCCGACCTGGCATCGCTTGACAACCTGTGACAATCCAAGTCGCGGCCTTAGGGAAGAAGTAGGCAGTGCAGCCATAATGTGGAGGGCACCAAGACCTTGAAAAGCAAGCGTTTGGTGTTTGCAGATGATAACCTCTTGGGGGTAGTGTGACACGTGAGTGATCGACTCCAATACAAGTACGAGCCGACTGGGTATGAGCAGCCATTGCGTAAGTAATGTTAATAGGAAGTCCGAGACGCTGTACTAGAGGCCTGCACAGCACACGTCAGTGGTCTCCCTACTAATAACAAATCCTTAACCACGCCGCTCCTGCAAGACCTACTACACAATGTAGTGGATGCAGATGGAGCTTATTACTCCTGCCAACGCCATCTTCAGGTCCATATTTTACTTCAACGGGAAGGCAATCCTGCCTCGCAGGGAACGCCCTTGATATCTTTCGGACTGTGCTGACTAAGTACCAAGCAAGATACATACTAAGTAGTATTAGTAGCGAATCTTAATGATTAAGTTCTGGATCGAGAGATCCTATTACGATGGCTAGGTTGTATCCAAATTCACCATGGTAAAAGACGCGCTGGCAGGACGGACTCTTGAGAGAAGAAGAAAAAAGAAAGAAAAAAAGGAGTCGAAATCCAAAAGGATTTTCATTTAGGTGCCGGTATCTAACACGAAGTATCAATAACAATCGGGCAGCGCGCGTGCAGACATGGGAGAAGGAATTTGTATCTTCCGTATTGATGCGTCCGCATTTCAGGGCTCGGTCATTTCCTTGCCCAGACAGGAGACAGGTTGCCTATCAACGGCAACCACTCTCGGCGAATATGTCTTCAATCGGCTTGCGCACATGTCGCACAAGAGACAGACCCTTGCCAAACCTTGAAAAATGCTGTCTCCACCTGCATGCACACCGTACCTTTGGTAATACCACGCTGTCTTCCTGCATCTGTTCTTTCAAAATCCTGACCCACGATGTGGATGCTGCTTGCGAAAAGGGCCGGACCCGCCCGTAAGGCAGGTTCGCCTTTCTTCTGCCATGAATCGACATGGTATCGTTTTCTGGGACGGGACCGCTTCTAAAGAGCATACTCGACATGGCATGATCATGTGCCCGGAGGAAGCAGATCATACTCAACGGCTTCACCGCCGTGAAACTATAAAGTGCTACCGCAGGTCTTGTCTACACTAGCGCTCTCTTGGCTGTTTCTATCCACCAGATCAATATATGCAACAACGGAGGATGCCGCCTAAATAGTGTATATCTCGCAACTGAGTGCTTCTGCTGGCTCAATGACTGATAAGGGTAGACCTTCCCAAAGCAGGGCTGTAATGTGTGGGCTCAATCGCTGGTATCTGGGCGCCCGTTCATCTAAATGTAGTAATACAGCCACGAGAGAGAGGACTGGGCAGATTCTATACCCGTTTTGAACCAGTTCAGTAGCATGAGGAACCAAGAAACTGGCCCCATCTACGGATGATCCACATAATATTCCAGTACATGAGTCTTACTATACGTATCTGAATCGGCTTTACTCATTATTCTGCTGTGTTACATTACCTGCTGGCTCGTTTTCATAAGGTTGAAGCGATATCTCAGAAAATGGTTAAAAGAAATCGGCGAAGATGCTTCTGAGTCAGGCAAGCAGAAGAGATAATCGAATGCCCTCACTCGACGATCTGCTTCTGCTTCCCAATGGTCTCATGAAGAACAGGGCCCAGCACAATGGATCCTTCTCGCAACCGACAAGGGGGACGTGATATCGCACCGTTTGTTTCTGAAGGACACTCAGCGGCTCGATGCCAGAGGCACCTTGCGCTGTAGGCTACAACGTCGTATTGCTAAAGTATAGGCGCCATCACCGAGACGAGGGCATTCAAGCATTATCCTGTACGAAGGATTCTTGGGAAGGGGGGGGGGGGGGAACTCTGGGTCGAAGAAAGAAATGAGAAAGAATTACAAGCATTCTTGTGTTCCAAGAAGGCAATGCCCATGTTCAGAGTAGCTGGTACACCCATGTTATTGGTTGTGTTGGCATGTCTGAATGTACACGGCCTTTCTTTTAAGAAGTGATAGTATGAGTTAATGCCGTAGTATCCAAGATCTGTTATCCTAAAATGCAACGGCTGCTGGGGAGCTTTCTCTCCCCCCCCCCTCCCAAAAAAATCCTTCCCTCTCTATTCAGAGGAGACTCTCGAGAACGCACGGCAGATAGGGCCTTGTATAGCACCTCGTCACCTGAGGCCATGCTGGACTCAATTCTCCTGCTGGTCGCCGCATTGGCAATATATTATGTTGCGACGGCCTTCTATTGTCTAACCTTCCACCCTCTTGCTGGATATCCTGGGCCCAAGCTATGCACCTTCAGTCGTCTTCCTTACTGGTCGAAGTACTTTCGTGGGCGTGACGTCCCTTGGATGAAAGACCTTCACGACACATACGGACCCGTGGTTAGATTTGGCCCAACCGATCTGAGTTACGCCTCCGCACAGGCATGGCAGGATATACATGGCCCCAAGGTCACTGAGAAGGCCCAAGAATTCTTTCCTCAACCCGTGAATAGTAAGAATAGGCTTGTGATTCATTGTGGGAAATTTTTGTGGCCTTACTGACCATCCCAAGACACTCTAAGCATACTCACGACCGATCAAGAATGCCATACACGTTACCGCCGCCTCTTCGCGCCCGCCTTCTCGGAACGTGCGCTGAAGCAACAACAGCACTTGTTCAAGAAGTATGTCGACCTTCTGATGTACAAGATCTCGGAGGTGGGCAATGACGGCAACGAGCCCGTGGAGATGACCCAACTACTCAACTTCACCACATTCGACGTGATGGCCGAGCTCTGTTTCGGCCAGAACCTTGACCTCCTCGCCAATAACGAATACAGCCCTTGGGTCCGAGCCATCTTTGAGAGTCTCAAGATGTTGCCCTTCGTATCGGTCATCTGTTACTATCCGGTCTTGAACACCATCTTCACCCGCTTCGAACCGAAATGGGTCACCAAACAGAGAGTGGCTCACTGCAGGCACTCGGCGGAACGCGTTGACAAGCGTCTCGAGATGGGTTCAGACCAGCCTGACGTGTGGAATCTCGTAATGGAGGCTTCAGAAAAAGGAAAGGGCCTCACAATCGAGGAAATGCACTCGAATTCAGAGATTTTCATGCTGGCAGGCTCGGAAACGACTGGTAAACCCCCCGAGGAGATTAATCACGCTCGGCTCACTGCTGCCCCTTGACACTGACTTCAGAGATTGTCCACAGCCACTCTTCTAAGCGGCGCTATTTATTATCTGCTGTGCGACCAGAAAAGGCTCAATATGTTGGTGGAGGAAGTGCGCAGCAGCTTCCACCACTTGGATGATATCAACTTTGACAGCCTTGCCAACCTGAAATACCTCAACGCTTGTGAGCAAAAGCACTTATTCTGGTATTGCCCGCCTTCCATAATAAGATATCTGATTTGGCTCCGAACTTAGGTCTCAAAGAAGCGCTTCGAGTCTACCCACCAGTGCCGATCGGTAGCCCTCGGCTGGTGCTACCTGGAGGATCGGTGATTTGCGGCAAATGGGTTCCAGCAGACACACGAGTATCGGTCCATCACTGGTCGACCTACCACTCTGAGGCTAATTTCAAGGACGCGGACAAGTACATCCCCGAGCGGTGGCTCGGTGAGGATCCAAATTACGATAATGACGACTTCGCCTCGCACCAACCATTCGGGTTTGGCCCCCGCAACTGTCTGGGCCAGAACATGGCGAAATGTGAGATGCGACTCATCCTAGCCACAATGCTCTTTAAATACGACCTGGAGCTCTGTGAGGAGAGCAGGGACTGGGAGAAACAGCAGGCCTATGCTCTGTGGATCAAGGGCGCGTTGATGGTACGTGCAAAGCCGGTGATGGCGCAGGTCAGGCTGAAGATTTGACGTGGCGACTTGACAAAACTGTGCAGTGGTGAGGATATTGTATTTTCTTGTACATTAGAAGACTTCTAGAGTTCTCGAAAACGAACAAGTGTTATGTCACGCTATTATTTGATTTGAGCTGTGTCTTATGGACATCAAGGTTCCCTTGGATTGTGAACAGTTGGAAGTTGGCGTGGAGCTGGAGGGTCTCCCCATAAGGCAATGTGATTTCTCGACGAGGTTTCTCATTGCCTAACTTTATTTGTACCTTTGATCTTCCGAGATTGTCAAGCAACTTACTGCGAATCAACTGCCGTAATAGGTCGTTATGTTTCGTTCTCTGATCAAACTTTTTAATACAGCGGTGGTTGTGCTGAAAGGAACGAAAGTATTTACGAAAAGAGCTGGACAGATGGTTGAAAAATAACATAATTTTATTAGAGGTTACCCTTTTAGCGAAAGATTATTGCATATCGTCTTCTTGCCATTCTAACCTTGCGTGTTCGCTGAGAAGCCTTGACTGCTCGAGAAAAATATTAGCCTATACCCCGACTTCCGCACCTGTGATCTTCACATAATCCGCAGTGATGCGCTCCCATGCTTTTTCTGCAGTGCCGTCACTCTTGAACTGGCGCAGCAGGCTCTCCACACGGGACGAAGCGCTCTCGCCCTTGTTATCGACCGAATACATGCCACTGCCTGTCTGGCCGTCAATTCCTCTAGCTGTCTGTAGGCCTGAACCCAACGACACACCTGCAACACCAGCACTCTGCTGCCGAGCCGGGAACCTGGCGGACGTAGCAATGAACAACTGCTGCTCAGCACACTCGTCAGGCGAGGTCTGGATGAACGGTACCAGGAGCTTGCTGATGCCGATGATGATAGACAGCCCAAGTGTTGGTTCCAAGTCCCGCATGATGCCGCTCTTGACGACACCTGGAGCAGAATGAACGAAGGCGACGTCGGGTGCACGCCGAGCGACCTCATCCATCAGTAGTGTCTGAAGTGACGCAGTCTGGTCACGCCACTGATGTAGAGTATAGCCGTCGCCCGCGAGATTGTTCAGGTCGATGGGACCCTCATATGTTGCGGCTGCAACGCTTACAACTCGACGAAGGGTCTTTGCGTTTCGTAAGAGGGGGAGAAGGTTGAGGACGAAGCGTGTACGACCATGCGAAGTCACGCTCGAGGCGAGTGGGAGGCCCTCAGACGTCGCTTTGACATTGTCAGTGAGGTGGTAGCATGACGAAGGGTGACAAAAATAACACACTCTTTGAGAATGCCATAGTGCCTTGGGTCTGAAACAGGAGGTTGATTGCTTTCTCTTTGCTCCTGATCTGGCGGCATACGTCGTCGATGTTCTTCAAGAGGCTAATGTCGGCCTGTACGAATTCGTACACGCCATTTGCGTTTGCATCTTGGCACTCACTGATAATTCGATCGGCAGACTCCCGAGAGCGTCCAACGATGTAAATTCGGGGCTGAGGAGCGTACCTAGCCAAGGCTTTGAGGGTATACTCGCCTACGCCACTGGTGCCTCCTACGAAGATTGCCACCAGTTGGTCAGGAAATGTGGCGGCAAGGCGTTTATTTGACGCGACAATCGCAGATGATGAGACCATTGTGTGTGTGTATGAAAGAGAACTATCCCGGGTCTGTGTTGAACAACGAATTCCTGCATGGAGCGATGGAGAGTCCAGTCCTCTTATACTTGCACGTCACGTAGCCACTGTACTCTTCTACCTGCTTCTGCTAGCACTTATCGCTGGGAATATATGAAGAAGAGTGCTAAGCCCAATAAAGCGATACGAGCTGAAAAAGGAAAGGCAGCTGTTTATCAAGTTCCTGTGCTTGAGGATCCAAAAAGATTCATCAAGAGTTGCACTGTGGATCTTTGCTCCAATTCATCATGATCAGATACAGACGTGCGTTGTCCATAATTTGGGATTACGGGTATAGTATTCATACGTATATCCTAAGGTACAGAGCATGGACTATACGATCTTCTAATTATAAGATTGTTGATGTTCTAAGGTTCGTGACATGATTGAAAAGAGCCCTACTTAGGTTTTGAGCTCAGTGTGTGGTTGCCGCAACACAGTTTTCCAGTAGCCAGTGCTTCAGAGCTGGTTCTAATATTGCCACTCTTTTGTGTGCCCACCAATAATTCGTCGAATGAAGCAGTCTTCCCACGGCTCGATAAAAGTGATACAGCAAGATCAGCGCGTGCGGATCGCCCTGGGTTATCATTGACGCGAAGGTGCCACGACATAATATCGGAAATGACAGGATATGCCTTGCTAGTATTTGCATTGATTTCGGATCGGCCGGATCAAAGCCTTCAGAATAATCTCGGGGCAACAACGACAGGATAAGCGAGACCTGCCCAACAATATGGGAATACCCGTGACATGCTGCGTCGGGGACCTCGTGCCGTCCGAGAATAGGATCTGGCTGGGGGTCCACCGTGCCGATCGCAGCAAAATCCAGAGATGGTGAAGTGATATCAAGAAGTTTTGAAGAAATTGGCCGGTGGTAAGAGAAGAGTCTTCGGTATTCAGCTAATTTCCTCTCGTTAAGCACTACTTGTGTTGCCAGTGTGTTCACAGAATTGTGCTGAATATGAGGCATCAGTGCCGACTTCTTCACGGCGGCATGCGGGAAACTGCTCAGAAACATCTCTTTCAGACTGGAACAGAACGAGAATATGTGGTCTTTCGATGGGTGGAATGATGGCCAGGTGCTGCCGTCCTGGAGGACAAATGAGTCTGTTTCAGCCCATACCTCGAATTGGAGCAGGACCGAGGTCGCGATGAACGCGTCAGGATGAACAGAAACGAGGTCCTTGAACAGTGCAAGACGGAACTTTGACAGCGCACGACATAAGTGACCAGTCGCAGCGCCTGGATATGTCGAGTCATCTGGCCGGAGGAAGGCAAGATGACGTGCTGAGACGCTTAGAATAGCACTCATTAAGAAGTCGAACTCGAAGCAGAGTTGAGACACACACCGCCAGACGTCAGAGTCAAATAGGAGCGTCTGGCACGTGCTTGTCAGGAAGTGATGATACAATCTCAGGTCGAACAGATTGACATCCGCCGTGGTCGATGTGGGGCTCGTGAGATTGGTCTGCGTTGGCAGCGTGACAGGAGTTGAGCTCAGAGTTCGTCTCCTGTCTCGCCTGAGGCGCAGGCAGTAGTCACCTCTTCTGCTGCAGTTCTCACAAGGGTCTGCTTCATCGCACTGCCACCCGGTTCATTAGCGTTCGTTACGACGATGGTGAACACTTGCGTTGGCAAAAGATGTACCTTGACCCGCCGCCTTTTGCAGTTTTGGCAACCTGTCCTAGACTTTTGATGGGCTCGCCGCTGCCTGGATAGGTCCAAGGTCCTCGGTACTTCACAGAGGACTTGGTATGGCTGATTTGACTGAGAGGTTGAACAGAGGACGAAGGTGCTGGTGAAGTTGCTAATACAGGGGGCAGCTTCCTCTGACTTGTCACCCAGATGTTGCCAATTGCCGTACATGGTGGAAGACACTAGAGCCTAATATGGCTCGTATCGGGCTTTTCGGCGAGGATATACTGTTGATAAAATGCTGAGAGTGGTTTCAAACCGCAAGAAGAACCACAGTAGTGAAAATGTTCAGCATGGCTGTGGAAGTAAACTCCGTTCTTAGCTCCTTATCTCCGTATTGTAAGTGAAAGTATTGGAGTACAGGAAACCAAGAGACTAAGCTATTTATGGCGATACGAGGCCGCTGGAAAAGGAGGATGCTTTCATGGCATGGAGCTTAGCCGTGTGGGTACTCGTCGGTGGTCACCTAAGTATTTACTTAAGTACTTATCTGAGATATCAGGCCCGGCTTCTCCAGCCCGCTGGCATACTGCATCATTCAGATCTTTACCGTCCTGGGCGGACGCAAGTAATAATTGTGAAAATTGAAGAAAACCTATATCTCGGTTCAATTCTCAAACCTGCAAGACTGGTAATATCCAAAAAGAAAGCAGTTGAGTGCAATATAATCGTGTGTCATTCTGGGGGTGGGCATTGTCTTATTTAAGGCTATCTGGGCCTTTGAAATGCTGTGGTAGCATGTTTTGGTATCTTCTGATCGTGTGATTATTGGAGAATAAAATGAAAGTGGTGATGGAGATTCGGCAGCTTTTGCCTCGGATCGAACGAAAGTCCCATTTCCGGCACACCCGTAGCCTTTGCATCCCAGTGTTGGTGCCCACAATTTCGACATCCTCATCTGAACGATTGAAATTCACTATGATCGGCTTGTCTCTGTCCAGAATTGAACCCAGAGTCCTGCATCATGTACTGTCGAAACTGGTCGACGTATCCTCATGTGTCCGGTCCCGAAACCACTGTGTAAACTCAAAAGGATTCAAAATCAGAGCCAACGCTACACCCACTGTTGCGGGCGAGGCCATGAACTCCATGTAACGTGCTCTGTCGATACGTATTGTCGTGGTTGCAGGTACAATTCTCGAGACCGTGACGGAGGGTCGGTGATTTCATAAACAAAGCAGAAAAGTCAAGCGATGTGCCTTTGTTACTGGCGCAAAAGCTGCTCGGAGAAGATATTGGGGACGTGAACGGCGAAGTCGGGCTTTTTTGACACTTGCACGCTTTGGATACTGGAGTTCTCTTCTGGAAGAGACCCTCAGAATGGTCAAAGATCGGTTGAGCAGGAAGTCTCGAAAGTGTGCGACATCTCAAGATTTGAGACTCTGGCGTTGTCGTCTGCGCAGGTACCTCGGAAAAAGATGTATCAAGACGTTTGCGACAGATGCGTAACGGCGCGGGCATCGCATCAGTATGAGAAAATATCTCCGTTACCATGGTTGTAAATTGAGCAATCAAGATTGCAGTGCTGATACGAGACTGTTTTATGTTTGTTCGCGTACAAGGTGAATGTTCAACAGTCTATTGCGCTTTTCTCTGCTTCGTCAAGAGAGGAAGTTACAGACTTTTGCGCACAGCAACCGAATCGACGATAATGATGCTGATCAACCTGGAACGGGGATGTAATGTCAATGCTGATCATCAAGCCATTTATTGAATGAAGGAAGGCTTCCATGATACCACAACCAGAGGACGACTAAAGTAAATATGGAATTCAAGCTGTGAGATTGAGTGATTACGTACGAGCTAGAAGAATTCAAATAGGAACAAGTTGCTGCTCGAGAGCCCAGATTATATCTGGGCTGACAGTTCCGCCCCCAAGTTGCGCTAGACTATTGGTGAACGGTATTACAGCTCCCACCACACCTGCGGCGCGGTACTTTTGAGACATCTTTGCTGCAATCTGAATTTCATGGGGCCCCTGAATCCTATTTCAGCCGCTATTTGTGTCTTACAGGCACAGCATGATCTGATAGATCATCTGATCCACATCGCTCAGGAATACATTTTAGGGTTCAACAAAAGAAGCTTTGACTTCAGCCCTTAACTGCGCCACGTTTAGTCGATCAGCAAAACAGCTGCGCAGCACACTATTGGACCAGAGTAGCATTTTCATTTTGTTTTGACAACATATTGGGCTACATATTTAGAGAGATGTTGTTCGTCACTGCGGCCACGCACATGCGAACTGTGTAATTGAACGCTTTCATCACAACGGCCATTAAGGCTGACCACCCATTGGCAATGAAGCTCTTCTGCCCTCATGATACTTTGCCTGTCCACCCTGGCCCCCAAAGCGACTGTATACCAGCTCGTAGACATGCGATCAAACAGTCTCAATAATAATTTATGCATCAGCCGATTGGTGAGTGCACTGGTTACCAATCGGCTGATGCATAGCTTATTATTAAGATTATTTAATCAGCGGAAATAATTGCTAGTTATAGAATGGACTCCATTTTCTCACATGATTACCTGCATCTCGAATGACCCTGAGACATGCTGAACGTAAGTAGTACGACCAAAATGACCTCGATGTAAATAGAAAGCTCTTTAAGCCCGGCAATACAACGGCTGATTTGGCATGCTCTCTTTCTCCGGGTTGCTGTGGAGATGAGACTGCCATTATCTTGAAACCTGGCGATTCAGGCTCTCAGATCTCATCAGAAGCACATCAAAAGTTGGGTTGCAATGGTTACCTATTTCTTTAGTTGGGAACGCCGGCCGCTCACCTTGCGCCACAATCTGACATGGCTGCAAAAAGCACGACAATCTCCTTTTCTCCTTGGAATTGCGGCTAACACAGCAGCCCGGGCAAGCTTGGAGGGTGGCGTAGGTCTAGGCCTTCGCAGCTGGCGTTAGCCGTTGATTTTCTCCTGCTTATTTGTCTACTGTTGGTGAACCGAGAGGATTATGTTATAAAGTTGTACATCGATTCACAAAGATATGTGTCTGGTTTGTCCCGCCGTCTCGCAGAAGTTGCCGAAGCGCCAGGTAGGTCTTGTCAATGCCGCACGGAACGAGTGTGATAATTGGCATCCCCCTCGCCTTCTATACAGATTTATATATGTAGTATGTGATTAAATTTGATGAGAATGGCGGTTTTAAGCTCCGCTTTTCCATAGAATGCTGATGATCAGCATTGGCTATCTGGACCTATACTGAAGGTGGGTCTTATGGATGGACTGCCAAACGACAACGAGGGGGAAGGTGGATTGTTATAGATTCGAGCTGCGACAGTACGTATATTTGCTAGATTAAATGAGCGTAGCCAGGGACAAAGTGATTGAGCTGCAACAGTACGTATATTTGCTAGATTAAATGAGCGTAGCCAGGGACAAAGTGATCGAGCCAAGAGCGAAGCCTGCAGGGCCCAATACACAAATATCCCAAGTTAAAGTAAGAAAAGCTATTGCAGTCTCTCCGATCCTTGCTAAGAAGCCATGACATGTAGACCATATTCCGAGATGAACATCATCCGAAACCAACAGGTCTCGCCGCTTGGACCCGTTAATAAAGGCCAACAAGGATATCGCCCCTGACTCTGGCCGTGAGGTGGACTTCGGCCTCGAGGTCAAGTTTAATTCCAACCGTAAGTGACGCATCCTTAAGGTTGCCTTCGTGATCGACTGGTCCCTTGAGGAGGTTACCTGTATAGGCGGTCAGTAAAGCAGATGAATTGGGGACAAGGGTAGACGGGATAGGAAAAGATGACTCTACCAACGGAGCTATTGGCATGGCCAGAGAGACCAGGCATGGGGAGATGGTTCGGAACCTGCGGAACCAACTTGGAATCCCGAGGCTCCTCACCGAAGCGAGGAGCACTGTTCAGAGGACCACTGTTCAGAGGCGCCTGAGGTCCGGTCTTCTCAACGGCCGCTGGGGTGGTCTTGGTTCTACACGTGTATTTCTCTTAGCACCACGGTTCTCTCTGCAGGACATTGGGAGTGAAGCTGTGGACTCACGGAGAAGACATGTTTGGATTGGTTGCGATGGAATTGGTTGGAGGAAACTGGGGAAATGGAGGGAAAAGATGAGTCTTTGGAGGTAGTTCAGCCAGGGTGGTGCTCTGTGAATCTGTCTCGAAGTGAGATGCTCGAAAACAGAGATACACTTCATGAGAGGAGATGTTCTCTTCCTCTTTATAGTCGAATCTTGCTCTCGTGTGCACGGTGCCGTGCGTCCTTTGCCCTTCACCCGAGCGAGGACTCTCGAGCCGAGTTCATGTGTGCTTCGTCGGAATTGAGCGATGGGCTAGGGCAACGTTTGCTACTCTTTGGTCCGTGCTGGTACAATTTTCGCCAGACTCTCCGGCACAACATCACCACGGCCATCGACTTGGCCAGCGGAGGCGCCCGCTCAATGGGTCGGATAGGACGCCGTCAACCAAGCCATCTGGCTCGGGTAAGCCACATCGAATGATTTCTCTCTGCAGCAAGAGCTTCACATGACGGCTAGAGCTACTCGATCGAGAGTCAGGTTTCACATCATATAAATGTAAGCGGTGAGTAGCAGTAGAAGTACCGGCCGGATCAGCCCGTAGAAGAAACTTTGGGGACCCGCAAGGCGGCGCCACGCTGCAGTAGCAAGACCACCACATCCCGACCGCCACATCCCCGTCGATCTCTCTAGGCCGGGGTTCGTGCCGCCTGCAACCCTCTGCTCCGTCCCGTGTCACCACTACACTGCAGATAATTTACTGCGGGGTTTATCGGTTAATGGACGCTTTCTTTGCCGGCCAGCCACGTTATGGATGTCGATTGGGCTCATTCACCGTAGCACCCGTGCACCGCCGGGATGGGGATCGAACGATGGGTGCTTCTGTACTACGTAGTTCATCAATCGACCCAATATGGATTCAGCCGCCTGAGGTAATTGTTTGACATATATCTCGTCGGACATCTGCGAGAGCACCCCTCTTCCTATGTGCATACAGCGCTCGGCAGTCGACGCACCCGCTGCTCGAATCGCAGAATGTCTCAGCAAGTCGATTTCCTCGTTGCTTTCGCGACCGTTGTCGGAGGGGTCGAAGCAATACGGCAGGTCCAAGCGAAGGCGAGAAGACAGGAGCATCGGAGCAGGTAGGTCTGCCCATTAGAGAGGAGACATGCTTGTTCATTGTGTGATCTTCCATGGCTTTAGATGGAGAGCTGAATTAGCTCCCAGAAAGAACAACCTCGTGGTGCACTGTCCCAAGTCGTCACAATATAGTGCGAAGATTGAAGGAAAACATGTGGTCCTCTCAGGAGGCAAGGTGCGTGTGTACTCTACCCACAAAGGTCAATGGTCTTGGTAGATGCATTATCGGCGGGCGCCACTGGAGTTTGCCATGCTAATCACAGAGGATTGGGTTCTTCAGCTGTATGTCGACACGGGAACGGAACACAATATTCCCTTTGGGCACCCTTTTGCTGGGTATTATCTGCCGTTTCCCGGAGCTCAGTTCGATGGCCTGGTTTCGACCATTCATGACGACCCTCCGATCATGTAAGTTTTCATTCTTTTTGCATCTCGTTGCCTCTCAGATTTCGGGCCCCTCACGCTGAATTCTGGGCGAGTATGTATATGAAGTGGTGCATCGCTATTCATGTTCTGTCTTCTTTCCGCACTGCATGATCCATCGTGTCTTAGAACACAAATGTCAAAGAGCAACTCTGACCTGCGCATTGTTAGGAACTGGATATGTGTCAACAGGCAGACATACGAAGTCCAATACGGGGAGCGTTCGTTTGCAGAACAAAATTTCAAAGGTCCTTTCGATGTCACGAGACAGGATCGTAGGTTAACAATGGGCGGCTGGGAGGGTTTTGTGGCTGTGCTAGAAGGGGATTTCTTTGCCCTTTACTTTGACCTTGACGATGATCGATTGAAGTCGAAGGTGGCCCAAGGGACTCCAGTGATCGAGGTTGAGCTGCAAAGAATCGAGATGAGAGCAGCCAAGCCTGCAGCTGCAAAGGAAATGGCTAATGGGCATTCTGAACGGGCAAACTCGGCCTCAGACGAGGACAGCGGAGTCGGCACCAAGCTGGAGTCCCCTGAGGTCGACTGAGGATTCATTATGGATAGACCATTGCCGATCTTTTATCTTAAAGATGCAACTACTTGGTCTACACGGCACAAGTCGATGTAATTATGTGAGCATGAAGACTCTCAACCGCATTCTCTCATCCTGAAACGGGAGCATTCATCACATATTTGACCTGCATTGATGTGGGCTCCTCGATCATGCAAAAACACTACCTTTTTATTACTTTACTGCTTGGACTTTTCAATGATTTTCTCTGCCATCTCGACCAACGAGTCTGCCACAACATCCACCTCACCAAAGGTTTCTGGAACCGGTTCACACTCCCAAACTGAGCACCATGCCGCCTTGAATCTAGATAGTCACCCTTTAGCACCAGAAAAGCAAGAAAAATTGTTTGGGAGGTCGCATCGGGGGCGCCTCTCGCCAAACACGGGTGAGGAATCAACTTACCCACTGGCCTTCGCTCCCGAGGCATCCCACATATGGGCGGCAGCAAACCAGGTCTGCTCAGCCCCTGTGAACTTGTCCAGGACGTAGCGGTAAGCCTTGGGGGCGGGCTTTCTCACGTCCAGGCCATCACATGTGACAAAGTTCTCGTCGGCGACCTCGAGGCCTGCGCGGCTGAGGTAACCTCGCACCCTCTGCTTGTCGCCGGTGGTCAGGGCCCACACAGTGAAGCCTGCGTCGCGCAGCTTCTGCCAGGCCTCGGCCACACCAGGTCTCGCTCTAAGCGCGGCGTAGCCGGCGGCGCAGACGTCGGCATCCTCATCGCTGAACTCTTGGCGGACGTTCGGGACGCCGACTTGGGCGAGGACGCGGTGGAACAGCGACCGGAACACGGGGAAGTAAGGGCTATACCGGCCCGAGAGGTCCAGGAAGGTGAACTCGCGCTCCGAGGACTCGAGCCAGGCGAAGGCGAACAGTCTGGTGTTGATGCCGTGGGCCTTGAGACGGTCACCTATCTGACCTTCTATGGCCTCGTACCAGGCCTCGTACCCGACACATGTGCCGACGATGTCAAAAACGACGTGCTTTCCGCCGGTGACCATGATTGGTGGATTCTCTTGATGCGAGATTGAGAAGGTGTTTTTGTTGGCTGGGTCGGGAATCTGTAGTGAGTGGCTTGTGAGGGAAGATAATGATCAAAAGGATAAAAGTTCAAAATTTTGTCCTGTATATATTGTAATTATACATTTATATTTCTACATTTGCTAACGTCAATCGTGTGTTGCTTTCCGTCTCCGGGAGTGGAACCCGGCACTGAGCTTCCGCTCCCGGGCCGGGACCGGCACTTTGCAGCAGATACGACTTACTTGCAACAAGCAGGATAATGCTTGATCTTCTCTGAATGATAATACTGTTATAGAATTGAGTCACCAGAAACCATGAAATCTTTATTCAAGTGCCTGCAAGTTTGTGAATTCCTTCAATGCATTTAATGGTCTGGCATTGTTTTTGTAACTTGGCGAGCATGACAGAGAGTACGAATTACTATAATTAGCATGTATTTCACTTGTTTAGCCGCCGTCACATCCTCACAAGAAGGTGTGTGGCTTCGATTCTGAGACGTCATATTTGGCATGAAGAATATTACAGAGCGTATCCAGGAACTCGTAAGTGAAAACTCCTTCATCGTCGGTATTGATTATCTCCGGAGAGCGGTAGAGCCTCAACACAGGAATTTGACCACATAAACTTGTGGGTGCTTCCTTGACCAACAACCACGACCGAGGTGACGAATGAGCGAGCTCATAGCCTCAATAAGCCGAAGATGCCCTAAATGGAAATCAACGAAAGAGATTTAGTGGAAAAATGATTGAATAGCATAAGAAGATATGCGACAGCTAAGCTGAGGATGCTTTCGCCAACAGCTCAGCCCTTCGTGATGAAGGAAGGGTAGCTCAAAAAAGCTGTCACCCCCCCCTCCCCCAAAGGTTTCAGCTAGGCGCACGGGCTGAGGACCGCTTGAACAGCTGGCTGGTGCTGGCTGGTGCTGGCTGTCAGTCTTGGTCTGCGACGATAGAGCTGGCAATGATTGACCGTCTCGGAGCCCTAAAGATCAATCAGTCTTGTCGGCAGTGAAATAGCCTCATCGTTCAAATGAAGACATGACAGGACGGCGGAAGGTCGTTCGACCAGGGCCTGCGCCTTGCGTGTTTTGAAACGGGGGCTCGGAATGGCCTGCAGAAAAGCCAGCAGCCGCTGCAGGACTGGGCGTGGCATTCATTGGCGATGCGCCGTTGGATCCTGAAACCCGCGGTTATCCCGCCCAACCAGAGGACAGCACTCTCCCCTGGACCTTTTCGTATGGCCCCACAGAACAAGGATATGACGGCTCACCCGGCTCATTGATGATGACTCTCCCGTCTTCACCCAACCCCGGCGTTCTGCGATCTTGACCCATCGAGTGGCCAGCTGGATATGCAGTTTTCTTATCCACACTGCCAGCGAATCTGAGACTTCCCTTGCTCTTGGTCAAGGTATTGGTTCTTGTGAGCCCAACGTGCCGCGCATACAACAATGGCACTCGTGGCAGTGCCGAGACTGGGGGCAGGACCCGGCTCTCCGCCAGTAGGCGCCCGCCATGGCATATTCGTGAGAAAGATTCAACCAGCTTGATATACATAGTACAGCCGGTTTCATTGTCATTTTACGAGGCCTCTTGCCTGAGACACGTATACATTATGGACCTTTTGATCTCCTGATCGACTGTTCTAGACCGGTGGCATTTAACTTGCACACTTCCCCCTAGTTGTTTGGTTGTTGTTGTTATTGTTCCCACTTGGCAAGCTGTTGCTCCATCACCATCACCACCTCTCTTGATCCAGTCATTAATTTTCACTTTTCTTCTTTCTCCTTACTGTGCTTCTATTCTAACTCTAATACCATATCTCTCTGATTTCCATACGAGCAGGTCCTCGTTGTTCTTCTTTTACTACTACCACCAAGATGAGTTTCAGGGAGACGTTCGACGACGATGGAGCGCCACGGGGCTCCCCAACCCAAGAGCGATATGTGCAGCAAAAACTACCATTGCGCTTCAGGTATTTCTGGCCTGGCGCAGCATCTGCCCTGTTCGCTGCCGTCAGCCTCATATTGGTAATATTCGCCATCATTCCAGGACATAGTCCCGGCTATATGGAAGACTACCATGTAGTCTACGTGAGTTGCATCCTCTCTATCCCCCTTGCTCTGGATCTCTCTGTACGTTCGCACCCGCTGCACTTATGTATGCTGAACGTGTTCGCCAGTTCAACACCTCCACACTGGGCAAGAGCCTCCTGAACGATACGAGCTTAAAGGTCCGGTCGGCAGCCATGCCACAGATCACGGAGCCCCCGAACCTGCTGAGGCGATACCACGCTGCCCCGGCTAAGCGCTTCGGCGTCAGTGACCTCACGTCCGACATCGGAAAGGGGGCGGGCGCTGCCACGTCCGCGGCGGCTGAGGCTGCCACTGCTGCCGGCTCCGTCGCCACCGAGGCCGCGTCTGTTGTGGAGAGTGCCGCCAGTGCCGCCACGAGCGGGCTTGCGCATCTGGTAGATGAGGCCAAGGAGGAGCTCGAGAAGATCGAGGATGATCTGGCGGACGAGCTGTACTCAAAGCTCAACATCCAGCAGTGGTACTCGGTCCACCTGCTCGACCTGTGCTATGGCAACTTCACCCCCAACGCGACCTCCGCCGGCGCCTCGTTCAACACCACGAACTGCACGACGCCCGCCGATTATACCAGTAAGCAGGCTCAGGGAATTAGACCTTAAGATGCATGGTACTGACATACTGGCCTCATCGCAGAAATCCTAAACTTCTCGTCCATACTCAACCAGAGCCTCAGCGTCGGGCCCTACCAGCTTGACCTGAGCGACATCGGCCTCGTCCAGGATGCGGTCGACGGCATCAACGACGCTATGAAGGTCCTTGCCGACTGCCTTCGGGCCATCCTCGCCATGTACATCATCTCGGCGTTTTTCGGGCTGCTCTCGGTAGGCTTCTCCATCTGGTCGATCTTTGCCATCAAAATCACAGGCGAGATGTCCCACCGGACGAAGCAGCTCGCCATCTACGGCAACTTGGGCTTCGCCTTCGCCTCGTGCCTCTTCCTCTTTATTGGCAGCCTGGTCACCACTCTCGGCGGCAAGAAGGTCGTCGAGGAGGTCCGCGCCCACGGTGCCGCGTACGGCCTAGCTGCGTATCGGGGCGGCGGGTTTCTGGCGCTGTCGTGGGCTGCCTTTGCGCTCATCGTCATTGTCACGGCCTTCTGGACGTTTGCCTGGGCGGATGCCATCAGGAGCAGAAGGAGGACGCGGAAGGCCACAGCCAGGGCGCAGGAGAAGCTCGGGTACTGAGTCCTGCTACAAGAGAGGAAGAGATGACGCAGTGCGTCTGAGCATAATCTTGAAAGATGGGAAGTCATGTCTGCATAAAGATGCATAATGTTGACAAATATGGTAGAAGGTCATATTCAAGGGAGACAAAGGGCATCAGAGCTGTAGAATTTAATGGAATAAGTCTGTCCTGGCCAATATTTGCCATGCAGAAGAAAGAAGAAAAAGAAGGACAAAGGAATTAGAAAGAAATGAAATCAAGGCACACGCCACATCCTCATGAGCCAACTAAACATTACCTGCGCCGAGCCTGGTCGCTTGCACCTCTTCTTTGGGGGTTGTCACAAGCAGTCTCTTCAGTGTCTGCATGCCTAAAGCATAGCAGGTCAGGCCCTGTCCATAGAGGCTGTAGAGGGGTATAGCGGGTAACATGCACTGGAAACACATGTGCACAGCTGATCTCGCCGTTATCTAAGCTGCCAAGGCTGTGCCGTGGCGGAAGGCACTTGGGAGACGGGGAGACTAACAGGGGTGGGCGAGGCAAGGGGCATTCGGCCAATGACTGGCCTCCTTACCACCTGGTGGTGTGCATCCCAACACTTGCTTACCCCGCGTCGAGGCTCCCTCCTTATTCTACCGCACTTCTCCCGTACTTCTCCCGGACAATCACCGATATTTTGCCTTCGAATGATCGAGCCTGGCCCTGCCCAGTTCCATCTTTTCGGCTCGGTCTCCATTATAGTGTGACTACTAAAGGGTACATGTGCTCATCATCATGTCTGGACTTTATGATGCCCAGGCCCACCACCCGACCCCATCAGCGACCTCTCCCCCCTCGTCCTCCACCACGACGAACCCTGCGAAGCTAGATCAGCTCCTGGCCACAACCACGACGACCACGAGCGCCGCTCCTTCTTATTATCATTATAACGAACCCTCGGCTCACCAGTCAACATCCCCCTACCCTCTCAGTGGCCTGCCGACCCTCCCGACTCTCAATGTCAATGGTAGCAGACATGGCCAGACTCAGGTCCAGGGAGGAGGTGGAGAAGGAGGAGGAGATGCCTACACCTCCTCCCCTGCGAATAATGACCACAGGCTGAGTATTTCCTATCAGATTGCGCAGCCGGACCCCCATGATGAACAACAGCAGCAGCAGCAGCAGCAGCAGCAGCAGCAGCAGCAGCAGCAGCAGCAACAACAACAACAACAACTCTCCCAACAACAGCCACACCAACATCAGCCACCACTCCAGCATCAATATCAGCCTCATCAACCCCAAGATCAATACCAGTCCCACCAACCTCAGGATCAATATCAGCCTCACCAACCCCAGGATCAATATCAGCACCACCAACCCCAGGACGTTCCCCCGACTCAATATCCTCCTCCGCCTGGGAACCGTGGACCGACAAGTCCCAATCCTCTCCAGCCCGACGCCCTGGTGTCTTCTGAGTCACCTCCCCCCAAAAAGGGCAAGAAGAGCAGAAGGATCCCACGTGCCTGTGACCTTTGTAGTCAGAGAAAAGTCAAGGTTGGTGGTTCCTGATCTCTGTTTTTCAGCTGTCCGTTTTGAACACATCACTGACTGATCGCCCTGGCTCTGATTCAGTGCGAAGGAGGTGACCCGCCCTGTCAGCCTTGCCGCGACCTGAACGTGCTCTGCACGTTTTACCGTGTAAAGAGAAGAAGAGGCCCTCCCAACAAGGCTGCTGAAGCCGCACGAGAAAATGAAAAACGAAGAAGACTTGGTACCGAAGGGTCGAGCGAGGCGATACCACCGCTTCAAAGTGCTGCTCAGACGCTGGTCTCCCTTGCGACGCCGGACGGACAGGTCGTCATGGATGCGGAGATGTGCATTGCGCCTCTGGGTGTACTGCAACTTTTGGTCGACGACTTCTTCACCTACATACATCCCTTGACGCCGTTTCCTCACGAACCTACGTTCAGAGAGGCTTTCAAGAACCGCGAGGATCGGACAAATCCCGAATTCCTTTCTCTTCTGGCCAGTATGATCGGTGGCCTAGTCGCCTCCTTTCCGCGCTCGGCACGCCTTCACCTGAAGGCCTCTCATAGCTACGACCAGTTTCCCAGGGCCATCATGCTGGTAGATCGATGCATGAAGGTGGCCCTTGCCATGCGCCCCACAGACTACATGCTGAAGGATACTATCACTGTGAACGACGCCGCCATCAGCTATTTCCTCTGTCTGGGTGCTGCCTACACGATGCGGCCGAACCAGTGTCGTCGTTTTCTAGGAGAGTCACTTTTGTTTCTGCGGGAGATGGGGTTTCACAAGATGAGACCTCCCCCAACGTCGCTTTCCTTTGACCCTAGTCGACCTGATGATCAGCCCACAGATTTCATAAGCGACGAGATCGGGAAGCGCATCTATTGGTGCATCTTTCTGGGCGTTCGGTGAGCGGCCGCTTGAAAGCCATACTCCTCTGTTGTGAGATGCTAATAGCATCCAGGTCCATGTCTCAACTGGGGGCTTCATCCCGTGACCTGATTATCCCGCCAGCAAACCCCAATACTTCTTATCCCGAGTTTCCTCGTGAGGTCGATGATGCCTACATTCTTGCGGACAGGATCCTTCCCCAACCTGAAGGCACCGTATCGACAATTACAGGATTTGTCAAGTGTGCCCAGATTTATCGGACGATGGATGACCTCGTCCGCATCGAGCTCTCTCATGGGATGGCTGCCTATGCCTGGGACCAGCAGAAGCAATACTTGCACTCTGCTCTTGCGAGCATGACAGATGTTGCCGAGAGCCTCCCACCAGAACTCAAGGTGAACATGAAACGGTTGGGGGTAGTGACGTTTCCATACATAAAGAAAGGATCGAAAGGCATAAGCAGTTGCGACTACCAATACGTCCCGGCCGCCTATCCCGACCATCAGCCGACCAATGACGTGCGACATCTTTTTGCAAGAGACCAGTCCAAGAAGCGCAAGGTGCAGTATGAGATTCAAAAGGCGAACATCTATGCCTCGCTGTTGGCCACCCGGTCTCACTACGTGGAGCGGTACCTGACATTACGCGATGTCCATCTTTACAAATCCCGCATGAAAATGCAAGCGGATGCCTCCGGCAGCATCGTATATCGCACTGCAGCCGACTACTCGGCCTCCAGTTTGGCAGCTGCAGCTGTACAGGCCGCCGCTGAACGGGCCACCGACAGCATCGACCGCCTGTTTCTGAACGCGCGCGAGGAGGTCGTGGAAGATCTTTTCAACGTGCTCATCTCAATCGACCAGCGCCATATGGAACCGAACGGCGGGTCTCTGATAAGCAAGATCCGACAAGTCGCCTGCACGCTGCTAAGCGACCGGTCTGAACGCAAGGGGCAACACGAGTTGCACAATGAGGAGTACCTCAGGGCGTTCCTCGATATTCTGACGAAGCTAGAGAAGACAGGAACGGGCACGGCCGCAACGTTGAGCCCGCTCAACCAGGACCGTGCGGCCTACAAGGACCCAGGGTCAACTATGACGGCGCAGGACGAGGAGCAGGAGCTCCGGAACTGGGCTGACCTCCAGGAGCAGCAGCAGAAGCTGGCGCAAAGTGATTATCTAGGATGAGGGAGACCGCCCTAGTACTGAAATCCATCACGTTCCTTGCATGAAGTAACGGATTAGGGATTGGTGTTCGGGCACGTCAAAATCTTGATGTGCGGAACAAAGGCGTTGTCGGCTGCGAACCCCTTTTTCTTCTTTTCCGCCTCGTTAGATCCAATAGCAACTTTAGTAGGTTGGAATGACGCTAATGAATTCAACGACCGACAGCCTATTGTCAAACGATAGGCAACCAAAAGGTTTCATCACTGTAAGCTTAACGTACGCAACAAGGTCTTTTTTCCCTTTTTTTTCTTCTTTTTTTCTTTCTTCTGCTTTTGTTGGAGACACCCTGCGACCTAGTAGCGTTCCGCTCTACATGTCCTTCTCATGAAGAGAGGGCTTTTCCAGACACTTTACACTGGCTTTTGAACCAACTGGATTGGGTTCCTCCGCGGCACTCTCTCTTGTCCCATCCCGACTTGGGCTTGTCCAGTCGTCCTGGACCATGACCTAAATATAGCCAGTCGGCATCTGTCCGTCTTGTTTCTGGTGAGGATGGCAAAAAACAAATAACCACAGGTCTCGTCGGGTAAACCACTCGGGACTTCATCGTTGAGAAGCAAAAAGAGCGTGCGAGGCACGCAGCGATCCTCCACGGACTCGAACCGTGAACCTTTACCACCGGAAAGTAACGCGCTACCATTGCGCCAAAGGACCGAAAATTTTACATAAAATTTGGCAAATTGAAGATATTATATACCAATCGCCAGTTTCTGTGCCAACCGCCTCGTTCTTGCTCACGGGCTTTTGACTTCCTGTTTTTGGAAGGGGCAGTGAGGTGCCCTTCTGATTGCTTGTGACACAAGTACTGGTCTGTGTTTCGTGCTCTGGCATCCGTCGAGGAGCTGTGGGCTATGCAGCAGTCACCCTTTGCAGCGTTGTTCCTGGCTACTGTACAGCACTTTGGCCCTCTAATCAAGACGCTCGACCCACGAGTCAGGGTGGGGGAGTGGACGTGTTCTCCTACTTGTGGGTTGGTCCCCGCATCAAACAGCTATCTGAAGTAGTAGAGGGAGAAGAAAAAAAGGGGGGAGACGCCGATAGAATGATCACAGAATTACAGCAGACTCTTTTGAGTGCCGCATGATTTGGGGAGACGGGCAAAGAGGTATGTATAAAATGCGGTGAATCTTCGCAGTCAAGTTCGGGGGCCCTTCTCAGTAGCGAGCCTTGGAAAAGAAATATATTTGGTTGCCTGCACTGTGAGCCCTCAAGACGATGGAAAAGAGCTGTCGCATGGAAAGACTCGGCCCGCGCAGCGACTATTTCCAATCCAAGAAGGAATCATATATATGTATCTTTTACATACACACACATATATATAAATGTTTGAGCAAGGGTATGGAGAGAGGCACATGATACATCAGGACGTACTCACAGCATGCCGAGTGTACAGTGCATATGCACTAGTCGGGGCTATGGTGTACACGGGCACGACGGGCTAGCTGCCTGAGCACTAATCCGATAGGGAAGACCAGGGTCATATCAGTTGATTGGCAACGCTTCCAGGCCTTCTTCCCCAGATCATGTGAATTTGCCTTTTGGATTGCTCAGCTGCGAGTATTGATTGACTCGAGGGCATATGTTGAAACTTCAAAAACGCTACCGTGCCGTCCATCGATACCTGATACTTTTTGACACCCTAAGGCAGTGCTTTGCCCAATCAATCATCTGCAGCGGTGTGAATAATTTCTTTCGAAGCGGCCACGCTCCTTACGGCAAGGTTGGCCGACCTGGGCCCGCCCCCAGCACAGCCTCGTACCCGCCATCACGGGTTTCGCTCATGTTAGATCCCAAGCCTCGTGGGCCAGGCTAACATCGGATTGCTCTTTGAAGTGGCGCTCAAGCGATGGACGGGCTGCTCCATCGTGGGAAGCCTCCAGGATCCGCCATCGCCGCAGTGCTCAGCTTGCTTCTTCTGGTCAATCTTGCGGCCAGCCTCTACCAGCTGCCGCTGAACCTGGTGATCGAGAGGCGTCTCTGTCTAGAGTACTACCTCCATCATGACCCCTCACAGATTGGACCTGACGGCGCCGTGGACGAGGTGCTTTGCAAGATTGATATCGTCCAGCAGGGTCTGGGATGGCTGCAGGGGACGATGGATACGATCTGGGTCGTTGGGGGTATGTAAACACTATAATCGTTCTTGGTTTTCTCCCTCATACCGGACTTGTTATCTAACTAATGGATTGTAGATCTCCTTATGACCGTACCCCTGGGGTTTGTGGCAGAACGATATGGCAGACGTGTCGTGCTCTGGCTGAATCTGGTTCCTCGGCTTTTCATGCTGTCCTGGGCTGTCCTCGTTGGTTTCTTCGACCGGGCCATCCCAACCAAGGCCATCGTGATTGGTCCCATGCTTTCATTCCTTGGTGGAGACTGCGTCTTCAATTCTATCACGTATTCCTTGACAGCCGGGATGACAGACGACTACGTGCTGCGGGCCTCCTATTTTGGTTACATGAGCTCCATCTCGTATGTTGTGAACCTTCTGGGACCAGCCCTCGCATCCTTCTCCATGACGATACTCTTGTGGCTGCCATTCTGGATCGGCATTGCGCTACTCCTCGCAGCGGCTCTGGTCATCCGGATGGTGCCTGACTTCACGTCATCTGCGAGATACCCAGACGAGCAGGAACAGCCACTTCTGTCCTCTCCCCTCTTGAAAGCACAGCACGCCGGCCCTTCGTTCGTGCAGTTGGTCGTGGAGAGGTTCCGCACGCTGAAGACAGTACTCAGAAGCCACTCTCGCAATTTCGGGCTCATGCTTCTCTGCTTCCTTCTCGCCTCGCTGGCAAGCTCTGACACCAAGCTCCTGGTTCAGTATATATCGAAAAGATATCACTGGACTTTCGCCTCAGCCGGATACCTGATCTCGGGCAAGGCAGTCGTCAACTTTACCCTTTTGACTTTCATTGTGCCCCGCGCCCTCCGATCTGTCGCCGACTCTTCTGCTGGGCAAGGTTCACCAGACGCGTCCGACCGGATCAACATCCGTTTCGCCAACGCATGCTTCGGCGTTTCCATAATCGGCGCCCTTGCCATCGCCCTAGCCGCCACCATCTGGCTTCTCATACCAGCCATGTTCATCTATGCTCTGGGCTCGGCACTTCCCATCTTCACGCTGTCGCTTCTGAAATCACCATCGGTCATCTCCAGCTCCGAGGGCTCGAGCAGCAGCGAGGATGACGATGGCCTGCACGCTGGTGAAGCTGATACTCACATCTTCTCGATTGTCATGCTTGTCAAGACGCTTGGCTCTCTTATCGGTGCGCCGCTGATGGCGGTCTTATGGGTCAAGGGTATTGGCCTTGGGGGTGGAGCACTGGGCATGCCATATTTCGTGAGCTCGGCTTGCTATGGTGTAGCCACAATCGTCTTTGGTCAGATAGTGCTTCGGTAGGCCGAAATCTCAACTGGCTTCCATTAGGGAAGGGGGGGGGGGCAATTTTAAACTCCTAAGCTCTAAAGCAGAACCACGACCTAGGTCTTCTTGCTCTCGCCCTCCACATAGCTATTCTCTTCTGTTTCAAAGTCATCTTTCGTGTAGACGTCAGTCACCAAATCCATGTCTGACGCCTCTGTAATCTTGTCCTCTTAACCAGCTTCCAAATCACGAACATGGCAACATAAATGGGCAGCTCGATGTAGAAGCTGACGAAACTAACGGGACTGAACGTGGGACTGAACCAACTCCAGCCCTGCACGAGCACAATCACGGTGCCGAGGGACACATCGAAAGTTGGGCCGTAAGGATGTGTCCAGTTCTTGAGGAGCAGGAGGTGATCCCAGCCTTGCGCCTGGAGGCCGGCGCGGAATCGCAGCGACGCGACTTCTATGCTGATCCATGACATCTGGTTGGACACGCCGAGAATATTCTACAGCCAGGTCCATAACTAGCCGACGCCGATGAAGAATGATCCAAAAAGAAGCCCAATAGGACCGACGTGCCAAGGAGAATCACGTCAAATCACGTGGGAAAGGGAGGAAGAAGAGCTGGGGCGGACGGGCGCGAGTCCAAATCTCGCATCGAGCGAGGTTTGGAGCCAAGATTTACGTAACTTTCTTTTGCTGAAGCGGTAATATATTTATGTTGAAAGCGTTCCATCCAACCATCTTTCCAAGAAGTAATCCTCATAGAAACTTCGCCAATCACGGCGCACATCATATTTCTTCCCGAGTTGGCCTCGGGTCTTTTCGTGACTCCATGAACGCCCGACATATTTCGCCAATGACAGTACTCAAGTAATCCTCTGAGCAGACCGTGACCGATTTCGACACGTCCCTCCTGCCCATATCGTCAAACCAAATATCCCAGTTCTTCTCGACCAGCTTATAGAGCCGCGACTCTTTGCCCTCCTTCTCGCGGGCCTCTAACCTCTGCAGCCACTGCTCTTTTGAGTCTTTCTGCGGGTAGATCTGCGCGACGTAGTACCCTTCCTCCTTCAATTTGGTAGCGACGCCGGGGAACGTCGCGACCAGGACCACGCGGACTCCGTCCTCGTCTGCTTTTTGTCGTATAGCCTTGAGGTAGTTGTGTGGGAAATCTGGCTCCCGGCTGTACGTGCTCGAGTCCAAGTCTACGACCTCAGACACGCCGAGGTCTCTCCACAGCTCCTTCTTGTTCGTGAAGGTCGTCTTTCCGATGCATGTGTACCCGGCGATGATGAGTGTCGAGCTCTTTGGACTGCCTTGGTGGTCGGAGTTGTGGTCATCAGCTGTGGTGGTGGTGGTCAAGGTGGTATTGTCTCCCTTGCTCATGCTGCCTATCCCTCCTCCTACAGTGGTAACTCTCTGGATCCCTCTGGAGAGTGTCGATTCCGTTCGGGGTATCTTTGGGCAAGATGAATTTCTGTTGCCTCCGCGGCAGCGCTGGAAAAAACTCAAAGAACTGTTATAGCGTCTGAAAATTGGTGGGTAATTCTGGTCAATCATAGAACCGGCGCAAATAGACGACATTGGGCCTGATGCTTCCGCCTTAGTGAATGTGTGGTGGTGGTAAGATGCAGTCCGTAGTACTTGCATTTCCGCACTGTTTTGAGAGGATAATAGGATCTTGTTCCGTGTTTGATCGATGCTTGCGAACAGAGATGACCAGCCTGGGGTATTGATTATCATTTAATATAAGCAGACAACACGCATATACGCAGCTTACTACTCAAGCAAGGACTTGAAGCATGGAGGGAGCGGTCTGAAGCCTAGAGGGCCGGCCACAACACTAGCACCAGGGGGCGCAGCTGCCAACTTAAGCGTCGCGCGCTAAATCCCAAGCCTCTCAGCCAAGTAGAAAAAGTAGTTCGGTGTCGTACTTACACATGCAGTAATATTTAACAAGGATCACCGTGTAATCAACCAACATGATAGAAGCGAGGGTAACGATTCTATGCAAAACATTCCAAATCTGCCTCGACGTAAGAATGGATTGTAACGCTGCTCGTGCTGTGTTAATATATAAGAACATGAAACCCCTCAAGCCCACAGCCTCGAGACCCTAATTTCGGCACAATCGACCAGAAGGGCGACCAGCAGACGAGGGTGGGTGTTAGACAGGCGCCCAGTGCCGAGCTTCCTTGTAACCATCGTGATACTCCCTTTTGCGCCCGCAGGATAAGAACTACAAAAGTAGTTTCAGACGATAGAAATTCCCCTTTGAGGATAGATCACACCAGCCTGAATATGCCACAGGGTAGGCGGACTCGCCAATGTTTATTAATATCTAAAAGCCTTTTTCACTTTCAATCGCAAGGACACTGGATAATTCATGGAGACAGCCAGAAAAGGATGTGGTCCATGTGCGCGACTATTTACCTATCCGATGCTTCTGAGCTCGAAAGCCATGTCCCTTTTTCTCTCGCGAAGCTGGCAGAGTGAAGTTTGGAATTTCCAATGGATTCTATGGTAGCGAGCTTTCGAAGCAAACTGACACATTCTAGAAGCAGTCAGCTGAGCGCATGCATGTGCTATACAAGACTATTGAGCGTGATGAGTCGGAACTCGTCTGACGTGTTTCTAGGGACCTCATCAGGTGACGAGTAAGCCCGCTAGTCACTTAACCAGTCATATGTTTATTAATTACTCACTCGGCAGTAGTCAAGTACATGACGACGGTTGTTGGTACTGTCCAGACCAAGCCAACGGTGTATCAATAAGTAGGCAGATGTACTGTTGGTATGTTGGGTCATCTGGGAGGCGGATCAGGTGCAGCTTTATTCCCGTCCTCTTAACTGACACCGCCACAACTCCTCACTATGAGCAAAAGGACGTTGCTCAAGCTCGGGCAATGTCATGTAAAGTAACTTAGAGTGTTTGATAATCATCCACTTCAAATTAGGAATGTCGTGATGTGAGCAGTGCCCAGTCAAGGTGAGGGAATACCAGCAGCTCATCCATGGGACGTCCTGATGATATCAATTATCACCTCGAGAAAGTGTCGCTGATTGTGCATCGTGGTTGTGTATTTTCTATTTGAGTTTAATCAGTCGATACAACACATTGGATGTTGCTCGTGGTCTCATTCACGTGTGTGATAAGGATCCTGACACCGATCCACGCAACTTGTGACAAGCGAATCCCTTGGCGGGCTCGAGCTACGCATCAAGCTCATTGACCACACTCTGAACGACATCGTCCAGATTCTCATCCTCCAAGCCCAGCGTCTCCATTGCAAAATCTGGCTTCTCCTCCCAGTTCCCGTAGAGCGCCCCAAGAACGAACACCAAGTCCTCGATGGCGTCCCGGTCGCCACCGTCAGCAAGGGATTTCTTCTCCTTGATGAACTCCTCCGAGTCGAACCTCTGGACCTCCCACTTTGCACCCGAGGCCTTCTCTAGGGATCTTAGCACATCGTTCTGGCTCACGCAGAAGCTCTGTATAAACAACATCTTGTTCTTGGTCTCCTCAGGTCTCTGCAAAATCCGCACTGTCGCCTTGGCGATCTGGGCCAATGTGGCCTGGGAGCTCTTCTTGTCCCCGTCGTCAATGATATCGGCCTTCTTCTCCTGTAGGTTGAAGTGTAGGAAGTTCTCCCGCAGACCCCAGTCGAAGAAGTGCCCGTTGACCAGCGAAGTCCAGGAGAAGCCCTCGTGCTGCTCGGCCAGCCTCTGCAGGCTGTCGCGGATCTGCACCTTCAGCTCAAACAGCGTGACCAGCTCTCTCTCCCGCTTGCCGTTGCTGTCGCAGCTGCCAAAGTCCGCGGGGATGAGCCTCTTGACGCCCGCGGCGGCGGCTGCCTTGCCAAACTTGATCTGCTCGGCGGCGTCCTTGGCCCGGTAACACACGACGAGCGCGTCCTGACCACGGAGCTGCTCGGTGAGCTCATCCAGCGGCAGGCCGTCGGACAAGGCCTCGATGCGGATCTTATCCTGGTGCGCCGGCGTGGACTTGGACTTGGCGCGCTGGAGGACGGTGACCTTGAAGCTGCCGTCCTGTACGAAGGCGTCGAGGATGTGGGCGCCAAGACTACCCGTCGCGCCCGCGAGGGCCACGTTGACGATGGACATGGTGCTCGTCTTTCTCCTCTGGGAGAAGGGTTGAGATGTGGGCGTGTGCCTGCTGCCTTGCCGTGGCGACCAACGATCTGCGAAGCAAATAAGAATCGAGGGTAATTGATTAGTCGAAGAATGAGCGTGGTTGGAATGGCGGAGGTTTTGGTCCGAGTGAGTCACGGTACTGGTAATATCTCTTCTGTCTAGAATGCACGCCACCATAAGCAGGTCCCTCCTTCCTTTACAAGACTGCAAGCCATCGTCATCACCACTGCTTCTGAGTCAATAGCGTGCATACTGCCGGTGACACACTTCGTTGCCGGAGAAGGCAAGGTGGGTCCAATCGAGGAGTTGCCTCAGGGTTAGGGCTCACTTTCGATCTCAATCGTGTGAGATAATGGAAGGTTATGATTTTCCCCCTTCCCTCTTTCTTTACTACAGGGACAAAGTTGCAAAGACTCTTCCATGAGAACTAATCATTAGAAAACAGTCCACTGAGGTTGGGACCTGTTCCCTTCATATCGAACGTTGTATTATTCTTCACAACCCATATAATGAAACCCTGACATATTTTCGACATTCCGTTCTCCATGGTCTTAGACTAGAAATAATGTACGAGCTCAGCATCTCTTTCAGTCCACCAACCAGACCTGGTTGTCCAGAGTCTTCTCCATACTGATATGGTGTGAGAAATACATGACCATGACCTGCCAATCCTGGCTCTTTTTAAAATGTTTGAACTCGCTCTCTAACTTAGCCTTTGCAAATTCAGGCCTCTCCTGTTCAGTCTCTGCGATGCGTTGGTTCATGTGAGCCTTGATTCTGTCTTCGGCAAGAGAAAGATCACGTGTGGATTTTCTCTCTTGCATAGTTAGCAGCTCTGCCGCGATCACTTCATCATCTGCGAGCTCTGCTGCGAGACTCATCATCGTCTCGGCCACGAGCGCTCCTGCTGGCGAGAGTTCTGTGAGGATGGCGTTGAACTGTCTTCGCACACACAGCTCCTTATCGTCTTCTTGATCGATCAGGACCAGGAGTCCGGCCTCGGGCTGAGGCCTATTCAGAGGGGCTGAGGTTGAGGACGAGTTCACATTCCTGATCAGTGCAGATTGTCCCGTCTCGGCAAGCCTGCACACTTGACGGCTGTTGGACTTCCACCACAGCTGTTTGGCCTCGAGGGTCCTTTTCCTAGCTTTCTGTGTGTAGTCATAATTACAGAGTTGGAACCATGTTCCTGTCTGTTCCTCTTTAAGGATAATTCGGTCCTCGAGCAGTAGTGCAAAGAGCGTATCCCACGGGTGGAGATGGAGTTCTTGCCCGTCACAGGTGTTTCCGTCTGCGGGCCTGTGAGCACGAACCCGGAACCTATAGCCTGGAAAGGTGACGCGAAATCCCTTACGATCAGTCTCCTGGACTACTTGGCCGAGTTCCGAGCCCGGCTCTGGTGTAAAGAACCTGACAGTGCGATGATTCAGATCTATCGAGGAATCCAAGAACTGTCGTTCCGCGTACGGGTCATCTGGGTTGTCCGTGGCCGATGACTCCGCCGCTCCGGCGAGGAAGCTTCTCGGCGCCCACCGAAATCCCTCAATATTCAGAGGGTTATCGACAAAGAAGATCACCTTGGGCGGAAGACCGTTTAATCTCTTAGCCAACATGCCCCAGACTATTGCCATACGTTTCTGTGCGGCGTCCATACCGTCTTCAAGGACGATATGTGTAACCTCCAGGTCCAGCAGCGTTGCAATGCAGAGTGCTTCATCTTTGGGGACAGACACTGAGCGGAAGTTGAGAGCCCACTGCAGCTTAACGAGAACGTCGTACGGGTTTTCCTGTGGGTCGACGGGCTGGGTTGAGACCCCTAGTGTCTTCCGTGGAGAGAACTTGGCAAAGGCGCTCATTGCGCGCCAAAGGTCGTGCAGCAACCTTATGTACCGCGAGTCCTTGGCACTTGCTTCGTGAATCTGCAGGAACAGGGTATCGGCTGCGATGGCGCGGTCGGCGAACTGAAAATACAATGATTGGGGCAGAGCCCCTTCTTGAAATGTCCAGAGCCTGCGCATCCATGCAGAGCAGGTGAGGACCCGCAAGAGTAGGTCTGCGGGGTGGACATTCTCTGAAGGCATGGTTGTGAAGGAATTATCCAGAACGAGGGTATGTGTGGACTTGCGGTAGACATCGGCTATGCGTTCTAGTGAGATCTTCTTGCCTTCCCATTTCACAGGACAGCACAGAGGATCAATCCAGACTTGGTACGCAGGCCTGCCTTGTCGCCCCCATTCCGGGTCGACGAGTCGCTGGAGATCGGCCACCAGGCGGTTGACTCGTTCGATCTGGCACCGTGGCAAAGAGTTGTCCCTTGGATTCCCAAGCCCATCAGCCCAGACCTGAAGAAGAATGTCAGCGAGTTCAGGATCTTTTGAGAACGTGAGAATGCGGGGGGTTTTCTGACATGAGATATGGCCACATACGGCATACCCTGTTCAAATGCCTTGACTTGAACTTCCTCCCTATCGCAAGTTATGCTCTTTATGATGTTGCCCGTGAGAACCGGGTATGACGGAGTACGTTCCAAAATGTCCATCACATTGTCCAAGTCAACGCTCACAAGGCCACACGGACAACCAGTTTCCGCGTGCGCAGGTTGATACTCGTCCAATTTGATCTGGAAGTTTGAACATTGATATTTGTGACAGGTTGCGTGACCCTTCCATTCTCCGTGTTTCTTGAGTCTGCTGATATAGTGACTGCCGTTCAGACCCCAGCATTCTGTTCTAACCTTCTCAATCTCGCTGGGGCACCACCCGTGATCCAGCATCTGTGCCTCTAGAGACCCTCCTTCAGAGAGGTAGCCATACGGCCAGGCTAGGCTGATGGAATGGAATTGCAAAGGCAGGCCAAGGCCCGCAACGGCAGAGTGAATCGCCGTAGCGAATAGCTCTCCGAGCGCAGCCAGAGAATACTTAACCTCGAAGGTGATTCTGTCTGCCAGCTCAGGTTGGAAGACAGTCCGGTGCGCAGCTCGAAGGCACTCATCGACGAAGGCGAGCCGTGGCGCCATCCCGCCCATGGCCGCGGCAGCTTCCCGACCCCGTTTCAGCATCAAAGGCCCGGATGCGAGAGCTTTGGCACCTGTGATGAATTTCTGTCCGTTGACCTCGAATATACACTCCTCGTAGAGGGCATTGCGCTCGCGCCCTGCGATTTCGGGGTCGATGATATGCCGCCCATTTTGTAGTCTGTTCAGGCACAGCAGCTCCGCGAGGAGACCGAAGAAGAACTGCGTCTGAAGAAATCCACACAACGCGTCTGGGTTGAGCTCCTTCAGCTCCCCCAAGGTGGAAAGGCCGCGCTTTGAGCCGTATGTGAGGAATGGATCCCCAGCCCAAGGCTCGACATCTTTGAAGAAAGGAGCTGGTTCTGTTGGGAACGCCGGGTCGGCTGGAGTAATGAGAAGATCCATCAGTCGCAAAAGATAATGAGCAGCTGCGGGGGACCGTATCTTGGGCAACCTTGTAGCTCCCAATATCTTGAGGAGCAGTATGTCTCGTTTCCTTATCGCTGGAGTGATGAATCTGAACAGGAACAACGTTGAGAGTAATGTGAGGGTTGCGAGTGGCTATCCAAGGCTCTAGTGCTCGTAGATGGCTCATGTGGCAGAGAGACCAGGAGGTCAAGGGTGACATTGTCCGCTTGTCCACGACTGTAGTCGCCTTAGATTGGAAGAGCGTGGCTGAGTGGCTGTATGCCACCATTCCTGATTAAGGATCGTGGTGGCATTGGCCAGAAGAGCAAGGATCGCAGAAATGTACCAAATTAAGTTGATCATGAATACTGAATACTAAGTAGTCGGTCAACAGTTGATCAGCACTAGTGATGACTTGAATCGGTTCTTGCCTCGAAAAGAACACGACTTGGTAGTGCTTCTGTTTCTCTCTTGACACAATATAGCTGCAGTGTCGAATTGAATCCTGAGGCGTCTCAACGGCCGAGTCTTCCTATGTGCAAAACTAATTAGCCAATATTCTCGAACAGGGATTCTAATGATACGTGAGAGGTAAGTAATTGGGACAAGAAATGGCCTTGAAGAAAGGCCTGAATTCGTTAAAAACAGCAACTCATGAAGCGTCTTTGTTCTCCCCTTTCCGGAGTGGAGCTCAGGTCTCTGGCACCAACAGCGGATATCTCGATGCTCGAATGTTCTGGCAATAACGAGGAAGCCATAGAGCGTGCCCCGAGGTTACCTGAGCAAATCATTTAAATTAATGGAGGAAATATGTGAGATTGACACTCAGTTTCTTGCTCGCTGGAAGTCCCTGGTTCGTAGAACCTGAAAGGCAATTAGGAATGTGAAAAGTAATGCAGATTGTCGAACAGTTAACAGCGAGATATTAGGTTCAGGCATCACGCTGAAAGTAAGTACTGTGTCATGTGGCGTCCAAAGGAATCACAATCGACCGTCAAGCTCCAAAAAGGGCCATTCGGGCTGCAAACCCTACAAGCCAATGACCTTGCAGAAGAGAGGACTGACCAAAATCAAAGCTTCCTGGAAATTGTCTTGAACGACGGAATTAATCGCCGTGTTTTGGGCCAGTCATCTTATGCGTGTGTATTAACGCCCGAGGCAATACCGCTCTGTTCCAGGCGTGAGGATCCGCCTCCGCAGGACCGATGGTTCGATCTGGGGGACTATGGATCCACCTTGTCAGACCACCATCGTCCGACCCATAAACGCAGCCTCAAATGTCAGCAGAGGGCTGCCAAACACATGATGTCAGGTTTGCGAAGAGCGAGCATTTGAAAAATATCGCGTCGCGATGGGAAATCTTCTTCATATACCTATAATAAGGAGTCCTTCTTGGGTAATTTTGGGCGTCAGGTCCAAGACCGGAAATCAGCCCTGTTTCGTCACTCTGCGATATCTCACAGCTTCGAGTGCTAGCAACCCAGTTCATTGGCCATCGTGCGCAAAAAAAAATCACTTTCGCTACGACGTATATCTCATATTTGGGAACCGAAAATCAGTACCTGAGCTAGATCAAAATGGCACCGTTCATGGGGTTTCGGCCGATGAGGCAACATATCGACCGGAAAGACCTCTATACGAATTTGGAGGCCAGAATCCAATATCTTCACACATTCCTAGATTTTGGGTCCAGTAAGCTTCCCATTGTGTGCCATAAAAGTGCATCAGAGGAGCTAACACGGCGTCAGATGACATCGAGGCGCTCATCGCGGGCTCCAAGTACATCAAACAGCTCATACCGGCGATCGTGAACATCGTCTATCATAAGCTGCTGCAATACGACATCACAGCCCGTGCCTTTGAGACTAGGAGTACGTCTTTCGAGGGACCGGTGGATCCGAGCTTGAATGAGAACAGCCCCCAGATCCTGCACCGGAAGATGTTTCTCAGGGCATACCTCAACAAGCTCTGCTCGGACCCCAGCACGATGGACTTCTGGTATTACCTGGACAAGGTTGGGTGGGTGCATTCTGAATCCCCAGTCACCAAACACCTCCGTGTCGTATTTGGACTGACCTTTCTTCTTTTATAGGATGATGCACGTCGGCAGAGGGCGTGAGCACCCACTGCATATAGAATACGTGCATATCGGCGCCTGCCTCGCATTCATCCAGGATACGCTGACGGAGGCGCTCCTGTCGCACCCACGTATCAAGATGGACAAGAAGATTGCGCTGGTCAAGGCCCTGGGCAAGGTTATCTGGATCCAGAATGACCTCTTTGCCAAGTGGTATGTCCGTGACGGGGACGAGTTCATAGAGGAGATGGAGAAGCCGGCGTTCGAGCAAGAGGGCTACCTGGACGGGAAGAAAATCTTGGAGGACATCGAAGAGGACAGCCAGACGGGTGCTGATGCCACCCCCAAGACGCCCAGGAGCCCAACAACGTGTCCCTTCTCGGGCATCCCTATACGATCAAAGCCTGAGGCTTCATCTCCGAAGCAGGAGAAAACCTCATCATCGCAAGAATCACCGAAGTTGGAAGTCGCTGCCAATGGTTCTTGAAAAGTTGGAAGACAGAGACAATGGTTCGGGGTGTACTGTGTCATGTCCGAATCATAGTCTGGGTGCTTGCTTGATTTGGGTCGGTTGTCTAGAGCTGAAAAGCCTGATATAGGCTTCAGTCATCAAAGACGAAATCATATTGGCGTATCATTGCCCTCAGAACAAAACTTTATCCTGCCCATCTTCAATGGCTTCGCTGAGATTCAGGCACTAGCATGTCGAAACGACCTTGGTAATCGCAGCTTGCGTTTCTTCTGATGTGGCTTCGGCTGTGAGAATTGTAGCAAATGAGGGAATTTGGAACATTTGAGTAACGGCCCGTCACCCAGGAGCAGGGCCGAGCTGTGAACCTTGCGTGATTTGTTGTGATGTGGCGGAGGTTTTGTTATAGATCGGTAGAAATTGAGCCTTTTATGCAATGTTCGCTCCGAATTTTTTTGGTTTGTTTGGAGAGGTCAATGGAAGGCTCCGTCGCGTCCACACCCATGGATCAGGCTCGTACAATTATTTTAGTAAGTGATATTGGTCTCGTGAGATCCATCGCACAGCACCGTTGTTGAAGCGATGCTCGACCGTGTTGGGCAGTCTTGAGAACAGGATCATAGGGCCACAGGTCATCTGTAAAAACGCTGAGAAAGAGAGACCTGCTTACCCAGTTGGGAGAGGTGAGCCGCCTTTCCTAACGAGCGAGACAGAGATGCTTCGATATATGGGATTTTGGGGTCAACCTGAATGCCTCTGGTCTACACATGCGTCTTGCTTTCTTCTGACCACCCAGTGCCAACCACCAGACCCTGGAGGTACTCTAGGCTATCAACGGCAGTGTGCATGAATCGAAGGCAAGCCCGGTCATGGATGTGAGTGTGCTATGAGACGTATCTGATAAGCCATGGCCACCAGAGTCCATAAAAGGGAAATGATACGTCACCTTTATCGCAAACTCCATAAATCTGGCTCTCAAAGGACATGAAGCGGGCCTGGGTCCACTGCCATCTGCGCGCTTATTGCAGGGTTTCCTCTATTGCGACCCAGATAGTTGTGGTGTAGTACTGTACTGTGCATACCAGAGATGGCTCCGAGAAAGTACTGAGGTACATTGCATTGTCCATTGCCAAGATTGTGCTTTCAGGGGAAAATCATTCGTGATACATTTTGGCGTTGTCACCGGGAAATTTGGCGTGAGGGGGATGTGGACAGAAGAAAGTTCCTCGGTTGAACAAGAACTTGGAAACCCTGGGCGAGGACCTGATTAGGGGGAGTAGTTATGATGGCCTCATTGACTTGAAACTTGGTGCTATGCAGAAATGAGAATGGATCTCTTACATCCTTACTAAGGTATATACCGTTATGTGCGAGCCTACGAAAGGGCAAAGTTGAGAGCGACCAAACTAACTTCAATATCATCATCACTCAGGCTGACCTCTTCCAACTTTTATGTCTGATCATAATGATAAGCCATGGTGGCGCGATCTGAAGACTCCCAAACTTCTCGAATGTCAACTAACCATCTTCGCGTTTGTGAACTGATGTCCTTTCTCTCATGCCTAGCCCTAGGATCGCAGACCATCGGCCTTGTCGCCAAGCAGCCGGCAATGATATTGAACTTGTTTATCGTGCAGAAAGTCTCTAGTGGGAAAAGACCCATAATTAGTTCTAAAGATCTCTTGTTACTATCTTTCCTCGCACATTCTACCCGCAGCATATTACGCCCCAGTCGATCCCACGGGCAGACATATCAATTATTTGACAAGCATGATTTGGTCATTGAAGCGGCCTTCGGAAGAAAGATGTGGGAATAATCATAGAGCGGACCGTTCCGTAGCGGCAGTAGTGGGGGTGGCTTCTCGAGCCTGAATGCCGTTTTCCCCTTCTTTTTCTATTTCTTCTTTGCTCTGGCAATTGGCGATGGAGAAGACCTCCATCCCTTTTCCTTTTCTCTTGTCCTCTTATGCTCTTTTCAACACCAATCTCCAGTATGGGCGAGATATCACTTTCCTCCTGGATCTAATGCTGCAGCCAAGTGAACTGGAGTAAACCTTCTTTAGTTGTCAGCGCAGCTCTTTGCCCAGACGGGCAACGGTTGTGTGTCATAGCTCGCTCAAAAGGTACACTCGAACCTTTGCAGACTCTTCGGTTATGCACGGTTTAGCCAGCTCTCTTGTGGACTGCAGTACACAAGTGCCATATTAGTGTGCAGTTTTACGTAGCCTTGACTAAAGGATTCTGAGCTCCACTGTTTGTATCTGTTCTCCATAGATACGAACGCCATTGATCGGCGCGCGCCCTCCGGTTGTTCTGGGGTTTGGTACATGCAAGTGGGTCCTTGGGGAAGATGCTCACGGTCAAGATTTGGAGAGCCTTTAAAAAAGGTAGTCCTCTGATTACCCCCCTTCACCCCTTCGACGAGGAACCCGAAAGAAATCTTGTGTGGTTTGGAAAAAGTGTTGACAAACAGACAAACCAACAGTCGTGACCAGCGCCGGCGCCTGAACCTGTCAACTCGAAGCTTTGGCCCCTCCACCGCAGCGACGACCCAAAGACAGAGCTCGGCTGCTCAGTCACCAACGTCATTTCAAGCTGTCAACCTTGTTTCTTCCCCCTCTCCAGCCGCCCTCGATTAACTACCAACATGAAGAAAGATGCTTCTTTGGGCGACCCGGAGAAATGGTCCAGGTCGAAAGACGAGGAATTCGCTGTTGGCGAGGTCACAGTCACGACCGCCACTGCCAATGTGATTGGGGCACAAGATCAGCTCCAGCGCGGTCTGAAGAGCCGACACATCCAGTTCCTTGCGCTGGGTGGCGCGTGAGTCCTGTTCCAGCAGTAGCCCTTTTGTTGTCCCCACGGACATGATGAAAAGAAGAAAACTGACCGTAATGTTTCGCTCAGCATCGGTACCGGTTTGTTCATCGGCTCCGGCGCCATCTTGTCCATGGGAGGTCCTCTCGCTCTGTTCCTCGGCTACGTCTGCATGATGGCCATCGTCTGGAACATGATGAACCTTCTCGCCGAGATCGTCGTCTACCTGCCACTCAAGGGTGCCACCATCCCCTACTTTGTCGAGCGATTCGTCGATCCCAGTCTTGCCTTTGCGACAGGATGGAATTACTGGTATGCCTACGCCGTGTTGTTGGCAGCGGAAGTCTCTGCGGGCTCCATCATCCTCGACTACTGGAAGACGGCCGTGCCGACAGCTGTGTGGATCGCCATCATCCTGCTCGTGAACCTCGCACTGAACATCTTCGCCGTCCGGGTCTTTGGTGAGGCCGAGTTCTGGTTTGCCAGCATAAAACTCATCACCATTACTGGTCTCATCCTCGTCGGCCTCATCATCATGTGCGGCGGCAGCCCTACACACGACGCCATCGGGTTCGAAAACTGGGAGGACCCGGGCCCCATTAATGAATACCTTGTTGGCGGCAGCACGGGGCGTTTTCTCGCCTTCTGGGCAGCCTTCATCAAGGCCGGCTTCGCATTCATCACCTCGCCTGAGCTCATCGCCCTCGCAGCCGGAGAAACCATCGCGCCGAGGCGCAACATCCCCAAGGCCGCTGGACGTTTTGTGTATCGTCTGGCTGTCTTCTATGGCCTGGGAGCCTTCATGATCGGCTCCATCTGTCCCTCCACCAATTCCAATCTGCTGTCCGCCGAGTCGAACGCGGCCGCAAGCCCATGGGTAATCGGCATCTCCTTGGCCAAGATCCCCGTCCTCAACCACATCATCAACGCCGCCGTCCTGACATCTGCCTGGTCCGCCGGAAACGCATTCCTCTACTCCGGCGCCCGTGTCCTCTACAGCATGGCCCAGTGCGGGCAGGCCCCCAAGATCTTTGCGAGGACTGGAAAACTTGGCGTGCCCTACATGGCCGTCCTAGCGACGTGGGCTGTCGGCTTGTTGGCTTTCCTCAGCGTGAGCGAGTCCAGCGAGGTCGCCTTCAACTGGTTCGTCAACATCAGCACCATCTCTGGCTTCATCGCCTGGATCGTCTGCATCGTCACCTACCTCCGCTTCCGCAAGGCCATGGAGTTCCGCAACCTGCTGCACACTCTCCCCTACAGGACAGCCCTGCAGCCTTACATCACCTACTTCTCGCTTCTCATCCTGGTGCTTGTAACCCTCACCAACGGCTTTGCCGTCTTCTTCCCTGGCAATTGGAGCGTGGCCGACTTTCTCGCCGCCTACATCACCCTCCCCATCTTCTTGGTGCTGTATTTTGGCCATAAGCTGTGGCTGCGGACCTCTTTTGCCCACAAGACAGAGGACATTGACGTCATCACCGGCGTGAGGGAGATGGATGCGCTCGAGGCTGAGGACGTTCCTCCCGTGCCCAAGAACTTGGTGCAAAAAATATGGTACTGGGTGGCGTGAGAGCTGTGTTTATTTGGCCTCCATAGGTTTTCAAGTAATCAAGATCGGATCAAGCCTTCATAAGTGACATAACTGCGCGCGCGGTATCGCGTCGATTAGAGGATGCGCGTCTTGTGTTCTTGTTTGTCTCGTCAGTCTTGGGTCAGTCTTGGGTCAGTCTTGGGCCCATTACTGGACCTTTCTTGTTAGAGACCACCTTCCAAGAGTATTGGAGAAGATAGGAGAAGCATGTTTCCGATTCGAGAACCAGCTCTCCACTACCAAATGTTTCTGGACCGTATTGTGCAACGAGAGTCCCTCACAGCCCAGTTCTCCTTTACAGTGATGCAGCGAGGGTCTGGCAAGGACCCTGACTGCCTTACTGGCTTCACCAGCGGTCATTTTGGCACTAGAGGGCGAGACGCGCTTTCCAGAGCTCAGGTGATTCTGGCTGTCGCATCAGGTTTGGACCTCGACGCGTATAGTTTTCTTGTCGGTTGTAGATGCCAGTGTTGCCCATTTTCTTCTCGGCTACTGGCTGATCTGTAGGGCTGCGTCATTGGTCTTCGTCAAGTGATGAGTGGGCTTGAGACTGGGTTTGTGGGTTGCTATTGGTCAGTCGCATGTTTTTGGTCATCGTCCGTTGGGTCTACGGCAGTTCTCAGCCAAGCAGGCATATATCTAGGCACGGGAGTCCAGACTGGACACGCAATTGGTACGCAAACTCCTGTTCCTGATTCAGCCCTAAAAATATATCTGCTCTAGGTCTGCTGAACCATGTATTTATTATTCGTAAGAAAAGGAGGAGAGGGGAGAAAAAAGTTTCGTTGCCGAGGCACCCGCCAAACATTCCCAGGGAGCATCTGCAATAGTTCCTAGATTATCGAATCATTAGCCACCCTGTACTTTGACTAGTCTTCTTTTGTCTCCTTTGATGAATACTTACTCGGCCAGCTGGGTATCCGAAGATAAGGGCGAGCACAAGCCTAGGTATCGCGGGCTGCAGCACGCTTTTTAATCTCGGCGTAGTATTTGTCTCGCGTAGAACCGCGAGTGTGTCGTCCGAGGGCCTGCAACAAAGGTGAGGGAGTTAGTGCGGACACGCTTCGTGGAGGCCTTGTGGGCATTGCAGTGCGCAGTGTGGAATTTACCTCTGCAATCTCCTGGAAGTTCATGCCCATCTGCTCCTTCATCTCGATGACCTGCTCGATCTCGGCGGCGGTCCAGGGGCTCTTGCGCGTATACTTGCGCTGCTTGGCCTGGGCAGGCTGGGCGGGCTGGGCGGGCTGTTGCACCCGCTCCTCTTCCTCCTCCTCTTCTTGTTGCTGCTGCGGCTGCGGCTGCGGCTCCTGCTGCTGCTGCTGCTGCTGCTGCTGCTGGTTGCCGGGCAGCTCGGCGGACTCGTAGGCAGCCATGGGCTGCACGGAGTATCCCGATTGGGCTAACAAAACAGGGTCGATAAGACCCAAGGGCACGGCTGGGGGTGGGGGGGCCTGGACCGACTGGGTCTGGTCGGCGGGCAGGAAACCAGCGACATCATCTAACCATATACAATCAGCATCAGCCTCGCGTGTTTTGGCCATTAGATCCGTACCTTGGCCGTACTGGCCGAAGTTTTGGGCGCCATCGTAGGCCGAGGGGGCGGAGAAGGGACCGGCCATGGGCACGGTGTCGTTGTGAGCCTCATTATAGGCGAAGGCGTCGGGGTTGTAAACCCCATACGCAGACGGTTCGTTCTCGAGGCGCTGAGCCTCGTCCTCTGCGAGCATCCACTCGCTCATGTCGTACGTCTGATCGGCCATGGTTCTCTCGGGACAGTAATGGAAGATTTGGATTTCAATGTCTGGTTGGTAGTTGAAGTCAGAGAATTGAATCAAGTAAGAAAGTTCGCGAGCTCCTGTAGCTGATGATGAAAAGATAAACAAAGGCTGGGTCAAGGATCGTGTACCGGATGGGGAGGGGGGAAAATTCTCTCGCGGGGCAAGTCTCGCCAATACATGGATATGACACGCAAGACAAAATCGATCAACAATAAGTATAATGACAAAGGGATTGGGGACATGTCGAGGGGCCTGGTCTGCATCTTGGAACCTTGGCTCTGCTGAGACGTGTCTAACAGAGAGAAGGAACTCCAAGATCTGGTACCAAAGTGATGTTGAGTGGACTTACTGGAAATAGGGAGGTCTTGGCCACCAAACTGCTGCGGGTTTGAGTAAACACAGACGCTGTTAACAGTAATCTTCTGCACAATGAACTGCTGAGCTATGACAGTCTTCGTTGTGGTAAGGGTAAAGGAGTAGGAGTTTCTGAGAGCTCAAGCGGAGGAAAGAATCAAAGCTGGTCTGTTGGAATTAAAGAATGTCTTAATAGTGCTGTGCAGGCTGCTGGAGGGGCATTTTATGTGAATTTACCACGGGAATCGAGGCCTTGGTTCACGAGATACTAGCCATCCTCGAGGGTATGTGCAGCTACCCAGGTATGCGGGGTGCAGGAGGGGCAGATATCACACTCGACAAGTACCACTGCTAGTATGATCAAATTCATATGTATAGGAGAGTGTGATCTTTGTTGACACTCTATCAGCTATTATGCTCCCAGGCCTATTTGGATAGCTTAAGGCTGTCTACATGTTAGTAGGGGTATCTTGGTGAACAGTGCAGCGTTCAGAAATGTAGTGGTTCGCTCAAAGGAAAGCTTTGTCAATTAAATATGAGCTGTTGATGCTGGTTGCTGGCTAAGCCATTGAGGATCATCGTCTACTGTAAAGCACTTGTTTGAATAGAGAACCTGGCTGTAATATCCATAGATGGCAACTAGTTTGTGCTATAGTATGTTACATAGGCTCTTTGGGACTTGCTAACTGTTTCTCACCTAGTCTAGGAGAGCAGTGGTGAGCAATAAGTAATGTCCTGCTATGCTATCTTTCCAGTTCTTTTGCCCATTCTATGTCACAATGAAGTTATTATGACCATGAGACTTGAACATTTCGATTGAGCGGATGATTCCTCGGGAGTTTTACAATGTCTGCAGAAGTCGCGAAAGTTTTGAATATGGCTTGAGGGAAATATGGGACCCTACTAACAGTGCGCCCTCGCACTCTAGGGATACTGTACCATTACTTGAAATGGTCTATAGAGGCGAGAGTTGAGAATGACTGCATAGTTGCCTGGGAATCAACGCGCCAACAACATAACTACTTTGATATCCACCGCAGCGTTATACAAGACAAAGAACCTGCTGCCGTATTCGTCCAGTATACAAGCATGGAGACAACGTGAGTTCAAACGACCACGCGCGATTTTTAGCGCTACATATTCCCCAGTAGTGGTCGTCATGGTACGGTGAGAAGAAGTAGAGACCATTGTTATCTGACCCGTCCATCACTGACTCCAATGGTTCAGCGTGGACCAGAGAAGAAGATTCCACAGCCTTAGAGCAGGCAATAGAAGCACACAACCGTTATCATAAGCATCATAGCTTGAAGACTCATTGAAATTTACCGGAACCGACACCTCATCAAGCTATCCTATTGCAAATGGGAAACAAGTGATTGGTATGGGCGATGGCAAATCTCTGTTCCGACCTCGCACGCAAAAAGCATCTACGCCCCAGTTGTCGGACTTTGTGCACATATAATTACAAATTAAGGTATGAAGTCTTGAGTCACCCCAAGCATGTAACAAACTACATCGCCTCGAGGATCAACTCTATTGCTCCTGTCTACTCCATTAGCGGAAATAAAATTTATGATCTCGAAATGTATCGTACTTACGCATGTAGCTTAGCACGCGTCTTAGAACAACGAGGCACTCGAAAGTACAAATGAAAAAATCGAGCAACTATTGTAAGCCCTTGTGCGTAGTGTGTAACAATACGAATCGTGTTGTGATGAGTAACAGGGTTTCTGTTAAGGAAGGTTTGGACTGTGTAACGAGGTTTTGTGAGGTTCCTGTAGATCCGCATATACCATTCTATCTCTCCCTCTTTACTTCAACCCTCAGAGTTTCACTTCTTCAGAACAGATGCTGAAGACGTAAGGCTGCGGGGCTAGACTACCCATGGTGACACCTTTCGGTTTCCCTGCACCAGCTTGCTCACCAGATTGGAAGATACGGGCAATGGCCACAACGGTTACCAGTCTAAGTACCCAGCTCAGAAAGACTTGGCGCTGCAGTCAAGACTTGCCAGAGAAGTCCACCAATCGGCGGTTCGCAGCAAGACACAAGATAGGAGATCTGAGAACTCTTGGCTCTTAGTGTAATATAAACTTTACCGCTTGTCTGTCTGACCTCACCGCAGGAGTCTCCAAGAGGTCCCAGATGGGGAACAGGACAAACGAAGAGAAAACACTGGGAGCGATGTGAGGGGTCAACCACGTGGCCACGGTTTGAGGCTCATCTACAGGGATGCAGGGAACAAGGGTTGAGATTGGCCCCAGCCTTGGGAGTTAACCACGGGAAGGATGGTTGCAGGTACAGTAGGGCTAGTGGAATGGTGTAGTTCACTTCAACCTTGCCCCATCATGAATCGGGCTTCATAGGTCGTGTTTACAGTCTGAATTTAAGATGGGCCCAATCCAGTCGTGCCAGGTTTGCTTACACCACCCATGAACTATGCGTTTGCAGAGCGTTTCGTCACCATGACCAGCCATTGGTCTCAGAAGCTGTCACGGGCTAGTTCTCCACTCCACGGCTCCGTTCTGTAATAGCGAAAGCGAGTTCTCAGCGTTGCGCAAACTGTTAATTGTCTGGAGGATTGGCCTCAGCGGTCATTACCATGGTTTATCTACCCATGATCAGCGTAATTAAGGTTCAGTAATGCTGACATCCAGTTACCCAATGCACATCACTAGGACGTGGTTAAGCGCTGTTGCCTTTCGTTCAGTCTAAATCTTACCGCATGGTCAGCCTCACTATAGAATATGCTTAGGGGGTGTCTAGAAGGCAGTGGAGAGTAGAACGGATAGTGGTAGACAGTAGACGTGGGCAGGGAGCTCATACGCACGGCCTTCAACACGCGTAATTAACGCGCGTAATTAAAATACGCCTTCTTCTCCACCACTGCAGTGTACTGATGATGAGTAATATTGGTATGATGAAGAGCAGAATGCTGCACTACAAAATTTCGTCATTTAGGTATACGCGTAACGAGTCATTCGTGGTTCGACAATTATTGCTGCCAAGGTACTCGTACGCAACATTCTGATACACAATTAAAACATAAATGCTCTATATCATGACTTCTACTCGTCGTCGGATCCAACAATCCAGGACGTACATACAGTTACCCAAATTTCTCTAGGGAGACGAGTACCTCCTGTGAGATCTTGAAGCCTCCGAACAGGAGAAGTACTGTAACATATATGCTTCAGAGGGGTGTATAGCCCAGGCTTAGTGGGGCACATTTTGACGAGCATGTGAGAACGCAGTGGGTGCCGGAGGAAAAACAAGTACCTGTCCAGGGTGCTAAACGTAGGGCCTAGCATTCTCAGCAGAATAAGTCCAGTAACCCCACGCCGTCATTACTAACCAGGAACAAAGTTTTCTTAGAAATCTTACTCTTACGAGCAGGCTGTTCTTCTCGGCTGTGACGCAAAATTTTATCTCCATCCTTGGCTTCATGTGTTGGCATTCTCCCTGGTCGCTGCTGGTTGAAAGCTGTCATCTGAGGGCTGCAACATGGGACCCTCCACAGCCACACAAGTCTCGCTACTGCAAGACTGGATTTCCGAGGGGAATAGGCAGTCCGTCGGCGTTACGACAACCCAACCTTGTCCTCCCAACAAGCCGAAGGGACGCTAACAAGGAAATTTTATGCTCGGCAAAAACTGCTTACTTCGTTACTTGCAAACATTGCTACCCATCCAAGGGCACGTGTTGGGTTGACTTGGAAATTGATTGGAGCTCATGCCTCAAATCAGGCTGGACGCCGGATCACGGCAAGGCCCCTGAGCATAGAGACCGTGACAAAGATGCAATCTACTGCATTGTTTCCGCACGTACTCCTTCAAAGAATCTCCGGTGATTCCTCTCAAATGTTCTCGAAGTCCCATGAAGCTGTGGTTTAATGAAATTAGTTCACCAGTATCAAAAGACTTGGCTGTCGGACTCCAAGCACGGTACTTCTTCGTTTCTGTGGGGAGACAAAATCGTGAAACTTTGTATCATTCCAGTATAAATCGGTTAAAGACAAGAATCTGGGGTACCTAAGCAACCTTGGCTGCCTCCTACGTAATTTGATCGGGCATCATTCCGCTGAGTGAGATTCATCAGTCGCCTTTGTGAAGGCCCAGTATAAAAGGTGCATGGGGCAGTGGATCGCCTTTCACGAAGACTTAAAGAAAAGGCGGGGTAGCATTGCTCTTCGCCATTAGTTAAGCCCCCTCTACAATGGCCGGATGGAGTTACCGACAGAGTGGTAGTCATGAGACTCAATTTCAGGCGACGATAAGCCTTGAGCGGCCCTGGCTTGCAGAGTAGATCTGTGTTTCATTGTCGACATGCACCCCTGCTTCAAATGCAATCACAATGCTCATGGTCCTTTTGGTCACTACCCTTTGGCATCTGAAAAAGATTCCATTCAATCTAGAAAATTGATAACATATCAAGTAGCGGTCAGACTGGTGATTTTCAGCCGTCAATCCAATAGAATTGGACGTGACCCTGTTTCTGATCGAGCGACTGATCTTACAGGCTACACGGGGCCGCCGCTGTATGGACATCGCGGTAATGCAAAAAAATCAATTCTCGGGCGTAGTGGTTCGTCCCTGACGTCTGGGATCCTTTTGTATCCTCAGCCCTATAAACGAAGCTGGATCCCCACGCCCGGCTATGCTCAGTAAATTATACACGAAATCGTACTCACGATGCCGAGGCCCCGTGACAAATGACACGTGAGGGGCGTGGGGGGGGGGGGGGGAACAACCTGCAGGCCGTTTGATTTGCAGCTTTTTTTTTTTTTTTTGGTGCGAACTCGGGTCAGCAGGCATTTCTGCCCAACATAAAGACCCACTCTGCTGGCCCTGTCTAATGCTTTGAGCATGGATCTGCTTCTGACGTTTTCGGTTTGGACCCTGGCGTCTTCCTGCATGGTGATGTACATTCGGTTGAGACATGGTTCAAAGATGGATAAGGCTCCAGAATAAATATCCATTTCGGAATGACTGCCTGCGTTGCGATAAATGACCGGCATGTCGCAGTCCTGCTTGCCATATGTAACGCGATGCAGACCTCGATTGACACGCATATGGACCAAAATTACATCTGCGTATCTACTTCAATTAACCAGTTAGCGTTCTTCTTTATCTTTTGTAGGGTTTCGTCGAGAGCTACACCATACAAGGAAGTATAAGATAACATATCAATGGAAATATCAGTGTAGAGCGGTTTTCAACACCACACCTGCATTCCCACGTAGTATCATTCCCCTACCCTGATAATTTGTCAGGCACAACAACAAAACCTCGAGGGGCACCACATGGCCGGTAAAAGCAGGTATTGAAACAGTCTTGCGCAGATCGCTCTGTACATCCCTTGGGTTTTTTTTTTCCCCGTCTTCATGGCTGCGCCTCGCCATGGTGTCATCAGCCTCACGGTTTTGAATTTATCTCCGCCTGGCTAGTACGGAATTGCGTCGGTGAAACCCGTAATACTTCCAGCTGCAGTCAACAGCTACACCTTGTAAAATTTTCCAATTCACTGTTGCCTGCGGCCCTAGAGCTGCATGTCGAAGAGCGGTCAGAAAATTTCTGAAGGCCTGAGAGGATACATCAATTTTGTAGACGACGATCAACTCAACGTGGGTTGCATCGAGGAATATAAGAACAGCTCATCTCTCACTTGGACCACGAATAGTCAAGAGAATATACACGCCAAAGCACTGCACCTCCTCTGAGACCTCTCCGACGAAACTTCATTCTTGTTTTTGCTTTTTATCATCTCAGGAAGTCTCTCAGGACTTTAACGCCCCTCCTTTGGATTGCCTTGTCACAACCACATCCGTGCCATCAAGCGCGCAGTCCATCCTTCTTCAATTCTCTTATCCAAAGAATTTATACTGCCTTTCCTTTGAGACAATACACTTTATCAGGATGTCTGATCGCGCTATGCAAGGATCCGTCCCCAGGTATGAGACTTTTCCAATCCAAATAGTTTATATGTAATCATTCGAGCTTGATATGCCAGCGTCCCTTGTATGGGTTGCTCTGATCTTCCTCTTGTGGCTTCCAATCATTCCTTCTGATAGGAGATTGTTCCTTGTGGTTTTCTTCTTCATTCCATCTTCCTCAGCCCCTTCCCAAGATGCCCGTGTTCTCTCCGTGCTTGGTTGCCAAGCAGCCGGCTCTGAGTATCTGCCTCAACTTTGGCTTCTTGCTACCGACAATATAATGCGCCAACTAACACTGATCTGGCTCAGCGAGTCGAATGTCAGAGATGCCCAAGTTTACAATACCCAAGGATCAAGCCATCAGGGCAACCAAGGGTCGAGGCAACGAGATTCAACCTCGACCAAGTCCGGCGAATCGTCTGCTCGGGTATGTAACGGAGATGTGCTCCGAGGAATCGGCGCTCAGTTTGAGCCAAGCCCTGAGTACAAGGCACGCAAGAATTGTAAGTCTATTGATTCCCTACCGCTTGCTTCTATCGATTCATATCGAAACGACCCGGCAGCTGACATCGCTATGTGATAGAAGAGCCACTAATAAGTCATGGCTATCCCGGCGGGAGAGCTCACGGCGCGGGCCGCCTTGTGTTACGAGAGGCTCTAGGAACATCCCTGCGGAGCAGAAGAGACCCCAATTCAAAAATTTGTTTCCCCGTCGTCGACGTTGATGTTGAATCTTTCCCACGAATATTGCCTACATGGAGATCACTGTCTGGCGTACCTGCTCCTCCTCTCTCTCTCTGTCTCTCTCTCTCCTCTTTCATGTGATGATGTCCGGCTTTGTCGAGTGACGTAAGTGTCCCTATGGGGGCCCTTATGCAGCACAGCCTCCCCAAACCCTTGCCAGCACAGTCCAGGAACTGACTCGGGTTTCACGTCATGCGCAACACTTGCATGAACCCTACTGGACCTACAATGCCTCAAGGAAAGCTACCGATTTGATTTTGTTTGGTTTTCCTTGTCTTCTCAGTTTCGACGCTAGAAAACAAACTCCACCGACTCGGAATTTACCGAGTTGACGAAGTTGCAACTATCAAGACAGCCCCTGCATAACTGCAACCCATGCGAAAGCCAAAGGTCGGCGGTCCAATACGGCGGTGCCTCTTTCCGCCGTCTGAATTTCTCTAAAGGACGAGTATCAATGTCCAGGATCGCTACTCACTATATCACAATATCAAAGTTGGCTTCCCCTGCCATACCGTTTCCAATATACTATGAGACGTGTTCTGAGTCGTAGATGGCAAGGCCCTGTCAAGGCGCATGGCTGCGCAAACAGCCTTTGTTGTTAGTGTTCGTTTGCGGCTGACGCAGATCATGCAGCCACCTTAGGAAAAGCAGACCCATCGGGCACTTCCCGAAACCCTACTTTTGACGTGTCAATGCTTGCATCATTTTCGCAAGAAAAAAAAATGTTAAAAATTTGCTTGCCAACGAAAGTAACAGTGGGGCCCAGTGGAACCTGTTTTTTTTTTGGGGGGGGGGGGTGGGAGATCGTGGCGCAGATGAAAGGATTCCAATTCCTAGCGATGATGCTCTCTCTCTCTAGCATCTGTTTGGGTGGTGCAGAAATACTCGATTCGCCGTGAGAACGCCGAGCGGACGACCCGAATGCACCGAGATATAATGCAAAGATGATGCAGGTGCCTGCCCGCGAGCGAGCGATTGCCTATCAGCCTAAAAGCAAAGGCCGCGTGTAGTATCACGGCTGTTTTTCATCGCCACCCGGCCCAATCTGAGTCCAACCTGGATGGGAGTTGACCATACAGGCTTGAGTGAAGTACATAGTACCTAGTTGGCGCTAGAAACGTCGCTTTAGTTCCGGAAGGATTCTTAATAAAAAAAAAAAAAGGGGGGGGGTGGGGCCAAGGAAAGAAGGAAAGAAGGAAAGAAGGGGGAAATAAAAATTTGGAATACAGACCTCTTCCCCCCTCTCCAAAGAAAAAGAAAAGAAATGGAAGGAGAAAAGAAAGACCACGAAGGAAAAACCCAAAGAAGCCATTTGTCCGCAATGTGGTATTCAGATCTCTTGTCTACGCCGCTCGCTTATCGATCTCACATAAAGTGCCTTGGAATTTGCATCTACTACAGTCCAGAGCGCCTGATCCGTCCACTTTTTCTTCTCCACCCTCCCTACTGTGGATGTATGATTCAAATTATTTCAAAGTCAGAGATGCTTCTGCTTTCCATATCGTTGTCTTGGTCGGCTCCAACAATATCGCCAACATCGCCGTGGTCTAGGACCAGGCGACACGAGGATCCACTCTGTGGTGCGGCTCCTTGTCAGAGAATTTGCTCCTGGGGCACTCTCGTGGCACTAAGCAGTCGTGTGTCGCTCTCAGATCTTTGGGAAGCCCCCGAACCTGGTTTATCCATTGTGCTTCGGATCTTTCATCATTTTGTAGCCCCCTGAGCGGCTCTGGAGTATACAGGGCTCGAGGTTGCCTTATTGGCACAATCTTGGCACGCCCCAGTATAGTCGACAGGGGGGTTTCCTGGTTCTTCTTTTTTCTTGTTTGCTTTTTTCGGAGCTGTCAACTATATTTTGAGTCAGGATGTTTCTGGTTACATCCTAGCATCTGCCCACATGTGGACTTGATTTTGATGGGATCCCGAGACTTATGCAGGTGGTCGCGCATGTACCACACGGATTGCGCCTTCCGCCGCCCCCGCCGTGCACACCATGTAAAGAAAGGCGCTAGGCTGTACGACCCGTTCTGAACGTTCTGACTCCAATGCACTCTAATATAGTCAGAGAACACCGTCTGCAGGGAGCCAAGCTTCGCTGACGCAAGTTGGTCGGAACGATCCCGCCGCATCAGGAGCCGGTTGGGCCCCGGTGGCAGGTGGGGGGCGGGGGGGGGGGGTTGTGGTTGGGTGACGTGATCTCAAGAGCTGAACTCGGCCGCCACGGCCCATCCGAGCCGCCTCGATCCTGGCAGAGGACTTGGGAACTCGGATCATAAGCCTTACCTCGTCACGGGAGGTGGCAAGAGGAAGAGAGCGAAGGCCACTCATCAAGGAACGGAACCCTGCACAGGTGTATGCGCGGATCGCCTCGTCTAAACTTGCGTGTGGCTTCTATTCTTGAACCATGTTGAGGTCTACGTAAATACCTCAATACTGAGGGGTTGTTAGTGGGATTTATCCCGCGCACTATTCAGTAGAGGAACGCGGGCTCCGGTAGAGGCAGAACGAGCATAGAGGGCCAACGCCCTTCTGCCAAATATAGTACGGCCACATCTACTTACCCACCTAGATACTTTCGTAGACTTAGAACATACATACAGTGTGTTGTTGTCATCGTATCGTTAATCATGTCACAGCGATATCGAGGATTCAAGTTTCCATGATTGCTCGGCAAGGCTGAGCCTCCAAGAAGCCTAGCGATCGGTACCAATGTGGACCTTGGCGCTGTTGACTGCGAGTACATGTAGCATTTAAATGGCAAATGGATTGCGTTTCGTTACAGGAGAAAGAAAAACAGTCAGCTGAAAGAGGCTATCTACAGTGCTGAGTGGTTGGTTGGCCACGCTAGTGTGATCAGTGACTCACTGGGCCTCCCACAATTTTTTTTTCCTACTGTGGTTTTTCCTCGGCACTCTTCAGAAATATTGCACAATAAAGAGGTGTCATAATCGACAGGAATCAAGAGTCAAGTAATGCGTCGTGGTAAAGGATTACTGGCAGAATGGAAGTCGAGATTTAAATTATGATCTTCATATGTGGCAACCAGTTCAACAATGTTTGCCACGCGGTAGAACAGCCCAGGCCCAGTTGAAACTCTTAAGGGGTAATCTGGTTCTGTACATGACCTCAAAAGAGAATGACCTCCACACTGTCATACGACGCGAGCCGGGTCAGCTGAGGATAGTCGTACTTCTCACCGGGGAACTGTCCGACCGGTCACAGGTTCCATTGCCGCCAACGTACACCAAGCGCTCTAATACTACACACCGTAACATTTTGTTATAGCACCTCCACCAGGCTTACCTATTACTAAGGGAAATGCGGCTGCGAGCGACCTGTCGTTCCCAGGTCCCGCGATGGCTTGACCAACCGGGTTGTGTAGATCATTTCCGCGGTCAAACACAAGCTCCTTTTTGGGGGGATGGGGGGTGGGGGGGGGGGGGGCTCTTTTCCCTTCTTCTCTGACCTGCCTTTTTTATCTTGTACAACCTGAGCGAGTCATCTCCCCCTCCCTTCTTTTTTCCATTTTCCTTTTTTTCTTCTTCATTTTTCAGATGGCTTCACAGACAGCCTGACAGGCGTTTTTCTCACTGAAACAAAGTGTTGGCGCAGGCTGTGCCGTGTGGCCCGCCCCCACGACAGGATGACGAGGGTGTTGAAGACAAGAGCGGACGTTCATGCATCACACTGCGAGTGTCTCTGGGGCGGCTGTCCTATTTACCCGCTTAGTTAGCCTCTTGTTTCCTTACTCTCACCCACTTTCTCTTCCTGTTCTGTTTCTTTTTCTAATTATAAGTCTAGTCGCGGAGAAATTTTCGAGCAAGGCCAAAGTTCCCAGCAGGGGAAGAAACGCGGGATGTGAATTTTGGGGAGACGTGACTTTTTTTGGCATGAGAATCTCGAAAAATTACTAGCGGGGTTTATTAGTAGGGGTAACGTACCTTATCCGGGGCCGAGAGGTGAAAATCTTAGGTGTTAGCAGGATTCGAGAAAGCGTCGCCTTTAACTGCTACACGCGTGGGCATGCATGAAGGGCCAGATGTCGGGTACTGTAGAAGCACAGTACCGTGTTTTTGTTTTTGGGATGGACAAAATAAAAATAAAAATACGGGACCACAAGCAGCCATCGATCGATATGGGCCGGGGAACTGATCCACAAACGATCCATGTTCAGACAACCAGCCCCCAAAGGAGAGATGGAGACGTTCCCTGTTGACATGCCCCTACAATCCGCCCCGGACCATGCAGAGCAAGCATCTTCGGACGCTTATGTCTGTTCGGGCGCTTATGTCTGTTCCTGACTCGTACAGTAGGACTTGATTGGGATAACCACAGTAAACGATTGACCAGGCTGCGGCGGCTTTGCCCTCGTACTAGGATTGATGGCACCAGCAATTCTCGGCCGAGTCTCTTGCAGATATACCTATCGGAGCCACGACCACAGTGAGACTAGGTAGCTTCACTATTTTGTTGCAGCTGGCTCTCCTACATCATGCATATCTTTTTTCTGCCATGTGTGTTACTGTCTCGGTTTCAGGAGCATGGAGAGGAGCACCGCAGGGGGCTTGTCTGCTAAACGCAGCTGTACTATGGTTCTTATAAAAATCTATGACTACAAGAGTCCTCGGTCAAGACTCCCTTGCTGTATCATTTTTTCAAAGACACGGCAGGTATTGTTGGACAAACTCTATATTGCTGCGCCTCAGAGGAGGCTCGCGACGCAAATTTCGTCATGCGGCAGAAAGGGGAGATTTTAGCGTTCTCGTGGCCTGCTTACTTCATCCTTTTCTGGATGGCGGGGGGCGGCGGAAGATGACGACTTTTAGCTTCCTGGTGGGTTTGGGTTGGCAGGTCGTGTTCGGTCTTGTCCTTCAGTACCAAGTAACGAGATCGGCAGCCAACGGACTCGAGAAACACGAGCTCTGGAGGATGATAATGTCGAAGAAAATGTGAATAGCTGCGGACGATGCTATCATGTAATTATGG